AGTCTGTTGGAGGCTTTTTCTATCTTGTAGCCACATCCCACCGTCCGTCCTCCGCCTCCTTCCGCGATGACGACTGCCCGCCGTCGGAGTCTAAATTAATGGCGATGATGGCTACGCGGGCTTCAAAAAAACACCCCCCTAATCGTTTGCTCTGCTGTCCCATTCTGTGTGATACAATTCGTTCGTCAGTCATTAGTTTTGGATGAATAGTCTGTTTCTGTGGATACCATTTTTTAATTGTTTTTGATAGATACACATCATGATTTGGGACAGAGAGTTCGTTGTGTGTTTTATTTGATTTTCTGTATATTACTTAGATAGCTTCTTTTTCTTTGCCTGTACTCTTGTTTATAGCACCAGCATCAACATGGCTACTTAGTATTGCTCTATCGTTACTTTTTGGTTCTTGATGTTGTGTTTTGTTGAGCTTTTTTGTGAACTGGTAGTAGTAGTGCTCTGATGTGCTTGGATATTGTATGAGGTCTTTCAATTCATTCAAAAGTTTGTGTTTTGCTTTATTCACATTTGTATTGATCTAAGAAAAGAAGGGCATGTTGATATTTCTAGGCCTAGGTTCTATAACTATAGTACTTTTTACTTTCTTCTGTTTGTGGACTCTTGTTTCGCCGTAAATAAAATGATTACAGATTAGGTTGACCATTGAAAATAGCCTTTGTTTTGTGTATTAGATTCATTAGAATGTAGATATACTCCGATAGCACTATATTGCGAATTGTCAAACTACTTTGAGATATCCATGGATAATATCAATCCTAGGTCTATTTAGAAGTGCTGTATCGTATTCCCCTTTTATTATTTTTAGATGTTTTGTTCAATGATACCAATTCATACATTTAATGAGGTTGCTTTAGAAATGGTTTGTTAGAACTAGTTTTGATCCGATTGTCTGTTGAGATGTATTGATTTGGCTATGTTTTGTCTCAAGTTCAATTAGATATGTTTATTTTGTTCATGGGAAAACAAATGAAACCTCTGTAAAACTATCTTCTTTCAGTTTGGTCCTTCTGCATCAATGTTACTTGTAGATTGTTTTCGCTTTTAATTCATTATTTTGCTTGGAATCTATTGCTGTGACCTTGTGTGGTTGATTTTTGTCACAAGTAGGATACCGAACGGTGTAGATAGGAGAGATTTGCCACAACAGATGCAGCTGGTGCATCTTGGGATCCGAGATTCTTGCGGACACTTGAGGCAGAGCACCTTTTGGCTTTCCATAATGTTGCTTCTTTGGTCACCAACAAGATATTGAGTAAAATACCCTTTGTGACCTACCTGGATCATGTTGTTTTTTTTATGTAGGCAATTTAAATTTTAGTCTCTCTGGACCTATGTATCACTTGATTATCTTTTGATGCAGGCAATTTACTTTGTGGAAGTTATAGATGTTATACCCCCCGTTTTCCGGCTGTAAAAATATTTAGTTATGTTTTATTCACCTTTTATTAAAAGTTTATTTTGAAGTATCGAAATACTCAATTTTTTTTTTTTTTTGTGATGGAAGAAGATAGATTTAGCATGTACTCCATGACAAAAATATTTCAAAATTCAAAATCTAATGTGGGCTATGTTTCTAGAACACTAGTAATTACTAGTGGAATGGCTTAGGGACAAATGTGAATCGGCCTTAAAGCTCTGCTTAGCACTAAAATTTATTCAAAGATGAATCGACATGGCTGGAAAATATTGAATGCGTGAAGTTTACCAGCTCTATGATCGAAACAATGTACTCGCGGAACATTTTGCAGACTGCAGTAATTATGAAGATCCTTTTTTAATTAACATTGTATATCTGGTTATCAAAATTATTGTTTCGATTGGAGCCAGTTATGTATATTTTGGAAAAAAAAAAGCAAATTTCTTATAGCAAGCGTGTTAAAGGCTGCTGCGTGCCTATGTCTATGCTTGAGCTTTGAACCTGGAACCTTACGGTTATGGAGCTTTGAATTGAGAGAACAATAGTCAATTAGAAAACCCTAGTAAAATGAGTCTAATTTTGTCGACGACATGTCTGTAGCCACTGGTTCGAGCTTTTGGGGGATTTGACCTTCCTCCAAAGTTTAAATTAACGTAAATTTTTAGAACCAATATTATTATTATACTCCTAAGGAAAAAAAAAAAACAAAACGGGGAAAGAGTTTCTCGAAGAGGGCAAATGATGTTTTTATTAATGTCTAATTACGTGGGAAAATGAAACAGCTGCTTGTAGTTCCAAAAACTAGCTTTCCTCCTTTTGTGGTTATGTTGGAAACTTGGAATAATAAACGGGGTCTTATATTAAGCTGCTGCTGCTGCCACAACAGTGCTACATGTGCCATTGACAATACTCTAATTATCTTTTTCTTTTTTTTTCTCTCCCCCTCCCTAAAGCAGAGGCTATGGCCTGTTTTTATGTTGAGTTGGCAGTCTTTCAAATCATATATACACCCTTTTAAAATAATTGTTTTGTTTAGATTTCGCTCATTGTATAATATACTACTAATATATACTAAAAGAATTCCAAAATCTTTTAATGTGCTCGAAATAGCGGGGATATGAAATAAAACCACCAAACGGCAGTTTCCCTAAGAAAGAAGAGGCTACTATGTAGTATTATATATCTAGTTCGAACAACCTGCACTATGGAGTCCTATGGACCAAAGAGAGGCATCAATTCGGTAAGGAGTAGGCTAAATCTTACAAGTCAAGTCATCAAAAGCTAACTTCCATCTGATTTGATTAATACTGATTGGACATCATTAATCGATGATGATTGAAGAAGATGATCGCTTCTGGCCTTCAGGCGCAGAAACATAACTGATATATAGTAGTAGTATAGGTTAGTGTAGTGACTTGGATTGAATCTAAAGAGTAAGACACAAGCAAATTTTTGGCTTGCTTCGTTTCGAGACTCTCATCATACAATGAGTTGGATCTTGAACCTTTTACACGTACACTTGTCTTACCAAGTAGGCTAGGCTCTTTTTACAAACATTGAGTAGGAGAATCATGAACTCTGAATTCATAACGATGACCCAATTTTTATCTCCCCAGACCCGGATAAACCACCATATCAAGAGCGAATTATTTATTGTTACATAATAATTGTTCAATTTGAAAACATAATCGTGTAATATAATAATGGTTAAATTTCGAAAAACTAATCATCTAAAACATTTTGTCTAATTTCAAAATATTATCGTGTATAATAATGGTTATCGTGTATAATAATGGTTAAATTTTTTTTTAAAGAAATCTAATTTCAAAACATTAATCGTGTATCATAATGGTTAAATTTTTAAAAAAGAAACATGGTATCAAGAGCCGGGTCTATGAAAGATAAGAACTTTTGTTAGACTCCGTCTATGATACCATGTCTAATTCTAAATATTAGTTAGAGAACGAATCTTTATATACAGGTGACTATTTCTTTCCAGTGACGATGTGGTACAACCTAAAATAGCCTAACCCAGAAAACAAAAGCCTTCCACTGAAGACATTCGCCAATGTAGACCACGAAACGTAGAGATTAGGGGAACAACTACGCAACACGAGCGTAGTCGGATTATATAGAATCAAAAGAGTGAGACAAAAACATCATTCGGCTTTGCTCCATTTCGAGACTCAATGTCTGTATTACAGTCATACATAAAGATTATGAACAAAGTCAGGGACATTTCTTAAAAAGGACAAAATCTTTTTATTCTTTTGGGGGACAGCCGCTATGGTTTTGAACTTTTGAAATCTACCCTACTTTTGAGACATTCTTTGTCTCTGCTCGCTGTTATAAAAAGAAATTCGATTCTTCATTTTATTGGTTTTTAAACGGAAGTATATTATGATGGCTGTTTCCACCTTTCGAAATACCCCCATGCCTGTGCTAAGATTCAGTCGCATAAGTTCGATGCTACAGCCTACCAGAAAAAAAAAATAGATATTATGAGTTCGTTCTATAAAGTAGAGTTCTAATTCTTGTTTGTGTAAAAAAAGAAAATTTCTCAAAATTGTATACCATTAGGGTCTTTAAGCTTATCTTTGTCCAAAAAGAACAAGAACTATGGAAAAAAAAATTGTCACAACTAACAAAACAAAATATAATAGATAGGAAAAAATTATTTTATCAAAAAAAAATTAGAATTACTAATAAATATTTCTTCCATCCCAAAAACTAATTTATACTACAATGTACAAGTCGTTACTTTTAGTCATCTCAATCTACGTACAGCTATCCTCAATTTTTCAATTGTATCTCATTTAGTTTGTTTGTAACTCAAAATAGACGCTTACATCTATTTCAATTATGAGAATATTTTGGTTATTTTAAAATAAATTTTAGCTTTTATGAAAATATATTATTTTTTATGAAATTTGACTATTTTTTTAGGGATGAAGGGAGTATTAAAGATTAAAAATATTTAAAACAGATGTAAGACCGTCTCTTTTTTCTTGGCAAAGTCTTAAACGTTCATGATGTACATTTTATTATTATTATGAAATTGGGAAATATCCGCCAAATAATGTTCTGGATTAACCTAAAAAAAGATTAAAAAAATTGGAGGAAGTATTAGACATGAAAAAGAATGTTAAGTAGTTTTTTTTTTTTTTTTTGAAATTGAACAAGTTTTGTGAGACGAAAGAATATTGAAGATTTTTTTAAAAAATAAAAATTGGTGAGAGTATTAAAAAATTATAATTAATAATAAAATAATATGGTATGAGAGCTAAGTTCTACGAAACTCAAGAAAATTTATAGAATATAGCCCTGATACCACATGTATTTGTAATTAAAATAACATATGTTTATATAAAGCTAAAAAATTTAGCGAACTTCCGATGTGGGATAAACTTTCAAAATTTTTAATTATGAGAGTATGCGAAACGCAAACAAAGAGAAGATTAGTGGAATCGGTGAGACCTATGATGATATAAAATCCGTCCCATCGAAGAATCCTCTCTTGACCTTTGCTTGGTAATGATGCTTTTATTCAACGACCTTGTAATTAGTGCACTCTGTAGTTATAATGATGTTTGGAGAGCCCTTGTTTAAGCAACACTCGGGAAAGTGACATTTTTATAAACTCCTGATTTAAAGCCAAATTAGCCCAAAACACTTTCTTTGTATTTCTCTTTGCCTCTTCCTCTTCTGTCTGGTATATGTTTGCGGGAATAGAGCTTCTGTTTCTGCATCATTTTGTTTCAGACATTCAATCATATGTGCCTTCAACCTTGAACAAAACAGCAATTTTCCTTATTAATCATTGTCTCCTTCACTCTTCTACTCAATAGCTTCCACAGTTCCACCCCCGCCCCTGAAAAATTCCAACTTTTTTCTTCGTCTGTCTATCCTTTTTATCTCCCCCCATTGAACCAGACATGGCTGGAGTCGAAGATAATACCTTATGGATAGAACCCTCTCAATCCATGAGAAAAATGAAGTCACTGTTCAATACCAGCCGCAGCAGCTTATTAGGCATTATGGATTTGTGAAGCGGGCTGCCAGTGATTCTTCAAGAAAACAAAAACCCTTTTCACAGCTGAGATTCTGGGCTTCAAAATCACTCAGAAACTGGTCTGGCAGAGGTAAAATGTCTATTGGGCTCGAAAGTGAGCGGTTTCGTTTCAATGGTATGGTAGTGAATAATTCTGTTTATTGTGCTTCACCTTGCTCATTAGACGACAAGATGGAGTCTTTGACAGAGAATAAGGAAGGATTGAAAGATAACAATCATATGGATGGTAGTTGTGACAATGAGCGTGCGGGTAATGTGGCAAATGAGTATTCTTCTGGGGAAAGTAGTACGAGTTCTGTATTTTTGGGGTCTGAAACAACTGTAAATGATGAACAGAGCAGTAGTACTGGGGATTCATCTTCGCCACCTTCAATGGTTTGGCCTATTCTGAAAGATGAAGCACCGTATTGTGCCACTTCTGATTTAGTAACCGAAAAACTGGAAAAACCTCACTCCAATAGAAGGAAGCTGGAGAAACAAGTGTCATCATTATCAGGTATTCTTCGCTTTTGCTGAATTTTATGTTAGTTGATGCGACATTGTTTGCCTTACGAAATGGTAGGATAATTGAAGAATTTTATTTAATCGTTATTTTTTATCTTGTTTGAGTAGAGATTGATATGATGAAAGAAAGGTTTGCTAAATTGCTGCTTGGAGAAGATATGTCTGGTTGTGGAAATGGGGTTTCCACAGCTTTAGCTATATCTAATGCAATTACCAATCTCTGTGGTACGTAAACTTAGTTTATATGGTCGATCCTTGATTAATGGTTTGGATGATGATTGCATTCACTTAACTTAATCTCTGTTGTTTGAATTAGCTACTGTTTTTGGGCAAATTTGGAGATTAGAACCACTTCCTCTTGAAAAGAAATTAATGTGGAGAAGAGAAATGGAATGGCTTCTTTCTGTTAGTGATCACATTGTGGAGTTGATACCATCTTTGCAGACCTTCCCAGATGGAAGCACACTAGAGGTATGTTATACTTTTCTAGGTATCTTTGTCAAGGTCTTATAAAAATTTGATCTGTGACTTAGATGTAATCAGAGTTTGGTGCAAATGAGTGTCTAAGGAATAATGAGATGCTTTGTGATTTACTGAAGTTAGTTGTATATCAATATGTTTGAGAAGAACTTTTATTGTACCTGGTGCTGGTTGACATAAAGTTAGGTGCCTACTGTTTTGTTGTTTGTTGATTTATGTATGTTCAGGTTATGACCTCCAGACCGCGTTCTGATCTCTTTGTTAACCTCCCTGCCCTACGGAAATTGGATAATATGCTTCTTGTAAGGATCAAATCTCTTCTTTTTTTTGGGCTTTTGGAATGTTATCAACATCTTAATGTGCCTTTCTAAGTTTTATCCCCTTCTCACAGGAAATATTGGACAGTTTCGAAAATACAGATTTCTGGTATATTGACCAGGGGATCATAACTCTGGAAGAAAATGGATCGTCGTCTTTCAGGAAACCCCTCCCTCGTCAAGAAGATAAATGGTGGCTTCCAGTGCCTAGAGTTCCTACAGGCGGCCTCAGTGAGAATGCAAGAAAGTTGTTGCATCATAGACGCGACTGTACCAGCCAAATTCTCAAGGCTGCCATGGCAATCAACAGTATAGCTTTAGCTGATATGGATGTTCCAGAATCATTTTTGGAAGCACTCCCAAAGGTATTATGATCCCCCTAGATACATCTCCATTTCCAATTATCTGAGAGAAAACCGGTGGAAATTCTGATTCCATTTTGGGGTTTGATTCACAGAATGCCAAAGCCACTTTAGGTGATCTTATATACAAATATATCAATTCAGAGCAATTTTCGCCAGAATGTTTGCTCGACTGCCTTGATTTGTCTTCAGAGCATCAAGCTCTTGATATTGCAAACAGAGTGGAGGCTTCAATTTATGTCTGGCGCCGTAGAACCAGCTCAAAATCCCTAAATAGTACCAACAGGTCTAGCTCCAAGTCGTCGTGGGAGATTGTCAAGGATTTGGTTTCTGATCTTGACAAGAGGGAGCAGCTTGCAGAAAGAGCAGAAAGCCTGCTGCTTTGCCTGAAACATCGGTTTCCTGGTCTCTCCCAGAGCACCTTAGACATGAGCAAAATTCAATATAACAAGGTTTTTGACTGGCATTTGTGTTCCGCCTTTTATGCCTTCCTGAATTTCTAAAGTTAATTCATTTTTGAATAATTGATTCCTGTTATTTTAGGATGTTGGCAAATCCATCCTGGAGAGCTACTCAAGAGTGTTGGAGAGCCTGGCATTCAATATTGTGGCTCGAATAGATGATCTATTTTATGTGGACGACTTGACAAAGCATTCCGATCAGCCTTTGTCTATCTCCAAAGTAGGTACAATTTCTCACAGGAATGTCGTGATTGTGCCTTCTGCCTCCAGCACTCCATACAGAACAGCTTTTAGTACACCAAATCCACGGATTAGCCCTGCCAATGTTAAAAAATCACCACTTCTTGACACCAAGCTTCCTCATCGTGGGTTTGGTGTGAAGAAGGTCTTGACAGAATATCTGACTCTAGATTCAAAGAGGAATGACTTGACCAATATCAATATGAAACCCGATTCATCACCATCAAGTACAAACCACGAGTCTTTGGCGACTCAATCAGTGGACTCGTACGACTTTAGAGAGGCCACCAGCCCCCTGACACATGATTCACCTGGAGAAGACTAAACGCAGGGGACTCGTCATCATCGACTGAGTATTGGTGTAACGTGCATTTGGTTATTGCGTCATCAATCATTATAAATGGCTTTGAAACTGCTCGCAGTTTTACTAATAGGCGTGGCCAGTTCGAGGATCGCTGTTTTGCTAAAAATGCTTTACTTTTTTGCTACATTTTGTAGCTTCTTTTCTTGTAGAATGTGTAGTTAAGTGCAGCGTATGTAATCTTTTTTCTTGGTTTTGGCACATGTTATATGTGTAATTTTTTTTTTCCCCTGATACTGGCAGTGATTCTGAGTTCATACCAGGTGTAATAAACTTTTATCAGAAGCATCCTTTAACAATATGAATAGTAATGAGTGGATGCAAACAGAACTCATTCTGTTGAATGACTGCTTTCTTGTCAAGGAAATGGGGGCTGAAACTGCCCCACTGTGAAACTGCTCATAATTACAGGAGTAGAATTGCAGGGACCTCTTGTCCCTCGAAGCCAGAATCATTCGTTAACTCTTGCCTTAACATGCGTTTGGGATAATGATTCCATCACAAATGCTTCCAATTAATATAGATTTGGGAGCATTTCATGATCAATAAGTCGTTGTAGTATAGTGGTAAGTATTCCCGCCTGTCACGCGGGTGACCCGGGTTCGATCCCCGGCAACGGCGTTTTTTTTTTGATAATTCTTCTGTTTTTTTTTTTTTTTGAGGGGCTATATGATGTAGAACTGCATGAATGACAGAGTTTTCTTTTTCTTCTTTTTTTTTCCTTGAATAAGATGGGCTGGCTTTTGACCCAGCCGTGATTTATTATGGATTTCCTAGGATTCTTACCTGAAAAGATCAAATACGAGATATCCAACCTCTTACCCAGGAAGATAACTGTGTCTCACCAGCTTCAAGTTAACAGCCAGTTGGATATCTCAACAACTGAACCTTCAATAATATTACCATTTGACCAAAACAAGACCATGATTTCATACATGCTCTCCTCCAATCCAAAATAGCTCACTTTGGTTGTCGAATTATTTTAGTACGCCGAACAAGAGTTTGTCGTTCAAAGTTAAACAACTCCATCAATCAACAAACGAGAGACCCACAACCGATGGACCTTATGATGACACTACCAAACATCATCGCTTATATTAGTTGCAAACTGTTTGTTTGAGGCTGATTAGAGTAGTAATAATGAAAGGGCCTAATCCTATCTTCAAGAGCATGCCACAATCCAATCAATTAGGCGCATAATGTAATGCGTATTAATGTCGTCTGGTAAAACACAACCAGCCAAAAGGGGTGGTCCAGTTATCCGACATGAGATTATTGCCAACTTGCCTAAGGATTGATAACTCAGTTCCGTCAAACAAACCTTTGCATTTGTTGATGTTAACTAGTGGTTAGAAGGAACAAAAAACGCTGACTAGATTATACTTATTCATATTCTGTAGTTTAAGTCGTCGTCAAACAGCGTCATCATCACAGAAAATTGATACTATATATATTGCCCAGCAACTGGATCATGATGTTTACAAAAGCTAAGGAAACAAGTCCAAAAAAAAAAGAGGAAAATGTTTTAGTAAAAATACTAGTCTATCACACTACTACTAATACATTACAGGTTGATAATTCTGATATTTAGCAGACGGGAGCCAGGAAAGTAAAACCCATCCTTTTCTTCTACCATCTATCTCCCCCACAATTACAAAAACAAGAGGCGGTATTGCAGTACTCCAGCAAATATCTTCCTGCTTCCTGCACAACCAAGATCACAAAAAGATATTCAGGCAAAAATCACAGAATCGTATATAGACCCATTCTAATATCTAAACACTTATGCACTGATATGGCTTTCAATATGCACTGATATTGCTCCCTTTTCTTTAAGTATGGAGATCTTAGCATACTATTCCCCCCACAACAGCCGTGCTAGTTGAACTAAGATAGCTCAACGCAACAGGCCTACTAGAACGGACAAATCGTGTTCTATAGCACGTCAACTTTACTAAGCAGCAGTGAAAGTGATACAAAAATCTTCTTCTCTTTTTGGTCCAAGCAATAGGCTTTTCTTGAAGATAAGTAAAAGAAAGAACTGGGATTCAACAAAGGGACAATTATCCATTACCTAATAGAGATTACAGTGTATGATTACAGAGTTGCTGGGCGGAAAGATTCTAGTAGTACAGGGATCCTGTAATATGAAGAGATGGAACCATCAGCGATAAGGTACAAAAGCTAACAATAAAGATCGCATCTTATTAAAAAACTCTATGAATCAACAACATACCCTGCCACCAGTTTCCTCTAGAAGCAGAATTAGAATCATCTTCTCCTCCATCTTTATTGTACTGAAGCATAGAAATTAAAAAGAGACTGTCAGCCAAACTGTTCAAGTAAAATACCAATAAACCCTGAAAGACAAATGAATGGCCTCTTGCCTTGTACCACTAGATAAAGAATATTTAATATCATGAAACAATATTTCACCATATAAGTTTGCATGCATTTGAAAAGCCAAGTAAAACAATGTCAAGCTATGAGGTAACGCTAACCCCTTCCTATCTAACTCACACGCGAGTTCATGACACAATTATTACTAACACAAGCAAAAAGTGAATCCCCAAAGATGAATTGGTGCATCTCACAGGAATATTATTAAAACCTAGGAGTGAGAATTGCACCATTTGACCTGTAAGTTACACTCCTGATATTTGTGTTCTATCTCCCATCTATTTCACGTCATAAACAAGTCTACAACAAAGAATACGGCCAAAGACTTATGCTTCCAAGACTACTATAATAAAAAAGCAAAATTGACTGAAGCATAACAAAGTAATTTAACATGATAAGAACTCACAGTACTGTAGACAGAGCTCTGAGTGTTCTGAGGTTGAGCATACACATCTTGACCCCCGTAATAGATGGAGGAACTGAGATGACAAGGTTGCTGCACTTTATTTTCCTGATAAAATGAACTTCTAGCCTTATTCGGGTCATTCATATGTTCACCTTGGCCGACTAGACCGTTATTTTCTACAAACAAAAAATTAATGAATGACATCTGATGTAAGCTAATCTTGAACAGAAACAATTATCTAAGTCCTGCTAAATATCTATCTATGAGACTATTTGATACCAAAGGATCCAAAATGGAAGAACCTGAAAACAAAGTAACATTATTTTCCCCAAAGAGGTTGGGAGAATATCAACATCATCCACAGAAACAATAAGAATAGTATCAGAAACTGCAGAAGTTACACGTACTGGAATAGATTCCAAAGTTATTACAGTGACACATTGCTCACAAACCTGACGGACCATTTTTTGTATTCCAAGCTTGACTAGCAGAGTCTAACTTCCTTTCAACTACTTCTGGATGCAGAGATTCTCGTCCTACAACCTGATTCAAGCATCAATAAGAAACTGTGTAAATAACTAAAATATCATTAGTCAAAAAAGAAACATAATCTCAGGATGACACTGCAAAATTTTAATATAATAACATTAATTTAATCCAAAGATCGAATCTTTCTTTTCTGTAAGTGCATAAATAGAAACACATAGGTCCCCCAAAAACATCCATAAAAGAAAAAAAGAAAAAGAAGAACGTCATGAACAATGGGCATCAGAACGTTTATAAAATTTAGAAATCCAGAAAAGAAGATTGATATGATACAGTCTCAGGAGTTAGAATCCATGGCACAGTCGCCATATCGGATTATTGATATAAAATACTAATGCAAGTTGAACTTTTTGTCTTTTCAGTAGTTATCCGCTAATTAAGAATTAGTCAAAGTACAACAGCTATTCTTAATCTCCCAAGATTTTATCTTTATCATTCGGTTGAACACCAAGAATGAAAATCACCATACATCATATGCATCAACATTAAAATAAACATCTGCAACATGCAATTTGCCGTATTAACTCCTTAATTTTAACAAAAGAACCCTTTTCATGGGACAATGGAAGTGCATGCATTCTGCGTTCATGTCGACAACAGATCATGATCAATCACGAAAAAGGATCCCAATTCATCGAAAATCGAAATAGAATTCAAAAATCAATCAGAAAACAAAAGGGCAAAACGCAAACTACCTTAGAAGGTGGCGCGAAGATAGACCCAAAAATCCCCGAAGAAGGAGAAACAGGGGACTCTTTTGACCCGAAAAGATCAGAAGTGAACGAAGAGGAACCAGATTTATTTCTTCCTTCCATCTCTTCTCGTGATTCCCAATATGAAAACAGTGGTATATATGATTGTTTTTGTTGTTTGTTGTATAAATGTATTAATAATATTCCCCTCCCTTTCTTTTGTATCCAAACCTTTATATCCAGAGAAACAACAGAAAGGGGAGGCTGGATGATGATGGTTTTAGGCCAACAGTAGAGAAACCTTTGTGATGTAATACAGAGCGAGATAGAGGAATCCCACCGCCAATAAGCCTCAGAAAACAACACCAAAAAAAGGGCAGATAAGTATTGCCCAGAAACCAACAGAAAGTTTGTGACTTGAGAGGACAACAGAGGCTATTTTAAAGCAAAAAGAAATCAAAATGGGAAGAAAAAAAGGGGAAATTAATACCCCAAAAAAAAAAAAAAGAAAGATAGAAAGACACGTGAATAAATTTTGCTGATGTATTTTCAAGTGAGAGAAAGAAACAGGATCATGAAGGAAGGAGGAAGACAAAGCAAAGAAGAAGAGAAGAACCGAAATGTAACCGTCGCTCCCCTCAAATCTCTCTCTTTTTTTCCAAGTACATAATAAACAACTCGATATTTTTACCAACTTTAAAGTCTTACCTTTTTTTAATAAATAATATTTTTTTCTCTGGTCTCTTTGGGAGGGAAGAAAATACTCCACTTGGGACCATAATTTTGCATTTAAACACCCACAAGAATGGTAGAAAATCACGTGATTTTTTTTTCCTAATAAATCTTCTAAATTTAATGAATTGATGGGAAAGATGGGCAAAGGGTTGGAATTTGTTGGGCTTTTAGCTTTGATGATATTGATGATGATGAGCTTGAGGATGATCTGATATCTTATTCTTTTCTGTTAGTTAGGTTTTCGGTTATTCTGGCCTTATTTCCTTCCCCCCAACAAATGAAATGACACAACTTCCAAATCAAATCTCGTGAAATTCAATATAACAAGAAATTATTCAATGCAGTTGTACCCAATAATTTTGAAAGGAGCGATAATTTTTACGGAAATTATATCACCAAAATAAGAAGTGTTAGTTTTGATGCACTAAAAAACCATAATTTTTCCAATATAACCTCCTCTCTACCAGATTCTGGTTCTGATGATCGATGATTGTAGGAGGTGGAGAGATCCTACGTGTCGAAAATCGAAGAGGATTTTGCCACGTGGAGATGGTCAACCTTCGCCAATGTGGGCCCTAAAGTTTCAGTTCCCAACTCCCTTTTACTGCCACGAATACTGTTGTGGATAATAACAATCCTAGGCTAGAATTAAATCCTAAATTGGTCAAACCTGTTCCTGACTCTTTGAAGTCTTGGCTCATATAGATATCCAATCCAAAATATCAATTCTTATTTTCCCGTTTTTACAAAAGAAAAACTGAATAAAAAGAGGCAGAATGCGTTTAATAAAATTCACGAACAAGTGACCCTGATAACTTTTGTATCGAAACAATGGTCCAATTATGGCAAAAACCTCATTCTTTTGTTACTGCCAAAGAAAATAAAACAGTTTTTTTATTTTCCCTAGAAACGTCGTTTATATACATGTCGTAAATGCATAATTTAATTTATAGATTCATTATAATCTACTGAAGAGCACGTCATTTTCAAAAACCGGGTTTAGATGTATACTTTCGGTTTCCATCCGACAAGTCATAAATGTGATGAAATAATATACTTATTTCTTTCTCGTCTGTGGTTTGCAGTTCTATTTCAATGGGCGTGGGTTTACTTATAACGCCTCAACTGTTAAGTCTGTCCCAATAACTATTTGGGTGATTGTACTCCCTAGATCCAAAACGGTTAATCCAATTTATTAATAAACCACTAGCTTAAAACTTATATACTGAGCCTCAACCTCACACAACCTCAATGTGGGATTAACCCACCTACCTGTTTTCTTAGGGTATCACTTTATCCATTTCTGACGAGGTTCTTTGCTTTACTAAAAAAAAAATATTCTTTATGTCCCAAAAAAAATAGTCTATATTTGATATTTGTAGGAGTATCAATTAAAATCTTATGAACTTCCTGTTTCTCACAATTCCTTGTGCTAGATTGTCATTTTTTTCAACACTAGAAACTAAAAACTCAAAAGCCCCATCTTTTTGACTTATCCTCTACCTCTTTTTGGATGTGTTTTTACTACTTTCTTACGTGCGGTGCATGATGTAGTTTTCACAACAGGACGATCTGAATGATGATATTCATTGAATCTTGCGCGTCGGATTTTTTCTATTTTAAGACATATAGAAGAGGCTAGTTTGAAATTATAACGTCCAAAGTTTTCCTTCAAGAAAAAAGATGATCATGTCAACACTCTTTTTTGGACTTTCTCTAAATCTGACGTGACTTTGTTAGAGCATTCACACAGAGAAAAATCACATTGAGGTTGAAAAAAAAAAACAGGGCAAAAAAGGAAATTTGGCGGTGCGATGTTATAACTTGAGTGGAATGCATGCATGCGAGTTAGTGTGTGGCTGTGTGTATTGTACAATTGGGAATTGGTACGTATGAATATGATTATGATGGTACAATAATACGTGTCATTGTGGGATTTCTGGAAGATAACTCAAGCTATAAGCCTTCATGGGATTTCAAAGGGAAGAAGAATCAAACCAAAGGGGGTTAAGGGATTACTGATCTTATCTTGTTATCTTGTCGGGACAAAATGTGTGGGTCTTCTATGATTCACTCAATAGATTTTTTATTAAAAAAAAAAAGTGGGTATAATTCTACTTCTTGAATTGTAGGTTATTGATATTTGATCATGATCCATGTTTTTGCAATCGTAAATTGTCAACTTACCATTTGGGCAGTAGTAGTTGCTACAGCTTTCAACTGATTCCGGAGTTTGTTAGTCAGTTATTAGCTAAGATTCAAGCTTGTTGATATGACATTCTTTTCTTTTCTTTTTTTTAAAAAAATTGTTGAAACTTAATTACATGCTTGCTCCATCCAAATTCCAAGTTTCCAATCACTGTAACACTACTCAAACAACCGAATATACCTACATTGCATCCACTTAATAAAAGTGTACCGACATTGTCAAACATTATTAAAAGTGAGTTATCAAATACCATTACACAATCAAATTCAATTTATTTCGAATTCAGTTTTTGATGTGTTTTAGATTACAAAAAAAATACACACAGAAAAAAAAAAAAATCCAAAAGAGGTACTTATTTCGAAAAGTAACAAGGAGGTGGACCATAAGATATTAGGATAATAGTGGGCGGAGGTCCTGTGGGCCGCAGATGGGTGATGTCCACGACAGATCGAGGTTAATTGGGCCATACACGTTATTGACAAGTACAAAGGAATGATGCATACGAGTGAAAGTGATGTCGTTCTCAAAATTCGCAGTTCATTTCACAAATAATAATTATAAAATGACACTACTTAATAATAATAATAATATTGATAATAACATCATTAACATGAAAACATCTCACGTGAAGAAAAGACTTGAACAATATCGGTAAATGCAAAACTTTTCAGTAACATGTGTGATTGCAAATAAATATAGATAATATTTTAAGCGTAATATATAGCACAACAATCCGTATTATGTCTCCAAGTAACGTGTATCTTTAAAAAAACACACACACACACACACTTACATAATTGGGTTCAAATTCTATGGTCCAAAGCAAATATACGGATCCAGGGAGTGGTGGACTATGTCGTTTGGACCAGAGAACCCTCGACCCCAAGAAACTCTTGTTGTTGGATCGCCGCGGGCACTACGTGTTTCCACTTTCCAAGGTTAGGCCACATGAGTTGTCACGGTCCAAAGAATGTAGGAAAGAAGAATGTAGTATATATCAATCCTTTTCCTTTTTCTTTTCTTTTTTTTTTCTTTTTGTTTATTGTTCTTCATCTAAATTTTGATCCAAAAAAACTATGTGGATGATCACTCCTTTCTCCATTAGCCTATTAGCTTAGGCCTTTGGGAATATTGAGGGTGCTTATCTTTTTGTTGTCATTTGACTGATTGAATGACTATACTTACCATCACTATGCAATGACCCTTTTTTCCACACCCTATCCATTTACTGATTATTACCCAATAACGAGCTTGCGTAATTGCTTTCATAAAGTGAGTTGGATTAATGGCTATTTAGACATCCAAAATTGTTACTTTAGGATTAAAGTACTTTTTCTTTTTTGCCCCAAAGGAAAAAAAATTAAAGCTTGACTGTGATATGCGTGTCAAAACATCTACTGTCGACAAAATAACTCCAAAAATTATGCTCATTAGTAAATTATTAAAAGGAAATGGATTAAAGTTGTAGGGTATAAATTTATGCTTTTAACATACTTTGGTACTGGTCCAAGAGCACATTCCTAATCAAGTAATTGGAGTGCTCTCTCTATAATTATTCTGGTTTGTCCCATTAATATTAAACTTTTTCTGCCATTTTCATGTTTGTTGTATTAAAAATATACATAAATTGAACAATCATTTCAAAATGAAGGGGATGATGACAAATTGGACTTTGACATAAGGCCTTTCATTGGGCTGTATGGAAAATTAGTCTAGCCCGCAGTTCATGTTCTGGTCGGTGGAGTAATTTTTGTAAATAAATTTGTCGAATTTCAGATGAGGCATTGTAGTCTTAAGCGAAAGCTTCCACAATATATAAAAAATAAAAATTAAAAAAAATTGTTGAATTCAATATTCTCAAAGAAATCAGTTATAGAATCCATAAAAATTAGCTGGATAAAGTAAGAAATTTTATATGGTAATGATATTTAAGGCAAATACATCGACAGCAAGACATTCTTGGCTTGCCTATCATTGTTGACATTTGGGCATCATTTTGCTGAAAAGTATAGTCTTAATAGGGAAACCATGAGTGACCACAATTTTTTCTCTAGAACTAGAATCTTAACATCCCAAAAATGTTATACGTGTAACAAAGAAAGAGTTTACATATTCCCTTCCTTTTGTTTCATTGTGATAGTTTCAATTTATTATCATGTTTTAATTCAATAAAATGAATCACTACAGAATAAGTTAACGCCTTCATAATCCTACACAAGTATAGAACAATTTTCTGAGTCATTTTGTAAAATTTTACAATCTGAATCGTATTTTCAGAGATAACACGGTATACAATTTTATTTTATTGTACAATTAGAATGTGTCATATTCTTTCCGACTCAAAATAATCGCCGTGCTTGTTATATTTAAAATAATACATGACTAAATAATTATTTTGGAACTGAGAGAGTACCATTTATTCCCCTTAAGTATGAAGAAAATGCCTTCAATATACTTGACAAGTAAAACATTACCATTCACCTCCATAGCATCCAATTTTTTTCAGAGAGCATCAATTAATCGAGTATGTAGCTAACTTTCAGAGTGAATATCTTAGCATACTGCCACCAATTTCCTTATCACTGTAATTTTAACTTATGTAGCTCAACATTCAGTGCACGAGGGCTGTCGTTAGACTTAAGACCCAATTCCATCTCTCACATAGTCACATGCTCTGTTTTAGTCTTTTAGAAGTTATTGGTTGGTGTCGAAGCCTGACAAAAGAAACACTGAATCGTGATTTCGTGAATGGTGATCAATTCTCTCTATGGAATTACTCGTGATCAATATAAACAAGTGCCGAACGATTTGATTCCTGAATTTGTCCTAAAATTATGTACAACTGAAACAAAGATTCTAATGCTACTAAAATACTGCTTTGTTTTGGGTAAAACTATAAGTGGGATTTCCAGGGTTGGCACTGGAGATTGGAGCAGGACCCATCCCATGAGCTTGCACAACCATCCCAGCTTCCTTGAACTTCTTTACCATCTTCACAACACTTGCAAACCATTCCAAGACTAGCAAACACTTGCTCGTAGGATCCTGTAAGAATTTAAAAAACCGGTCTTTATATAAAAAGATGTATAATCAAGCTCTCTGTTTTAGAGTTAGAGCTAATCTCAAGAGCTAGATGTTTATCTTAGTGATTCGATGGAATTAGGGATTACCTTGCTGATGATCATGAGGTAGAAATGGAAGTTGTCTGGATTCAACCCAATTGTTGCTGAAGAACACGAAAACCAACACCATGGACGCCACCAGAGATGATGGCTTAGGCAACCAATAATAACACATGATATATGCTCTGTTTTTTCCTTTCTCCTTTTTAGCAATCCTAAAGTTGGTGGGTTTGAAATAGAAGAGAATGAATGATGAGATGATGATGATCGAGAATGTTGTTGTGGACAGTTTTTCCTAATCAACCCATATATATATATTATATAATTGCAATAGTAGGAAACTTGTTAAAATTGTCAAGGGTTTTGGTCTTTTTGGTCTAATTCACAGTTTGGTTTGGTTTGGGTGTCTAGAAGGTTTGGCTATTTTTGTCTGTTTGATGTGATATGATTGATTTTATGGGCTTCTAGAATCGATGTATGCGTGGAGGCTGCCGCGTTCCTTTGTGTTTACAGTTTTCTCTTGCATTAATCAAGATTCCGCTTTAAACACTCTCATCGCAAAATCATATTAAAAAAAATTACTAACAATTAAGTCGTTTTTGTTGCCGCATAGGAAAATTATAAATTTATAATTTTGATGTCAGGCTTCAAATTTTGTTCCGCTTAAAATGAGCCTAATCCATTTCAGGAATTGATGTCCTCGGAAAAATAAACGAGTTATATGCGTAAAAGGGAAAATTTGGATTAGATGCAACGGAGAGTAAATAATTAATAAATAGGGCAGTACACTGTTGAATAATTGTTTTAGGGGTACAATGATCAACAACCCAAACATGACTCTAACTCTTGAAATTAGATTTTCTTGTTTTTTTATTTGATTTTTCAACACATAAATTAAATCGTTCATGCTGATAAATATTTTAGTACTATCAATATGAAAAAAGTAATATGTTAAATGATGAAAAAAAAATATAATTATGTTGACATTAATAAATAAAGGTTAATAATTCTTAATTTTTTATAGGAGATCTTTTTTTTTTTCATATAATGTTAATTTTTTTTCAAGTAAATTTTTTTTTCGCTTTGACATTAGTCGAATTTTTCTTTCCCAAAAAAGTTGTACTTACACCAACCATACAACATATTTTACAAGAGTTACTTAAATTGCTCAATATTTCGTATTAGTAAAAACTTTAAAATTTAAGAATATTACAAATTTTTACCTTTAATTTTTTTTTTTTTGTCATTGACCATGTTAGTATTTTTGTATTAATCAGGCTTAGAGAAAAAAAATAAAAAGTAAATGAACTTCCAAGAATTTAAATTGATGTAATAAATAGGTTTTTTTATTAATAATTAAAGGCCTAAAGACATGTTTGTATGGTTGAATGATTATGCCCCTAATATAAATTATTCAAAAGTATAGCCTTCTTTATTAATTATTCAGTTTCCACTGCTCTTTATCCAAATTTTTCCTAAATGAAAATGTAGATTCAATATATACTACAGTAGGTTCCAAAAATATATTTTCCAGTTAGCGTCACAATCTCCATCTAAATTTATGAAATTGTTAGTAAATTTACATGCAATTTCCCCATTAGAACAACTTTTGACCTGCATGACGTTTATTTCGTTGTGGATGCAGTTGGCCTCATCGTCAAACGTATCCAAATTTTTATTCAGAAATTTTGTTTTCAGTTGCGTCTGTCGCACTCATAATCAGCTCGAATTCGTTGGATATCCTACATTACTGCGTTTGAATATATACTGTTTTCCAGAGGCACGAATGGTTGAATAAAAGAGGAATTGAAAAAATAAATAAAGATACAGCCACTTTTCCAGAAGGGCTGTAAATGGACCGTCCACGAAAAACCTTAAAGTATATTTGTTTGGTTTTTTTAGTGTGTGTTTTTAGGTTTTTTTTACATTAGGAATGTAAAAAGGTATATTAAATATTTTGAAAATACTGGAATGAGACATTTATTATTTAAATATTTTGAAAGGAATGTAAAAAGGAAATGTAAAAAAGTATATTGGGATGAGAGAGTTATTATTTAAATACCATAAAAAAACCTACCAAACAATATAACTGAGAAAATTGAATAGACCAACTGACAAATTTCAGAAAAAATGACAATTAACGAGTTTAATTTGCCAAGGATGAAAAACTGAGAAGGAAAGACGAGTTTAAATGAAGGTGATATTACCAACAAGCAAGCGAAATACTTAAAAGTAGTTCAGAGGTAAAATTACTACCTTAACAATAATGATTAAATTACTACTTAAAAGACATTTACTTCCGATAAAGACCTACTTAGATTAAATATAAGTACTCCCTCTGTCCCAAAATTATTGTCCAATTTGAGATTTCACTTTTAGTACAATTTGAACTAAAAATGAAAACTCAAACTGGACAATAATTATAGGATGGAGAGAGTATATTATAGTACTCAGTTTGTCTCAAAACATAGTCTCACTTTATTGCTTTAGTCCAATAAAGTGAACTAATTTTCCAGAGCAAATAGAATTTTGTTTTAAAAAAAATAAAAATAAAAAATTGTTGATTTCCACATAATGTCACGACTCACGACTAGGAATGATTTGAATGATTGTTTTCCATCCTAAAATTGTAACACAATAATAGATCGAATACTCCCTCTGCACGCAAGAAGAATCTTCCTATAACTTCTTCCAACAAATAAACATTGAGGAACATCAAGCACAGACGACTAATCAACACAGCTGACTTCTAGAATCAGCAGATCCTCAACAGCAATCAAATTTCGAAGAACAAAAAGATTAAAAAAAAACTAGCCCAACTTTATTTACATGTATGTTCCTCCAGAAGCAAGGCTAGGGAGATGGAAACACATCACAATGTAAGGCTTACATAGCAGCGGAGATAATCCTCGGAAGAAGGGAACAAACAAGGAGGAGTACAAAAACTAGCCTTAAAATTTCAAAACTATATGAAATCTGAGCCATCCCGAAATGGCTCTAAATCTGGATGTGTCCTATCTCCAGGCCTCCTGGGACCCCTGCAAGTGGATTCCAATTAAGACCTCCACTGGAGAGAACAGCAATGAAACAAATATACAAATTGCAGAATATAAAACAAAAAGCAAAACACACTCCAACATAATGAAAACCCAACTCTAATTGAATGAAAGCATTCAATAACCGAAGTACTAGAATAAATCAATGCATGTCCAGGTCTTTATAAATATACGTACGCATTAACTGCTTAGAATATATCACACAGAAAAGCAGAATCTGACAATATTGCACACATAAGATATCAGACTCAAATAAAAAACGTGTAGTCCACTACTAGCACACAACATAGTTACACGTTGGTTAAGAAGGCCCCATGCGGAACCAACGCACAAACAGAAACTAAACCACACTCTTGGTTCTCAAAAAGCAGGATAAACTAGATTAAATGAAACTCACTCATTTCATACCCAAACGAGAACACTTATTCAGTTATATAGACAACCTCCCAAACTCCTACACAGCTCAAAAGGACTGGTGGCGTAAAAAAGGTAGTCCTACTCAGATATATCACTACCAATAGTCAAATCTTATGACAGTGAAGTTGTCAGTACCTGGTGAAGCGATTCGGATCAAATCCGGGGACACCTGGAGGACCATAGGGATCAAATCGAGCACCAGGAGGTATACCCCTACTAGATAAAAGCAAGCTTATTAGCCCTCGAATAAGTTTATCCAGAATATACATAAAATACAAAGACACAACAACTCACGGCTGTGATTCTCTAGGTACGAGAGGATCTCCAAAATGAAACCGAGGATCATTCGGACCTGGTAAAGACATTCAGAGTTTGGTACTTTAGACTATGTTTTCTTTTTCTTTATTTAATTGATCAAATTCACACAAGAATTCTTAAGACCAACCTATGAGCATTCCACCAGGTTGACCAAGTTCGCCCCTACAAAAATCAGAAACATGTTAGCATCCTAAATTTAAAAGTATTGCTCATGCAAAATAACCAAAGCTTCACACAGTAATGTCAAAAAGAAAACATGAAGTCAAGAAACCTATTGGGGTACGCTCCAGCAGGAGGCCCAGGAAAGCGGTCATCAAACCCAAATCCAGGTATAGGAGGGACAACATAACTGCGTGCCAAAAGAACGGAGATTAAACCAAGTACGATGGGAAAATTAGGGCTATAAACTTCAACCATAATAATACATTAATAAGAAGGAAAAAGGATAGTTGCAACGGATGGTGTCTCTTCAATAATTTTCCAAATCAGCAGCACTAAAAAACCACATACTCATGACATGAATCATTAACTAGCTTTCTAACGAGGGCAGTGATAACAAAAAGGCATATCATGAGGGGAAAAAAACAAAATAACATGATATTCAATGATCAGACTTAGTATGATAAAGATGAAAAAAGGAAAGATCAGGGAATATCAGGTGATAGATATCCAACATCTCTTTAAACACCCCATAGCTCAAAGGACACCAAATAAAAACAAAAACTTTTGAGTAACTGTACGTGCATGTCTCAGGCCTAAATAAAGTAAAAATCTAGCTAGCTATTTATGGACCCAAAAAATGAAAAACTTATAGTTACCCTGGAAAAGGGGGATCGACTCCATACGGGTCATCAACGTCAGGAACCAGAGGATTAGGTTGCCTGGAATCTCCTTCAACCGCACCCTTACTTTCTGAACTACAAATAAGATAACATATCGAAGTAATAATTAATACTGTAGGCCATGAAATAAAAGCCGACCCATCATACAAATGCCCTAAAGTAAATCTATTGCTAGTTATAGCTCTCAGAAAGGAAACTAAGATACCTTGGCTTTTGACTGGAAGAGCTCGCAGTTGAACAGCCACTAAATTTTCCTACAATTTCTTTATCAACACATCTCACCAGCTTCCCAAAATTTTTGAACATTGACGCGTAATTATTATTGTTCCCTCCATTGGCAGCTGCATAATCACCAACGCTGTGAAAAGAACACGTCAAGTTATAAAAATGTAGAGAAACAATCAAGCAACCAACTCGTCCCTAGGCGATTCCCAACCCCAAAAATCATATATTCATAGCTACTTACTTAATTTCGAGATGGGCAGGTTCCTCAGAATCACCTTCTCTTACAGCATCAACGAACAATTTGTCATCCATTGGTAGACATTTTACTAGAACTTTTTTGGAGCTCAGGTCAGGCTTGGAATATAAAAAGGCATAACTATCATCGAACTGGTTCCACCCGTCGATGCCAACTTCTTCTGTGCTCAAACCAACAAAATTAAAGGAACAAGACATAAATTCGCCATTTTGCAAACCCTAATTTTAATTTAAAAGAAAACCAATCAACACAAGAATAATAAAAAATACCAGTAGAGGTGGAAGATAGAATGTCGTCGGCGAAAGCGGGTTGACCGGTGGCATGAAGATCAAAGCCGGAGGCGATAAAACAAGCGTGAACAGCGAAGACGACCTTATCATGATCGTTGCGAAAGGAAGGCCTAGCTGACTTTATAACTGCCATCACTGACTGTTCCCTTGCAGAATCCGCCATTGTTGTCTTTCGTCTGTGCCCAAAAGTAATTTCCGATCAGAGCAAAGAGTATAGAACAAAAATTGATTTGAATTCAGTTCTGAAAACTGGAGAAAGCAATTAATAACTTTATAATCGAAGCAGCAATTCCACTGACGGAAAACTAAACCCTAACTAAATTTATGGAGCAAACTACGGATTCACAAAGAAAAAACAAACAAACAAACAAACAAACAAAATTCCACTCACGATTTGTTTCTTCTCTCTTCGACTCAAATTGATGGATTGGTGATCGACGAGGTCTTCGGTGGAAGTAAACGTTTGAGGGAATTTGCAGAAATGAAAAATTGAGAAAATTGGGAAAGCGCTTACTTCCGCACCACCGGCGCCGATTTAGGACTCACCGACTTTTGGTGGGGCGGGGTAATGTGGTCATTACATGCTTAATTTTTGGGAAACATAAAATATCTATTTTTAATGATTTTATTTTCATTTTGCTTTCTTTGTTTTTTTTTTAAGAGAAAACCAGAACCTACAAAAAATGAATAAACACATGCCTATTACGTAACTTTTTAGAAAATGAATTAGTGATAAAATATTGTAAGCTCCAATTAGCGTTGGTGTATCACAAATTATCTTAAAAACACTACTTACAAATTATCTTAAAATTTGTGATTGAAGTGTATAACCAAAATCATACAAACCCGATTTTGAAACTCACACGAGAGAAATTAAAGTATTAAATTATTTTAAGAGGAACAGCTACAAGCAAAATGCAATAATTATTTATTTATTTATTTATTTCTTGGTATATGAAATCGGGTTATGGCCGATTGGCCGTCGGGAACGGATTCGAACATAAATTCGTTTCCTTCTTTTTTCTTTTTTGTTGGCTTTTAATCAAAAATAAAATAAAATTGTGGTAGGTCTTTTTGGTCTAACATACTTGTAATATCGTTAAAACATGGGAAATATTTGTGATAGGTCTTTTCGGCCTGGTTAATCGAAAGAAGCCCGGTAGGAATAGCTCGAAATAATATAGGAAATCTTTGGAGATTCCAGTGCCCGATATGATGACACGAAATAAAATGCATTATAAAGATCATATTTGCAATATTTTCCTGTTACGTCAAACTTTTCACTTTTTGAGAGGTGGTGTAACAATGCGATTTTAACTTTTAACGTTTGAATGAATGCAATTAAACTCGCGCCTGTGTAACAACCAATTATTATATGGTGAACCGTATTCACCATATTTTGTGTATAGGTTCTGTGTGAACACGCGCTTAAATAATTAATAATTAAATATGTTATTTATGAAAATAATACTACTAACATATTTTACGGACGTATTCTTGGGTTTTAAAATTCAAAATAAAACTATTTGATTGTTCAAATTTTAGTATGACTCGGATTCATAATATCATCTCATGTTTCCTGATTAAAAAAAAATTGTAGCTCTCTTATCAATGTTCATAACAGTTGGTGTTATTTATCATACAAGTATTGTATAATGTTTATATTAAATTACTGTATTTTCAATTAGGCATAACATTCATACATTAATGTGGAGAAGTTCATACTAATAATATTAAATTTTAACCTTATTTTCATGCGATTCAGGTTTTTTTTTACTAATGTTTATTAGTTGTACATTTTTTTTAATGGATTATGTTCATCAAATAAATAATTGTTTTTCGTACGATGTGCAAGTAATGTTCATGTGATTTATAAATATAATTTTATGTGTAGAAGTGAGTTCTTTCCCAATATTTGTCGTGTTTTTGTAGTTATTTTAGAATTGTTGATATTTTAGAATTATCAGGTCAAAGTTAAGTTTCAGTATTGAAAGTTTTAGAGCTAATTTTCATACATTGGTAATGTAAATTTCATGTTAGATGTCCATCATTATCATCCAAATGATATATTATATAAAGTTCATATGAATATAGCTTCTTTTTTTTATGCGTTTGTTTTTTTTTTTTTTATGTGACGAAAGGTTATTAGTTATATACTCCCTCCGTCCCATAATTATTGTTCACTTTGTCAAAAAATTTTTGTCCTAAAATTATTGTCCAATTTGATTTTTTATGGATTAAGTTACTAATTTGCCCTTTAGTAAAATTTTGACCTTATGGCCATTAACGACAGTGATATTCCCGTCGGCCACCACTTCCTCCTCCTTGCTTCTCGGATCTGGCGAAAAAGATTTCTTAGCTGATTTTCTTTCCTCATAATTAGATGATGATAAAGAGGGCGATTTCTTCTCTTCTCGCAAACTGAAAACCCGAGCCCCTGAATCGCTGACCGGACGGTGTTGCAGTTCTCGAACGTCTTCCGAATTTCCCTCAACGTGGTGGTGTAGATTACCACCTTGTTTTCCCCGTTTGGCGGGCAGATGGATTCGTATTTATCCATCTGGGAAGGAAAAGGGGACCGGTGGTTGGCCCAATTGAATGCGGGCGGTGCGGACGGGAGGAGAAGATTTAGATTTGAATTTTCTTTTGAAAGCGGCAGGGGAGGAGCAGGAGTGGAGGAATCGAATGCGGCGATGAGCTCCGAGGAGTTGATAACGTTATTTACCGGCGGAGGTTTCAACGGTGTGAGATCTGAGGAAGGTGGGAAGGAGATGGTGAACCGGGGAGGTAAAGTGGGAGCAACAGTGGTGGCGGCCAGAGGAGGAGGTGGAGGAGATGAGGGCGGTGACGGTGGGTCGAGAGTGAGGAGGCCGTAGATGGTGGATTTGAGGTAAACAATGTGGTGGGCGATGGTTTTACGAACAACTGGGGTTGGAGAAATACAGATTAAAAATTATTCCCGTCATCATATTCTATCGGCAGGAGATAGAGTTAAACAGTCACTTATGCAAGCGTATATTTGGTTATTTAAGCTAAAACATTGTTAAGTTTGACAAAAAATAAAAGCCTCCATTTTAATTAAATTGGACAATAATTATGGGACGGAGGGATTAGTATTTATAAAAGAACTTATGTTCATCAAATAAAGAATAGTTTCCATATGGTGGGTAAGTAATGTTCATATGATTTTCAATAATAACTATTATGTTTAAGAGTGAGTTTGTTTTCCAATATTTACGTATTAGTGTAGTTTCTTTAGAATTATTTGGTCAAAATTTAAATCGTGAGAAATTTTCATGCATTGGTATGATAAAGTTCATGTTAGTTGTCCATCATTATTCATACAACATGATATATTATATAAAGTATTATGGTTTTTTGAATGCCCAAGAAACTCCGTTTGAAAAAAAATAAAATTTGCTCAACCAGTAATAAATCTGTAACAAAGAAGCAAAAAACTAACACTGGAGGTTTTTATTATGGAAACTTACTCTGCTTATTTCTTTTTTTTTAAAAAAAAAAAAAAACTCTTCTTAATTCTGGGGAAAAAAAATTATGTTGTCACAATGCGCATAGGTTTTTATTATGGAGAAACTTACTCTCTTTATGTATGCGTGTAACACAAATTCTAAAACAAGATATAAATTACTGTAACCAATAGTTAGAACAAATAGTGAATTTTATGCTTAGTAAATTAATGAGCTCCACATTTTAAAACAAGTCACAACTCACATGTTATGCATTAGCTCTTGACCAATTTACACCAACACAAAAACATATGAGGAACCACCACACTATAGCCAAACAAAACAACATCCTGTAAATTAAAGTGGTTCCAAGTATTCACACAAGGAGTACAAATCCAAAGTTCAAATCTCAACTAAATCCCCTCATTTGCCGGGAACAAAGTTGGTGGCGTATGCCCATGCGTTGTTGTTGACGGGGTCGGCAAGGTGGTCGGAAAGGTTTTCCAAGGGACCTTTTCCGGTGACAATAGCCTGAACGAAGAATCCGAACATTGAGAACATGGCTAACCTGCCGTTCTTGAGTTCCTTAACCTTGAGCTCAGCGAAAGCTTCTGGGTCATCAGCGAGACCCAATGGGTCAAAGCTACCACCAGGGTAGATTGGGTCAGTAACCTCACCGAGCGGCCCACCGGCAATACGGTAACCTTCAACGGCGCCCATCAAGATAACCTGGGTAGCCCAGATGGCCAAGATGCTCTGTGCGTGGATCAAGCTTGGGTTGCCCAAGTAGTCAAGCCCACCTTCACTGAAGATTTGGGATCCGGCCTTGAACCAAACGGCCTCACCGAACTTAACACCGTTCTTGGCCAACAGCTCAGGGAAGACGCATCCAAGAGCACCAAGCATGGCCCATCTGGAGTGGATCACCTCGAGCTCACGGTTCTTGGCGAAGGTCTCGGGATCAGCTGAGAGCCCAGCGGTGTCCCAGCCGTAGTCACCGGGGAATTCACCGGTGAGGTAGCTTGGGGGCTCACCGGAGAATGGGCCCAAGTACTTAACACGGTCTGGGCCGTACCATGGGCTGCCGGATGAGACGGGCTGCTTGGCGGTTTTCCTCATGGAAATTCTTCCATTTCCCATGAGCTCAGGGGCGTTTGGGGACAGTTTTACTGCCTGTCCGGCGAAGGATGGGGAGGAAAGAGCCATTGTTGAAGCAGCCATTGATGAGAGAAACTGTTAGTAAACTGAAAGGAAGGAATAAAAAAGAAGCTGTTAAATGATGTTTTAGTGAGTTGAGTATGAAAATGCAAACGCAAGGAAGGCTATAAATATGGGAAGGGAAACCCAAGGTCCTTATCTTGCAATATCATTATCCAGATTTCAATTGGACAGCTTGGTACTCTTAGCCCATTTGGCAACTTCTAAAGCCACCACAAAATCTTTGTATTTCTCATTTTTATTTTAGGGTTTTTGTTGGTATTATTAAGATGTGTGAAAAATCTAACCGATGAATAGGGCTAGCCAATAAGGGATTGCCATTTGTAGGAGGGGATAGTGCAATATCTATCCTCAATTGATGGAATTATCAAGTTTATTAGAAATATCTTTATTTACATGTACATTGGTGAGACGGTGAAGAGTAAAAATCTTAAGAAATCAGAAAGAACCAAAAAGACAACTGTGAAGTTGGTCAAGTCAGTTTTTGTATTACTATTAGGACCACTCTTGTGGTTATGAATGGCTGGAGTTTCATGGCCGTTGTATTTCTTGAAAATCTATTGAAATGAGTATTTATTAGTGTCTCTTTTTTGCCTGGAAAATAAAAGATTATGTAGCATCACTCGTTAGTTGCGGGGCGGAAAAGTTTATGACACTAGACACCATTTGTGACGATATACTTTCTCCGGAAAAAAAAAGAAGGTTATATTTATCGAACAAAATGTGATACGAATTCCTAAACATATGAGAAATTGAAAAGCAACGGTAAAAAAAGAGTTATATTATTGTATGGCTAGCTTGCCAAGCTTATGGTAAAAAAGAACTAGCAGCCATTTTCAAAGCTTATGGATGTAGTTTCTCTCTAAGTACTCCCAACGGTTCTTAATATTAGTTATTTTGATTTTGTCCTAAGTTTTATTTAGTCATGTATTTTCAATTAACGAAAAAATCTTAAAAATATATTTTCACGTTCGTCGTATTCTCTTGATTGTTATGAAATATTTTTAAGGTTTTTTTATCAATCAAAAATACATATTATGTTAAACCTATGACAAATCAAAATACTTTATATTAAAGACCAAAGTGAGTATTACTCTTATCACATCATATTCGAATCGTGGTTTAACTTACGATGGAGGGATTTTAGAGCAATTATACTTTATCCAGATTTTTTGAGAGGTACTACTCTTATCGCATTATTTTTTCGAAACGCATGAGTCATGACCGAATTTTATAACACATTCTTACTCCAATAACTAACGAATTCCCCTAGCAAGATCCGTATTAATTCCACGTACTTCTTCCGTCCCAAAACTATTGTCTAATTTAGATTTTTCATTTATAGTACAAAATGAACTAAAAGTGAAAATTTAAACTGAACAATAATTTTAAGGCGAGAGAGTACTTTTTTATATTATTCTTTACCATCACATTGGTACTTTGGTTATTTGCTTCCTATCAGCTTAAGATATATACCCATTCTCCTAAACAAGAACTAATGCGCGGAATAACCCCTGCTCCAATAATCGAACAAAACCCAATAGTCATCGTGGAACCATTGATTCATCAGCCACTCTGAGTGTCTGATGGTTGAAACTACTATCTGAATTTCAACCTCTCAACGGGGAAGTGAAAATCAGTTTGTTGTATTGTATACTTGTATCATTCCACGATCATGAAGGCAATGCCAGACTATTACCATATTATTAAAGACCAAAGTATAAGTTTATAAAAAAAAACAAAAATTGACACTTAAAACAGTATTTCCCCCTCTTAAAAAAAGTACTATAGAAAACAAAATAGCGAAATGAATCTGTTAAATGAATTAGCAAGTGCAGGGAAAACAAACTTGTTTCCAAATTTCATTTATAATAAATTCTCATTGTTGATTGTTTAAATTAATGTACAAATCCTAATTATGTCCTTGCCTTACGGGCAAACAAAAATATTTTTGTAAGAAAATCTCTCTTTTCTTGTTTATAATTAACCCTATATCTCCCGTGAATTTACCGATGAATACTCGGCGGCAATGAATAAATTGAATCAAACTTGGTCAGCCGGAGCAGCTGCTGGTTTGTTAGCTGCTTCTTGTGCCGCAATTGTTCTTCTCGTAGCTCGAATGTACCAAATAATCGCCACCAAGAATGTGGTGGCCAAGCCGCCGAGAATAACTCCGCCACCGGCCACCGATCTGTCAACCGAATGGTGGCGCCGGTGTAGACTCCCAACATGGTCGTCTTCCGATGATCCAAGGGCTACGTCTTGATGTACGGAGTCGTGTTCTTCAATGTGATTTGTGCTTTCCTTTCCAATGGTGGGAGCTTCAGATGGGCTCAATCTCGGCGAAACAGCCGCTTTGGGGCGGTGGTGTCCTCCGATTTTCCGATTCCGATGGGCTTGCTCTGTTTTACTTTCTGATGGACTCAATGCCGGTGAAGAAGCTATGTCATTGGCTTCAGCTGCAACGATCAGGGCCGCCATGAAAATCAGTGAAAGAAGAACAAATCGAGCCATATATCTCTGTGAGTCGATCAATCTCTTTTATGAATTATGTGATCAGCTATTTAGTGCTCTGTTTTTTTGGATGGTGAACTGAATATTGCTGTAATGAGACGGGATTCACTAGCTATATATATACAGGAAGGTCTAGAAGATCCAGCGTTTTACTCTGCCCAGTTGCTAGCTGGAGGAGGAAAGTTCGCCTTTCATACTGAATGAATATATTAATAATTTTTTCTCCACGTAAGAATTTGGTCTGCGCAATGGAGGAAATCAAAGAAGCTACACGTGTAGGAATTAGAATAATGGGAAGATTACAGCTGGAGTTTTTCTAGTATTTTTTTTTTCAGTTGGGGGAACTGGAGACATGATCTGGTCTGGGCCATGTTAATTGTTAAAGCTCGTACACTGATTAATGAATGTAATGAAATGGTGTATAAAAATGGTTTATGAGTTGTTGCGGTGCTGGGATGGTGACTTTTGCTCTCATAGTCTCTTTGTTTACTCGGAATTTCAACGAAACTGGTAGTACTAATGTTGTTAGTATGGTGGGAAAAAGTGCAGTAATGGGGCGAGTGAAATAGTTAATGCGATCTGTTGAAAGTTGGAGCCATCCCAAAAACGCTGAATTACAGTACCTTTTTTAATTTCTCTCCGTTCCATGCAAATTAACGACTAATACTCAGAGTCACCACCCAATTCCCAACACCAGAGAGTATAGAATATGGATTGACACCTGGAATTCTTGATTTTGTAAGACAAGGTAGAACATATTTATTGCTAATTAGTACTCCAACTTATTACTCCCTCCGTTCCAAAATAAGTGTCATTATAGAGTTTTCACATAGTTTAATAAAACATTAAATAAGGTAATTAAATTACTAGAATATCTTTAACTAACCCCATTAAAATAAATGTTCACCAATAATATTATTTCTTTTGAAGGTATGTTTGGAAATTTTTGACAAAAAATGCATTGGAATCCGAAAACGACATTTATTTTGGAATTTCTCCATTTTGCTAAAATGACACTTATTTTGGAACGGAGGGAGTACTACTCTTCCACTTATAGTGTTATTAATTTATACCATGAAGGAAGAAGACTAGTTATGTTACTGACCACAATAGAGACCCTGTAATATAGAAAAAAAAAATGTTTGGTTTTACAATGCGGTTTGAATCAGAATCCCTCAAAACATAACAGTAAAAATTCCACATACGCCACTCAAGAGAATCGACCCCGCATACAAGAATGCCCAATTGAAATACGAGTACGATGAACTCATATTTTGCTACTGGCTGGGCATTGTATTTGTACGCTGAGAAACTTTTTTCCACAATCCTGAAATTTTTCGCCAGAAGCAGCTGAAGAGTTATTTCTTTCGCTTGCAAGGTTCTAAATCCAATCGATTAAGCTCGAAGGATTGAACTCAAGATGATCCATCAGATGCTAGTCAAACTTTGACCAACTGGCTATAGTCCATCCCCAACCAATTCAATTAACATGCCAATCAATATATGGCCACGTACCAACCAAAAATCAAGGACGAATTCTTTATGATGCATGCAACTTTTTCAACAGGAGCTAATAAGTTTATGATCATGTTTTTTTTTTTTTTTTTTAGTATTGAATTATGGAAAAATCGTGCATGTTATCGTTGTCGAGTGTTTAAGACACAATGGTTTGGGTTCAGAGATTCCATTTTTCCCCAAATGTTAGCACCAAATCAATCAGTTCTAAATGGTCTACCAAGAGCAATCAAACATTAGTTCAATAGAGATGCTTTTGTGTCATCAACGGACAATTGGACATCCAAGCAACCTGTTGGTGAAGATTCCAGATATATAATATTCGTTTTTGCAATCTTTCAATTGACATATTCGAATTCTATCGCTCAACCCAATTGGAATATAGTGGACGACGAATGCTGATTGATGATGATAACACACTCAGTTTATCTTCCGATTGCAGGCTCATTCATCTTGGCCTAATTGACTTATCAAAAATTTTAACTTTCCTATACCATTTTCTTTGTGCTAGTTGGATACATACACGCGATAACTGATACGTACTTTAGCTAACACACGGAAATTGTTACAACCAGCAATTAATAGAGTATTATTAGAGTTTGGTACGGCTGTGATCTTCCTTTTTTTTCCTAAATTTTAGCAAGTTGTTATGTGATTAACTAGTTTTTGCGTCGACTTTCAGAAGTTTGTAACATTACTAGCTGTTTTTGTGATTATCGATCCTCATTAAATAAAATTTCTGATGCTGCCACAAATGGACAAGCACGAAATTTCTCGTGCCATCAAAATTGTTATGCTTTATTTGTTCTAATTAGGCTAGCTACTTAGGTAGATACTCTCTCAGCCTCTAAATCATTGTTGAATTTATGTTTTCATTTCTAGTTTACTTTGTACTATAAATGAAAATCCAACTGGACAATAATTTCGGGACAGAAAGAGTATTATATATGAACATCCTCTTAGTTGTATTTCTCAAATGGACCTTGCAAATTCTAACATTCTTCCTTAAATCATTTTCTTTCCGAAAAGGGAGAATTGAATGACAGTCTAGTGATTAGATTGATGTCTTTTCTGGTAATAGATCAGGGTTCGATTCCCACATAAAATTGTAAGGCGGGTTTTACTTACATTTAAATGGGATTCATTGGGGTATATTTTTTTTATTTTTTATTTTTCAAAAATTCTTCCCGAAGGTTTGACTTTAGTTGCTCATGCAACAATACTGTGTGTTAAATTGTTCTTCACAGGGAATCAGAAGGTGCCCGCTATTTGGGAAACAAAAATGTCCTTTACAGCTGGAAATCAAGTGATTATCACAACAACTTGAGCTTATTCTTTAGTGATGATTTCCTGTCAAACGCTGTCTCCTGGTCCTGCTTCTTACATTAATTCCAACTAAACTATACACTCTTACATTAATTTGGTGTTTTAGGACGATGATTAATTTAACCCTAAGAAATGTTTTTTTTGGGACAAATGTGTTGGTCAACTGCACGGTTGCACCAACGTTAATCTGATAGCTTCCTCATGCATCCGATTTGTCCAAAGATGGATGCATATACGACAATACCACGTGAGATATGAACAGAATTTAGCGTCGCATGCAATTGAAATTTAATTGAGGTAAAAAAAAAAAAGAAGAAGAAAGAAGAAAGAAGAAAGAATTAGACGCAGGAAACCTTCATCAGATATGCCTAAATCCGAATTGATTGGTTAATTCGGTGATATGCACAATTTTATATAGTAGTATTTTCTTAAAACAAAAACTCCGCATGAAGCGTAAACTCAGAGAAAATAAATCGGAACAGTTTCATGGATTCACAAGTACCTAAGCTTGATTAATCTATGTTGCCGTTTGATCATGACATTTTTTTTTCTAACCATTTTTAAAGCATACCATAATAAGATATTTTAAAGGTCTTATTTATAAGACATTTGATTTCTCAAAGAAAATAAAAAAAAAAAAATCGTCCAAAGCCCTTAAATAATTCATCATTTAATGATACGCTACTCATGGAACCCAACCAACTCAACTTTATTAAAATCAGTTCCTTAATTAGTACTAGATTTATCCTCCAAACGTTGCTCAGTTAAAAAATAAATTATAAAAATTACTCACTTTGTATATATATACAAAAATCTGACTAGAAGGTACATAAAAATACATACAATTTATATAAAAAGGTCTAAAATAGAAGGCATAAAAAATATATAGAATGTATGAATAAAAGTTTATGATCATTTAAATGGTTTATTTTCTAGTTTTTGACAGAGAAAAATATTTTTTTTGGGGGGAGGGGGTGTTGGATTTATTCAGATGAAGAAAAAGAAAGAGAAAAAGAACTCATCGTTGAAGAAGAGAAAAGATAGAAGTCTGATAAAAACTAGTTACTTTCTTATTGATGAATAAAATATCAACTACCTTTAAATAGGCTTTACATAATAACCATGAATAGAAAAAATAGGTATCAAATCTCATCTTAACTGAAACTAAAAAACAAAACAATCAAGAAGAATCTAAACAACTAAATAATTGATCAAATCTACTTTGAATCAATCTCCAACACTCTCCCATGATTCAAAGTAGCAAAAAAATTTTTTGATGCGAATGAAAAATACGAATTTCAACGCACTTTCTCGTCAAATTTGTTGATGCACTATCTCACAAACCTTGTTGATGCACTCTCTCACTAACCAAACAATTTTGGAGTACTTCAATTCTCCTATTTGTTGATGCATCTTCTCACCAACCTTCTTCAAAAAAGTGTTTCTTTTTCAGTTTCCTAACATAATATTTGCTTGTTCTTCAACTTTAGTCCTACAATTTATTTGTAAGTGTCCAAATCTTTTGCACTTATAGCATTGAGGCTTTCCTCTTAACCAACAGTCTTTTTCTTCATGACCCGATTTCTTACAATTTTTGCATTCAGTGATTTTACTCTTCCCTTTGGAGACCCTTGCCATATAATCTCCATCAATTACTTGTTCCTTTCTAGTATTTCTCATAATTCTTCTCTGCTCTTGTACTTGTAGAGAGCTGATCAATTCTGGTGGAGTCATTGTACTGACATCTTTTGATTCTTCGAGAGACGAGATTTTTGCTTCAAATTTTTCTGGCAAGCTTACAAGCATCTTTTCTACAATCCGGCTTTCAGGTAGTTGCTCTCCCATCAAGCGAATTTTGTTCACCACTGTCATCAACTTTTCAGAAAAATTCTCCACAGTTTCTTCTTCTTTCATGCTTAAAAACTCAAAATCTCTTTTAAGATTCGAGACCTTCATTTTCTTCGTCTTCTCATCACCTTGATATTGTTGTTGTAAAATATCCCAAGCCTCCTTTGCTTTCTTACAAGTCATGATTATTGTGAAAACTGACTCTGAAACGGCTGAAAAAATTATTGATAAAGCTCTTGGAGCTTTCGTTTATTCTTCTTCATGAATTTTTACTGAGAAAGTGTCGGATTGTTACCTAGAGGTGGTAATTCCACCTCATTAGCAACCCACTGCCAAAGACCAAGACTCTTTAAATGAGCTTTCATTTTGACAGCCTAAGCTTGATAGTTTTCACCTTTGAAAATTAATGGTGGAGGATATGAAGAATTGTTGGAAGCCATGGTTTTTTATTAATGAATAAAATACCAACTGCCTTTAAATAAGCTTTACATAATAACCATGAAGAGAAAAAATAGGAATCAAATCCCACCTTAACTGAAACTAAAAAATAAAAAAATCAGGAATAATCTAAACAACTAAATAATTGATCAAATCTATTTTGAATCAATCCCCAACAGGGAGGGGACTTTTGGAGGAATACTTTATGTGCAATTTTATAAGCCAATTAAATGCGGCTATCTTTAGGCGGTTTTAGATTTTATAGGCAAAACTAAAAATAAAAAAAATCAAATTAAATTACACATAATGTGCAATTCTAACAAAATTCATTTCTGTCCTTAGTTTTTTATAAAAAGAAAAAGTAATAAAATATACTTAAATATTCCAACAAAACTAATCCTAAATAATAAATTATACTTAGATATTTCAACAAAACTAATCCTAATCAAGTAAAAACGAGATATTTTCTAATTTTTTGTTAAATAAAAAAATAATTTAAAATGAAGTCAAAGTAATTTGGATTTTAATTTTGTGAACAGTTGTGTGAATAAGATAGACGTACAATTTTTGCTTTAAATTTTATGATGATAATTTGCGTTTCTATTTGATTGTATGAATAGTTGCCTTAATTAACGTAATCATTAATGTATGATTTGATAGTAAATAACATTGTTATTGAAAGATGATTATAAATTTAATTTAATCTAGTTATAATTTTTTCTTTTTACACTTTAATGAAAGACGAATAGAGTTATGACTTGTGACACAATAACTCTAAAAACCCTCCTGAACCACAAGTAGATATTGAAAACTCTTTTTTTTTTACTAAGAGGACGAGAGTTTGATTGTTACTATCAAATTTGTATATATATATATATGTAATAATATATAAATTCTCATCGGGGCCATCTATTTTTAAACAAAAAAAAATTATATATATATAAATTTCCCCGCTAAATTTTTTTAAAAACATCATAATAGGAGAAAAAAATGGACTATGCACTTTCTCTCATCATATTTTTTAGTATTTGCATATCCGGAAGTTATTCGCAATTAGCCCACTAATAAGATGAACTTGATCCAAAATTTTAGTGTGGTTGAATTACAATGTCTTGTAACAAGCTGTCTCCAGTTATTATGATGGGCCGTGGCCCATATCATTTCCCATATCATTTCTCGATAGTACCCAAAAATGTCGCAAAGTGACTTGATTCAGTCCAGTTTGCGGTCTTCTTCATTCTTCTTCATTCAGTTTCCATCTTCAACCTTCTTCGTCGACGGCAGATTACGTCTGAAACCGCCGTGACGAATGGCGGCGCTGTCCATATCTGTCTCAAACCTCACAACTCCGCACCAAATTTCATCACTCGGGTCTATCTCGGGTCGCTACGATGTTCAATTCATGCGGATGATAACATATCCTCAACTTTCTATTACAAAATTTCCTGGCAATCCTCTCAAAACGACCATAATTCGAATGGGCGGGGGCCCACGGACTTATCCGGGAGGGGTTTCAAAGTGGCAGTGGAAGCGAATGCAAGCTAAGAAAGCGAAGCAGCTTCTCAAGGCCCGGTTGGCCCGTGAACGCCAGATATACGAGATGCGAAAGCGGGCCGAGCTCAAGGCAGCCGTATCTGAGCTTGAGAGACCTTGGGAGGTCGTTGAGAAAGCTCCCAATTTGTTCTCTGTCAGTGCTGATGAGCAGTTGAAGGTATTGGCTGATCGTTTCCAGAAGCCGGGTGGGTTTGACATGTGGTCTGAACGAGACGGGCCCGAACTGTTCAAGACCGAAGGTGGGCTTCCTTCCGCCAGGTATTTCCCAAAAGGGGTCGTTCATAGTGTCAAGCCTTACGGAAAAGTCGAAAAATTCGATGATCTGTCTGATGAATTTGGGGCGGGGGAGGAGGATGATGAATCTGGATGGGCCTCCGAGGGTGAAGGTTATGGTAAATTGGAAGTAAAAGGACCTCGGATGGGCGATTCATCTTCGAGGATTAATAATGGGGATAAGAACTTGAGTTCGAAACTCAGGAAGCTGTCTAATGAGGGTAATAAGGAAACTGGTTCGAAAAACAAGTACAGAAATAATTACAATAGAAGCAATAGTTTAGGTAGGGATAAATCAGCTGAAGTTGGATTTCTCAGGGGGAAGAATCAAAAGAGTAATGGTCAACGTGATCATGTAATTTATAATAGAAGGCGCAATAGTGTGAAGGCAGTTAAACATTTGGAATCAACCGTTTTTGATATGACATTGCAGAAAGATGGTAGTTATGAACTAGAGCCAGAAAAGAGGACATAGAAGAACTTTCCTTTCAAAATCTGCTGTCAAGGTACGTGATTGCTGCGGTTTAATGGTCGAGAAATACCAGATATTTTGAAGCAGTGTTCTGATATGAAAAGCTGCTCAACAAAATTAAGATGCTTTATCGCTGGTAATCATATGTTCTCATTATTATTGTTTTACAATTTAAAGTGCATATATGTAATTCTGATGTTAGTCCCTTTTACATTACTCATTTAATGAACAATTTGTATAGCAAATGTGCATATGAAATAGTGCCATTGTATCTGAGAGAAATATAGTGCCAAAGATGACAGATATCTCTCTTGATTGATCACTAAAATTGGATCCTCCATATCTGATGAAAGCATTTCTGCACTCAATTTCACATTGCCATTTGACTTGATTAATTAAAGATTGCATTGGGGTAAAATTCAGGTAAAACCTATAAAGAATAATATAATCTCACTCATCAATGGTTTCTTTGATAGTCAGTTGCGATGATTTTAGAAGGCTCCAAATTCTTAAACATATCGTTTTCTAGCCAAAAAGATTCGAGTAACATGCCATACTTGTAGCAAAAAGATTCTAAGTTTAGGCCAACTACTCCAGGTCTTTAGGGATACTTCAGGGTGTTATGGTTGTGAGGATGAGATTAGTTTGCTTGTTGATTCAAAGAGAGTATTGCTTACACTCATTTTGATGACACATATATCCTACGAATAGTTTTCTTGTAGAGAATTATTACATTGATGAGGAAATATGTGTACCTGTCTCTTCTTCCTCTTTGAATCAAATGATAAAGAGGTATGCTTGAATACTATTTACTTATCTGATCTGTCAGCAATTATGTTTACATGGCCAATCTTTTGATAGAAGTTGTTAAAGTAGTGACTATAGTCTGCTCCATTACTGTTATCATCTTTAATGACCAGGATATGCCATTTTGAAAATTGTCTGTTGATCATTGAGTTTTCTTTGGGAGAATGATAAGATAATTAGTGGGGCGTTTTATTTGACTTCCCACACAGACAAATGATGAGTTCCATTATCATCAGGAGGAAAGGTTTGATATTGCGATCATCTTCATTGACATGGTCAATGGTTTCCTAATTTTGTCCCCTTTCTCTTACTAATAAATCTCAGAGATCCACGTCGTTCAATCCTTCTGGTTGTAATTCCCATATGGTGCTGTTACATCGTTCCAAGTAGTTACAACGTAAGCTTTTTGTTTCTACTTCTCTACTTGCTTGCTTTTCATTGAGACATCTAAGCAACAACAAGGGTCTTAAAGAAAGTTTGAAGAGTTTGTTTGGGGTTTTGTGCTTTTGAGTCCATGATAATCCCGAACTTGGTTGCCTGTTCGTCTTGCAAGTTTAGACTGTGCATTACTGTTTCTCAATGGTGACGTATGACTAAATGACTATATAGCCGACCTCACATAGTGGGGAAAAGGCTTCTTGTTGTATTATTTTACTGTTTTATGTGGATTCCTTTGACAAAATGTGTGACGTTCATGTCTTTGTCTATAACCGAAAAAATTGCCAGTGATAGGTTACTACAAAAGGGGTCAACTGTACCATCGACTCTAGTTGACAATGTGTGCAGCAGGAGTTGAGATATTACTGTAGTTTGTTACCTGGTGTGATTTCATGATTCCACATTAGCTATATGATTTTAGTCTTCAGAAGCCACGGGGTAAGATAACATCTAGGTATCACTTATTAGTCAGCAACTCAGCTTAGTGCTCTAAATAATGTACACTGATAGTGCTTTGACTACTGATGGGGCAGCCGCAATTGTTCCCATGTAGGGTTCCATTTCCATAATTCTTGTGGCATATGGATATATAATACACATTTTAAAATGCATGACTATCTTATTGATCTCTCCATGTAATTAAATCTAATATGAAATAAATGGTAATTGAGGTTCCAAAACCTAACTGCTCCATGTTCTGCACTAATGAGTTTTCTTTTTCTTTTATTTTAAAATATGTTAAATGTTTCTGACTTAAACTTTTCATCCCCTGCGATTGAACATTTGAACCTGTTTTCCTCGATCAAACCTCCAGTTAATATTGCCATAACTTTTCGGAAGAGGTGCCAGTTTTGTGTTAGCTTTAGGTTTTATGAATGCTAAGAAGTTGTTGGGATGCCTGCAGCTGTGTATTCTCATTTCGTCTATAGTGCTCCTAGGATTTTACTGCCAGTTTGCATTGGTCGAAAGCTGATTGATTTCAGCAATAGAGTGAAGTCTCTCAGGCATATGATTGCAGTTCTGTTGCCTGGAATTGTTGGTTGTTTATGATGTTATAGTGCTGATGAACAAGTTTTTGATATGCATTGCTGAATAATGGCTTGACATTATGGGCCATTTCCAGATTTGGTATCTTCTTCCCACTCCATATTTGTATTGGTAAGTACTCCTTGCATCACCACACAATTGCAAAACGGAAAGATCGGATGGGGAAAAGGAAAACTGGAAAGCACTTTGAAGGAAAATGGAGCGTGTTTTATGGCCCATTTTCCAGATTTATTAATTGCGTATTAGGGATTGGGGAGTGCGTGTCACTCTGTCATGTCTAATTAGTGAGGTACAATTGTTTCTTCAACTAAGCTGGCAGTCACAACACCTCATGCTATTCTCAATCTTGTTACCATCAAGTACAATTAGTTTCAGTTTCTTCCCGTAGTAGTACTATCTCCTTCCTCATATACCTACCCATATAACAGTCTAGGCACTTGTAAATTGGTTCTTGTCAAAAAAAAAAAAAAAATCTGAAAAAATAGAAGGGAATTCACTTGTTGAAATATCTACCAAGTTAATTCAGGTCTAACGCAAGAGCAAAGATAAATATATAGGTCGACTGTCTACTCTATTATTATGTACTTACTGGCTTAAGAAAATAGTTTATTTAAGTTGTGAGATTTTTACTATTTTTTTTATGAGGGAGTAATTACTTTACTGTATTATGTAAATACAAGAGCACTAAAAGAGGAGTGAGTAAACATCTTTTAACAAACACACATATAAGAAATGCTTTTGTTTCTCCTTTACTTTCTTCACTGAGATTTGGAGTAGGTTAAAAAGGAAAATGGATAAACCTTAAAGCACATTTAATTTGTGAGTGTTAGTGTGACTGTGTTTTGTGAAAATGGCAGTTTTGATTTGGACACCTCGCACTCTCTTTACTAAATACTATAAGTGATTCCACTAGCTTCTATTTTAAGATTATTGGAATATATGCTTTCACTGTTTGATACCTTGAGAGATCAATTACAAAAAACCATAGACTAATCTTCGTCTTTATCTTTTTTTTTTTCAAGGAGAAATTCTCTTCGGACTTGTAGAGCATAAAAGTATTATGTCCAAATCAGACATAAGTAACACACACAAATTATTTATCGAATCAACAATATTCGGAGCTTCTAAAATTGTTCGAGAATGGAAGTTAGCTTGCCAACAAATAAACACATGTCCAGAGTCAGTCTATCACCTTGAACCGAATTGGAAATAACTAAATAGAAAACCCTAATCTGAAACTCCATTCGTTCCGGGAAGGGGGGAAAAAATTGTTCCCTGAACCAAAATTGATACCACAAACAAGATTCAAGTGAGTGAGTTGCCATTTTCTCATAAATCTATAAATGCTGAGACTCACATGGCGAAAAAGATCTGAAACAAATTTTTTTGGGACGAAGAGATAGCTAGGTCTGAAATATTGATAAAGATTTGGATGATTTTCAACTGTCCGACCGTTTTTAGGCACGTGAAAAATGTTTGATAAACTGTCCAAATTCCAATTGGATTTCAGTAGAGTTTTTTTTGATTGTAGTATGGACCAATGCATGTTTGATCATAAAAGTAATCCTTCATTCAAAGATTTCAACTACAAGAATGCAATCTCTATAGCCCCGGACGAATTATTTGCGGGTTTGTGTGCGTTATTCCTTTCCGACGCAACTCGCTAGTAGATTTTGCAATTAGTACGTGCTTTCCTTTTTATTACATGTGATGTGAAACCAATCAATCAATCAAACGAAGGAGTAAAGACTTTTACCGACCTTGGTAGAGATTCTTACACAAAAATTCATTCACTTTGTGCAATGAATCCATATGACTTGATCTTGATGTGTTGAATCCCACCCCAAGCATGGGAAAAACATGCGGAAATATGCTTTAGGAACATTAACTTGGTGGTGGTAAGTCCACTTCTGCAATCCAGAAGTTTCAAAAAGTTGATTAGAGTTGCATAAAATTATTTAGTGTTCCTATACTTCTCAGTATTGGTCAATTTTTATTAGTATTCCAACTATAGTCAAAATGCAGTTTTAGTGATTGATGATTGTCTAGGAAGAAATTGGACTAAATGTAGTGTATTTTTTCAAGTACATCCAAATAGAAATGACCATACTAGAAAATTTGGGATGGAAATTTTATCCCTGTTTTCAAATAATAGTGATTTTTATGGTATTCCCTTTGTCCTTAAAAAATAGTACATATTGTAAATTTTGTATTTTATAATGTGCATTATATTCATTTTGACAGGAAAATATTATTATAGTAAAAAAAACAAAAACTTATTTTATGACAGGAGTAAATTTTGTGAATCAAATTACATTTTTCCGCCAGAAATTAACACGTGACTATATTTTCACCAACCACACACAATATGCTCCTTAATTATATTGTGCACAATGCAAGCATACTAATGTTGCTTCTGATTATAGTGTCTGATGTCTGATCAATGAAAGTCAACCACTTTCCGGAATAATTTAAAGAACAAAATGAAAAATGATTAGGAAAGTCAAGTACTTATTAAACTGTAAAATCTTGGTGGAGATTTTTTTTTTATTTTTTATTTTTTGACATCCTCTTGGTGGAGATTAAAAGATAGGGACAATCTCAAATTGTTAATTATTACACTTTTGGCACCCCCAAAAATAGTTAAATTTAATGAACCAAAATTGATATATTGGATGACTTATTATTTGAAACTGAAAAATTAACATAATAGAGTATTGTGTCTAATTCCATCAAGTGCGCTGCTATTTGTTGCCCTCTTAAATAGGGATCGCTCATTTTGCACAAATTTTTTACCCGTCATAATTTCAAAACCGCGAACCCTTTTCTTCCACCTCTCCAAATCCTCCCAATCTCCAAACAAGAAAAACACTCTTGATCATATCATAAATTTAATTATTACTAAAACAAATCGTATCACTAATTAAATAAATAAGTAAAAAAATAAGAAAAGGAGCGGGCGTCCATCCCAGACACTCCGACCGCGGTCCAAATGTCTAGATCATACATAAATCTCATAAGTTATATTTTAAGATTTTAATTTTCAAGACCGGATTATTTTTTTTTGGAACAAAGGTGTATTACACTAATTGAGAGGAATTAAGATGTGGTTAAGAATATTTGAAGAGCACTAGCTACAATATCATGCTCATTACCTCCATTATATAAGTAATGTTGGGGGATAACTTTAATTAACTTTTACTACATGATGTATATATAGTGGATGACAATATGAATTAAGCACCAAAATGACTTCATAGGCTTTTATTCCCTAGCTAATGATTTGATCTACTTATGATTGCTATATTAAAGTACCCTATTTCTTCCAACTCGTTTTTCTTATGCTAATAGTTTATGTAGGTTACTCCTGTTTTGTTTTGTTTTGCATTTTTTTTCCGCCACCAATCGGGTCAATACTTCTAATTATGACATACACAACCTCTTAAGCAGAATTAGTATCCAACAAATAATGAAGCATTTTTTACAGTGTTCATATCCATCATTTGTAGCTAATTTTCTGATTTCCCTCCTAGATCCATGACTTCAACCTAATATTGTACGAGTACTTTAACCACCGTAGTACACAGTTGCTTGATATTGTTCTAGGCTTATACGCCTCCCGTAGATTTTTTTTTTTTTTTTTAAAAAAAAAAGAAATTTCTTTTTGTCATTCTATGATCACGTGTACAATCAAGTAGAGATAAATAGGTCAGGATTAGATTCGTATTTAACCTATCTTAATGTGAAAAATGCATTAATTAGTAGGCTTAAATCAGAATCTTTTGAGTGTATAGACACTAGAGAAGGAATCTTGCACAAATATTCCAGTTCAACTACACGTCTAATATGCAATACTGGATTTTTCTTTCTACTTTTCCCTTTCCTTGAACGATCTGTGTAATCCAAAGGAAACTGAAACAGTTCTTATTAGCGTATTTATTCATCTCTTTCCATATAGTACGTATTTAATATTTTCATGTTCTCACCTCTCTTTCTTCCAATATCTTCTTCACTCCTTGATTACAACCAGTCAACAAGAACGCGATTCCGGTGTACATATACGTGAATATGTGACCGTGGCCTAAAATCACAGTTCTTATAATACAGAAAAGGAGGCAATATTCGTTGAAATTCATTTGTTAAAATGAAAGTAGCATGAAATCCGAAGTTTACTGTTCTTAGTCAAACAAGTTTATTGATTTGGCAGCATTTGTCCATTTTGTTTAGTTTTCAATACTGTGTCAACGCTGTAATTTTGCACTAAATGTATGAGAGATTGGACCATGTGGGAGGTATATATTTGACTTGGGAGCTTACAACTTAAAATGGAACAACTTTTAACAAAAGGTTGGCTTCCTAGAAAATGATTGTTCAATATGTGAATATGTTCGTTTGATATATATACACGTACTATACTATACTATTTGAATAGCACCGTTGTTCAACCACATTGGCTGCTTAGCTTCTGTCATTTTCCATCACCCCCACAGTACAAATTTCATCAATGGCTTTTCTGTTACGAAACTCATCATCATCCATATTCTATCCTTTGAGAATCTCAACTGTCGCTTCACTTCATTCGTTCCTGATTTGATGTCCGTTTCCTTAAATTCTCCGCCGATTTTGAACCCTTTTGAATTTCTCTTTAATCGAGTGCCATTTCCTAGTGAAGACTGCCAACTTGACCCCGGGCGGTACCAAATCATATACGACACCAACCTAATTTATACCAATATGACAGGGGATGATTATAACATTGGACCCAAATATGATATACTCTATTTAGTGTATATATATGATCATGTGACACCGTGCAAGTCACATGAGATAATTTTTTTTTGGTTTTTATATTACGCATCAGGTGTATGGAATTACTGTTCTGACTAATTCGAATCCGAACACGGTAAGTCTCTTTCAAGAAATTAAATAAAACTTTCCGAACAAATATTTTAATTACTGTTGCATGTCATGATCATGTTTGATCTCAGGTTATGTGACATTTGTCCAATACCTTTACACTCATTGATCACATGAGAGGCATTTTAACCTAAACAAACCACGAGTGGCTGGTTAATAATAATTGGCGAAGTCGATCTTAAAAGTTTTCAGTGAAGATTGAAGAGGCACTCAATCGCAATATGGCCGGTTTATATAGCAAAGTGCTATGAACTAAAGAAAATATTGAAATCACGACTTGGAAGTTTTCAAAAGATTTCATTTGTGAATGGGAAATTGCGACTTGATTATGATACCAAGAATCACTCAAACCATAGCTAACTATTTACACCTATGTATTTTGTCCTCAATTCCAATTGCTAAATTTGCAACTTTTACTGCTTTTGCTCTGGTCCTCACCTTTGCGATTACTAGTAAATTAATCAAGACCATTTTGAAAAGCGAAAACCTACACCTACTGGCTATTGCACTTACTACATCTTGAGGTTTAAAAGGCCCATTCAATAAGATAAAAAGAGGTAAAACCTACTGGATACTGCACTTACTACATCTTGATGAGGTTTAAAAAGCCTATTCAAGAAGATAAAAAGAAGGTAAAATAAGGGGGGAAACAAACATTGCTTTTGTTTTGATGAGGTGACCCCAAATCCCAATAATGATCAACTACACAATGGAAAATGGAATGTCATTCCCCTGTTTGAGGACCAACCAAGGGATTTAGTGGCTCATTTTTCTTTAAAGATCTTTTTTTTTTTAATTTCTTTTACAAAATTCTTTTTGGGTTCAAATCAAATGACAAGACTTTTAGTTCATTTCTCCCCATATCCATTTTTGAAATGATTCATTCTTCTCTCACAAAATTTTTGTCAACAGTAATCAGCATCAGGGAATAAGATGCAATGGGATTCCTTTCCTCCCCTTATATAAAGGAAGGTCGCCAAACCATACTAATACCAAACACACAACCAACAATCAAACTCTTCTGAAAAAAGTAGTACCTCAAAGCTTCAACTCCCTTTTTGTCCCCCTCTCTTTTGTTGTTACAATATGGAGGACAAAAAAGCGATGAAGATGGATGCCATGAAGAGAGGAGAAACAGGTGAAATGGATGAGGAAAAATGGGTTTATGATTCTTCAATGGATCATAAAGGCAGAGTTCCTTCAAGAGCTTCAACTGGCGTCTGGAAGGCTTCTCTTTTCATCATTGGTATGCAAATTAAAACGATGGAATAAAACAGCTGATTTTTTCACATTCCAAAATCCTTATTAACATGTCATGGTAATGTTAGTGGAGGAGTTGAAGGAATTTTCCTCTCAAAAGATGATCGTTTGATGTGCTCTTTTATTCTTTGTTAGCCACACTAAAAAAAAATAAAAATTCTTCGTAGTGATTTGATGAACAATTCTTATACTCTTTCTTCTCTTTTCTTTTTTTTTTTTTGGTTAAAATTCTTATACCCTTTAGTTCTAATTACGTTTACTGAAACTACAACAGTACAATGATTTTTTCTTTTATTGGCGGACAAAGAATAAACTTTGTGTGGAAGCCAGTTGTTAATTGCTCATGCAATGTCACACTTATGCATTCTATAAGATTTTCATGATTTCAGAGTCAACTGTCTTTCCATTTTTTAAATTAATTACTTAGATTAACTTTTCCCCTAAAAATGAAATTTGCTTGCACTAAACATTTCTGCTAAATTTTGTTTGTTCCCAAAGAAGTTTCTTAAAAACTGTAACGAAAAATAAGTTGTTCATATCATAAAAGAAGAAATTGCTATGAGTGTAAGCCTTGCAAGAGCGATGCAGTTTCATCTAACTTAATTACGTGTCATTGTTATTAAAAAAAAACCCCGACAATGTTACTTCCTCCATTTTAAAAATAATAGTCATAACTCTTATTTTAGGAGGAATGGAGTAAATAATAAAAGTATATAAGGGAGAAAAACTTCAATAGGAAAATTTATAATAGTATAAAATTATAGTCGTACAAGAGTTTCCTTTTTTTTTAAGAAAAAGAAAAAAAACAAAACTAAGAAAAACGGTTTTGCTCATGCAGCAATTGAATTCAGCGAGAGGTTGAGCTATTTTGGAATAGCAACAAGCTTAATCATATACTTGACCAAGGTCCTTCATCAAGACCTCAAAACAGCCGCCAAGAACGTCAATTGCTGGGCTGGAGTTACAACTTTAATGCCACTTCTTGGTGGATTTGTAGCTGATTCATACCTGGGCCGTTTCTCCACTGTTCTAGTCTCCTCCATCGTCTACATTTTGGTACTTTCTCCCTTCCAAGTGTTTTTTTTTTTTTTTTTTTAAATACTAATATGGATTCACGTCAATGATCACTATACAAAAAATCATTATTTGTACTCTCTCTGACTCGAAATTATTGTACACTTTAGATTTTTACTTTTAGTTCAAATTGCACCAAAAGTAAAATATCAAACTAGATGGGATTGAGGGAGTTAAACATTTAGAAATGTAATAGAGAACTATCTCAGCCAGAATTTTGATGTTTACTTCACATTTTTTTTTTTGGTTGATGAATAGGGTCTGCTTCTGTTAACCATGTCAAGCACAATCCCTGCTCTGAAACCATGTGACAACACCATTTGCCTGGAGCCCAGAAAGGTGCATGAAGTCATATTCTTCCTAGGCATCTATTTGATCTCCATGGGAACAGGAGGACACAAGCCTTCACTAGAGAGTTTTGGGGCTGACCAGTTTGATGATAATGATGCAGCAGAAAGAAGGAAAAAGATGTCCTTTTTCAATTGGTGGAACTCTGGGCTCTGCTGTGGACTTTTACTTGCAGTTACTGTGATTGTGTATGTGCAAGATCAGGTCAGTTGGGCTGTTGCTGATATCACACTTACAATGGTAATGGCCACTACCATTGTGATCTTCTGTGCCGGGAGGCCATTTTACCGCTACCGGAAGGCTTCTGGAAGTCCGTTTACTCCAATGCTGCAAGTGATTGTGGCAGCAATCACAAAGAGAAAGTTACCATACCCTTCAAGCCCTGCTGAATTATACGAAGTCCCCAAGTCGGCCGAGACAAGGGGAAGACACTTGTGTCATACTGAGAGACTCAAGTAAGTCTTGAAAACCTAGTGTTTAGCAAACGAGTAAAGCTATAGATAGCGTTTTTGTGGTGATTGGTAAGAGTGGGCTTACCTTGTGCTTTTTGTCTGCAGGTTTCTTGACAAAGCCGCGATTGTGGATGAAAAGTACATTTCTGCAGACAGAAAACCATCTCCATGGAAGCTTGCGACTGTAACTGAAGTGGAGGAACTTAAACTGATAATCAACATCTTTCCCATTTGGTTGACAACATTGCAGTTTGGCATTACAGTAGCACAAGCCTCAACATTCTTCATCAAACAAGGAGTGACATTGGACCGAAAGATCTTCAATGGCTTTCTGATTCCACCAGCCTCAATTTTTGGCATTACGGCCATTGGCATGATAGCAGCTGTCACTGTTTACGACAAGATACTTGTGCCTTTCCTTAGAAAGATCACAGGAAACGAAAGGGGCATCAACATTCTTCAAAGGATTGGCATCGGTATGATTTTCTCAATCATAACGATGGTGGTTGCAGCTTTGGTTGAGAGGAAGAGATTGAGGATTGTGGAAGAGAACCCATTAAAGGGTTCAACTTCAATGAGTGTCTTTTGGCTGGTTCCACAATTCCTAATCATTGGCATTGGAGATGGATTTACTCTAGTAGGGTTGCAGGAATATTTCTATGACCAAGTTCCAGATACCATGCGAAGCTTAGGAATTGCATTATACCTAAGTGTACTTGGAGCAGGAAGCTTCCTGAGTAGCCTGTTGATCACCATAGTCGATCACATCACCGAGAAGACCGGTAAGAGTTGGTTTGGCAAAGACATGAACAGCAGCCGATTGGATTACTTTTACGGCATGCTGGCAGTCATGACTGTTGCAAACTTGGCCATCTATGTGCTCGTTGCCAGGCGATATTCATACAAGAACGTGCAGAGAACAACTGTGGCAGTGGCCGACTGCTTTCCAGATGATGGTGTTGAAGCAATGGCATAATGTACTTGTAGTCTTTTATATATAGACATAGGTATTTGAATATCAGTTCTTGTGTGACTAACTAAAGTTGTAGTATCAAATCAGGGTTCTGAGCCAATCATATGTAGTATTCCATTGGCCAGTTGTTGTTAGTTAATTAAATGATACTATTATTTGTACGTTTCAGCTTTACTTCTCCTTTCTTCTGCTCTGTTCCAGAAATAGCAATGACAGAACAAATCCTGGATTCGAAAATCCTGCATTATCCTATCAGACATTCAAAAACTAATTCAAAATCTAGTCTTCATTACAGAGCATCATGATAAAATCATTAGGTTGGACAGGGAGCTTGTGACATAACAAAGACGATCCATTTTTCATCTTTTACATTTAACAAAGACGGTTGCCTTCAGCAAGAAGGCAACAGTATACTAAGGCTAATGACAAAAATCGACTAACATTCCCCTTTTTCTAAATAGTGGAAAGGACCAATAGGAATATAGGATCAATATGAAACTATCCCTTTAATACACTATTTGCAATACTCGTTACTTTCTAATAAAAGAACCAATAATGGACTACAACGGGCAAAAGAAAAAAAAAGTGTTGAAAGGAACCTGATGCTAAAAGTCACCAAGTTGATTCACCACTCACCGTTGCCGACGGTTTTGCATAAAGTCGTTGATCCATCCCCATTTCAGAAAGCCATACTGCTAAACTTGAACATCCTACCTATAAATCTGCTGCAAAATTTTCTTCTTCAGCAGCCTCTAGTTTCAGAAAAACCATTTCAAAATTTTCAATATAGTATGAAAAGAAAAAAAGAAAAAAAAAAAACTGTAACATTTCGAGGGTAGGGGCGTGAAAAAAAAAAAAAAAGGAAAAGTCCAACCACACAGGTTGAACATGTCAATGATGTCTTGTCTGTATGAGGCAAAAGTTTATAACAGTTGCAAAATAGTTTCGCAAATTTGAGAATTTCTTCTCAAAAAATTAACTTTACCTTTCTTTCTTTGCTTTTATTAGAACCTTAAAACAGGAAAAAGCATCAATTGGTGTACTTATTTAATGTGTCGTAAGAGTAACATTTACACTTCACTCATGAGGCAGCTCTTGTCCAATTCTGTTTTCATTACCTCACACGTTCGACTTCTTCATCTTCTTTATTGAGTTCAGAAACACATAAAAACAACAAATAATACGGTGCTGATTTGCCTGGAACACCTTTATTATAATCTATATGTACCTTGTTTTCTGATCTCTCCTCAATTTTATTTTTTTTTGCGTCCCAAACAACGAAAAAGAAAATGAGTGCTGCTGCCATTTGGAACCTTCTATCCTTCTTTTTCCTTTTCATCTTTATCCAAACACGTGCTGACCTCCCTGGCACCTGGGAGCTTCTCGTCCCCGACGCCGGAATTGCATCAATGCACACGGCCGTGACGCATTTGAACACCGTCATCCTCTTAGACCGGACTAACATCGGCCCAACTCGGAAACTCCTCCCTCCAAACCGCTGCCGGCACGACCCAAAAGACCCGATTTTGAAGAACGATTGTTATGCTCATTCCGTTGTCCTCGACCTGAAGACTAATTCCATCCGCCCTCTAGAGATACTTACCGACACTTGGTGCTCTTCCGGCCAGTTTCTCCCGGACGGAACACTTCTCCAAACTGGCGGCGACCTCGATGGCAACAAGAAAATCCGGAAATTTGCTCCTTGTGAGGGAACCCTTTGTGACTGGGAAGAACTCAAAGACGTTGAATTACAGCAGGGGAGATGGTACGCTACGAATCAAATTTTGCCTGATGGGTCAGTCATCATCATCGGTGGCAGAACAGCTCCCAATGTTGAATTCTTTCCGCCGAAGAAACACGGTGCTGTAAACTTTCCTTTCCTCAGCCAAATGGAAGATAATCAAATGGACAATCTTTACCCGTATGTTCACTTACTTCCAAATGGACATCTTTTTGTTTTTGTCAACAACAGAGCAGTATTATATGATTATGCTGCCAATGCTATAATTAAGGATTACCCTGTATTAGAGGGAGGTCCACGGAATTATCCTTCAGCTGGGTCCTCGGTGATGCTGCCGTTAACCGGGGATTATTCCTCCGCCACTGTGGTTGTATGCGGCGGAGCAAGATACGGGGCGTATCTTCAGAGGATCCACGACAGCCCGGCAAATGGAAGCTGCGGACGGATCGAGGCGACAAAACCCGACCCAGTTTGGGAAATGGAGGACATGCCATTCGCGAGAATTATGGGTGACATGGTGATTTTGCCCACCGGAGAAGTTCTCATCATCAATGGGGCTCAGGCGGGGAGTCAAGGATACGAGATGGCTACGGATCCTTGTTTTCACCCGGTTCTGTACCGACCCGACCAGCCAAATGGGCTCCGTTTCATGACCCTGAACCCGGGAACGGTCCCCAGGATGTACCATTCCACCGCCAATCTGTTGCCTGACGGGAGAATACTGATCGCCGGCAGCAACCCGCATTATTTCTACAATTTCAAAAGAGCGTTCCCAACTGAATTGAGAATCGAAGCTTTCTCGCCGGAGTATCTGTCGGCGGATAAGGCAAACATCCGTCCGGCAATAGTTGAATTGCCGGAGAAAGTAACGTACGGGAAGGCGTTCGAGGCGGTGGTGACGGTGGAGCTGCCGGTGGTGGGAATTATAGAGGTGAACATGGCGAGCGCACCATTTGTGACCCATTCGTATTCACAAGGGCAGAGGCTGGTGAAGCTGTCGGTGACAAGTGCCATACCCGATGTTGTAGCCGGAAAGTATAGGATCGGATTTACAGCACCGCCGGGAGGTCAGGTGGCGCCGCCGGGATATTACATGGTGTTCGCTGTTAATCAAGGGGTCCCCAGTGTTGCCCGGTGGGTCCAACTTGTATCCTGAATTTTATGGGAAAGTAAAAAAAATTTTTACTATTAATTGTTGTAAATTATTGTACTAGTTCATTTTGGGACTCCATTTTGGATATTTTTGGGGTGGACATGGGCAACCATGGGCCCAATAAAGTCACTCTAAATATTCGTTAAGCATATCTCCATCAAGGGTTAGCATCAATCGCAATTTACTTTTCGTCCTGAAAAGACATCGTCATTTCATGTGCATGTACATTATTGGTATAATTAATTAATCACCAACTGATTTGTATTCTCCCGGAAAATAATTCACTTTACTAAACTAAAATGATATGACAAATCAGGTTAATTTCCTCTAAATAAAAGTAGTATATTGGATGAAATCCGTTAAAAAACCCTTTTAACTTGCTTCCAAGTTCCAAATAATTAGTTACCCTTAGTGAGCACATGTTCATTGTTTGTTGCTTTTCAAATGTGCTGAGCGAGGGAGTTTTAAGTAATATGATCTAACATGTATCTTTCGTCACGCGAATCAGTTTAGTCTAAAAAGAATTACTGTGCATTTGAGTCTTTGAAAAATAAAAAAATTATCTGATATATTGTCTGTAACACGGGTCATTGTTTGTATGAAAAAAATACCTTTAACAATACTGATGGGTTGATAAACTCCAATGATCGATAAAGCATAACAATTAAGCATATCATAGGCCTACGATATGGTTAATAAGTTGTGTGCATGCAAACATTTGGAAACATATCACGGTAGAGTCACTTTAGTTGCTTTCAGCATGGTCCAGGTACTATCAATGAAGCCTTTCCAATTGGGAGTCATTAGTCCTTCAGGAAATATCACTTTTGTCTGCTATGTTGTCACTCATATAATTGGCAAGCATTAAGCCTAATAATTCAAAACATTAACTAAGAATACTGTGGTTTACCACAGTTTAAATTGTACCTTTAGTCCTCCTCTAATCTAAGCTATCCTAAGCAATTATCGTCTCATTAACCGCTCGCGTAATGAGTCTGGCGGCGAAGTTCCCCTCTCTATTTGGATCAAAGAGTTCGTAGACAAGGGTTCCATTATCCCAAGAGGAAGGAAACTTTATTGCAAGACGAGTGGGAGGGTAATGTTGTGAGGAGCGGGACGAATTAGAGTCAAAATGAAGCGGAGCCATCATTGCCAGCTATGATTCACCAATTGAGATGCTCCAATTTTAATTACTACCTTTCTCCTACTTCTGTCTCCTTCCCCCGAATGCTTTGGTTGGGGAAGATGACGGAAAAAAAAGGACTTTGTACATAAAGTTTGGATTTAAACATTTAATGAGGTTGGAAATACTTCTTTCACTTTTTATCGTGAGACATATTGATTTTTCATGAATAAAATTTAAGACAAATCAAAATGTATGGACCGAGGAGTAGTTGAGTACAATACTCCAAATCTCTGTCGTGTGAATATAAGAATTCTGTTTGTTGTACATTAGAACTGTATAATAAGTGAATGAATTTAGAAGTAACATGCAAAGGCTTTAATGAACAAACTAACTTTGAAAAGGCTTTTTTTCTTTTCTGGATCTAAACTTCAAAGCCACTGCCTGTTTTGCGTTCCCCCCAACAATGATTGGTTCCTTTTGCTTCACTCTTTCGTTAGCTTGCTTAATTAGTAGTGTGGGTGGTGAATCTGTAAAACCTGCCTGAAAATGTTAAAAAAAGTGAGGTGTAATGATACGAATTTATCTAGTTCAATCTTCGTTTGAAATTCCCCTACAAAATAGGAGTATCAGCGAGTAGTCCTGCATCAGTGTGTGTGTATGAGTAGCTGTTGAGTTTTTGGAGCTCGCGCACCAGTGAGTTGGGAAATGACCCTCACCAGTTCGTGCTGAAAGTTAGAAATGGGCTTTCGTAGCATTTCCAAAATTAGCCCAGAACAAAGGAAATATGAGCCCTGACAGAAACTTTCCTCAGCTTAATAATAAAAGCCCACAATGGCTAGTGGAACAAATGTTTTTTACAACCAAAAAAAGCAACTCTTTCGTAATATTTTTATGTTACCTCTTATAGTATACTCAAATTTTTAAGCCGTGTCCATTAAAAAAAAAAGGCATAAGAAAAATGGATACGTATTCGTTCAATTCAAAAAAAAAAAAAAACGCTTTGTAATTCTCACTGTGTACGATTTATAATTTTCTGTATAAATGATTATTAAAAAATTACAATTTGAGATTAAGCATTATTAGGAGGCTAATGGGTTTATAGTATCGGAGGGAAGCAAACAAAACTAGAGAAAGGCAGAAGGTGGGATGATTGTGGGTCTGGAAAGTCGTGCAAAACTGTAACCTAAGTAGACTAGTAGGCGTGGATTGTAATAGGCCTAATATGGACTAGACGGCTAGACCCTATAAACATTGCATATATGTAGGGTGACAGTGGTGTGGGACACCACCACTTGGATGGGGATGCTAGATTACTGTTGAATGGTGTAGTCCAAGCAGGACTTTGGATATGGTCTTCCTCTTTCCATTTGCAGCAGCAGCAGCAGCGATCCAGCAAGTACTCCCTCCTCCACACTCCACAGTCCGCCCCACTTGTTTTCAATCCATGAGCAATTTCACAAAATTATAAAGAAAAGTATAAAATGTGAAATGCGTTATACAGACATATATGCATTACCGTTTTTGGAGAGATTCTATTGCGCATGAATGCAAATTGTGATATAGACATTTTGAATGATTGAAATACATCACTTGGCCATTTTGTAAAATTTGCGATGATAAATTTTTACATTTTTAATATATTATGCATCGTTATCTAAAATCATTATTCCGATTTAATTTGAACCGAATAGATTCCTCTCGAAAAACAAATCTCTTCCAATAAATATAACATATTCTTTCCGTCGTAAAATTATAGTCCAATTTAATTTTTCACTTCTAGATTTTTTTTATCGAAAATAAAAATTCAAATTGGATAATAATTTCGGGACGGACGGAGTACATAATATCTCTAACAAATAAGTAGCTCTCTCCATCCCGAAATTATTGTCCAATTTGGATTAAAATTCAAACTGAACAATAATTTCTTCAGGACAGAAGTAGTATAACAATATATATTATATAATTGAACTAAAAATAAGAATACAGATCGGATAATAATTTCGGAAGGAAGTAGTATCTCTATTAATCATACAAAACGGGAAAAGCCTTCCTATTATCCTAAATCCGTCACTCTTATTCATCCACGTGAATGTGATGCCGTGATGGGGATATATTTTCATTCTGCAGGAAGACTTGGACCGATGGTTAAAAAACTTGGAAGTCCAAAAAGGGTAAAAACCGAAGGTTCTTGAGCACCAAAAACACATGGCTCTTTGTACGGCAGTCAGCTGATTCACAGGCAGTGGACTGGATGAATAATAATTACTGGTAGTAATTGCGAGGTCGGGGGGACTTTTCCGACTGCATCCACGTTAACGTTGTAACGCCATTAATTTAAGGCTGATTTTGCTGCTTCTGCTGCCGGTGGCTATGGCTTTTACCACGAGTTATACTTTTCATTTTCAACGACCAACAATTTCTGAAGATGACGACCTTTTTTTTTTTTGTTCAACTTTGTTGTTAATATTTGAAAACGAAAGAACGACGCCGAATTCGGGGGACCTCTTTTGTTTCTTCAGATCTCTTTCAAGCGAAAGATAGATCAGTAATTTTCAGAATGTGTGAATTATGAAATACACAGGTGACGTTTATGGCGCAGAGAAAGAGGACAAGAAAGAGAAGACATTTATGCAGGCTGACTTTAACTTGAGTAAGTTCCCTGTTCTTAGAGCGACGTGACTCGTGACTCGTGACCGTGATATTGACTACCTATTTTTACTGCCTAATCTCTCATTTACCACTCCCTTCTCCTACTGAACATCTATCCACCCATTATGGTAAAAGAGAAGAAGAATTTTTTTTTTTTGATCAAAAAAAGAAGAACAATTATTTGCATTTGGTTGCATTCCTGTCATTGGTTTTGGTTACATTTTTGAGTTTTTTTTTATTATTATTGAAAGACATTTTTTTGACTTCAAATGTAAATACTGATTGACTTCTCATGAGAATTTTTGTTGGGTTGTGTACGCTTTCTCTGTTTCCCATCAACATTAGTCGTTACCTCTTTTCTTTCTTTTTTTTAAGCCTCATTTTATTCTTTTTTGTTTTCTTTATCTCTATATATTTTTTGCATTCTCAAGAAGATGTTTTTTTTTATTCACTTCCAAAATCATGAGCAAAAACGAGTAAAGTAAAAGTTACTGCTCTCTAGTCTAGTGGCCAGTGGGTGAGTTACCTGCCAAAGTGACCGAATCATCCAAATCATGAACAATTTTATCTTTTTCTACTTTTTAATCATTAAAGTTTGCATGAGATTTATAGTTGAGAATTGGGCCGAACTCTTAAGCGGCTCGGGGGTGCAGGGCCCCTCCGATCGGCCGGAAAATCCATTAATAGTAATCATTGTTAATCTTATGTCATATATATTGGACTATTGATCTTGATTATATATATATATTCAGCCGCTCCAAGTCTGAGTAGTCAGTTGAATTGGTAAAATGTATATAAGTTGACAACCAAAGTACAAGGAACACAACTGAGAGAATCTATGAATCTCTAATACATTGTGTTAACGCGTAGTTGAAATACAGTATTGTAGAAGTAATATATCCTTACAATGTATTGCTCCCCTTATTAAGGCTTTAGACTTTATTTATTGCGCTTAAAGAGTTTTGAATACATAGTCGAAGCATTATCTAGAATTATTAGCACAATTTTGTGACCAAATATTTCCTGAGCACGTTAGATTCAGAACTTTTTCAACAGAGTGACCAACGAATATTAAAGTTGCTCAAATTCTCTATTTGTAAAATTAAATTGGTATAATATACATTTTTTTTTGGAGAAATTAACAGTTCATTCATAAGTTTGTCACAACAAGTTCTTTAGAAAGGTAGAGTCAAACTTATGAGAAAATTGGAAGTTAACATGAAAACAGAAATTTCATAATAATTAAAAAAATACTAATTTATTATCTGCTAAAAGAAAAAACATACTCTTTTTCAAAGCCAAAAAGCCCGCAAGGCCAAAAATCACAAACGACAAACCCAAATAATCTCAAAAAAAGAAAGAGAGGAGTCAATTCGTTACCGAAATTAGCCGAGGGTATTCCCCACACTCCTCTACACACTCATCTCTCGCATCCCCATGTTCAGTCAGAGCACCCCATTGGCCACTCACAGAAGTGTAAGAAATCCGACTGTGTGATGAAAGAAAGATTTTGTTGTGTGTGTTTTTGTGTGCCCTTTTTTAAAAACAAGAGTATATAAATTACATTAATAAACAAAAGAAAGTGATGTGCACTGTGCTGCACTCAAACTCTCTTCTGTTCAGTTCTGATTTCTTTTTCTGATAAACATATAATCAGATTCCAGTAATCAGAGGTTTCAGACACACGAGTTTTTGCCTACTTACTAGTTACTACTAGTCTAAACTACACAACTTCACACACACACACAGGGCTGAATTTGATCATTACTCATTAGGCTACCGTCGGAGGAGGTGGCGTACGTGACTGAATGTGTGAGTGCGTGTTTCCTTTTGTATAAACTGTATGTATATTTATATACGTATATGTAACTTGTTTGTATTTTGTAAATGTTTTTTGCTCAGACTTATGCCTATAGCTTTATCGAATGATGCTATAGAAGGAAAATATTACTAATTCCGTCTCATAATTATTATTTTATATTTTTATTTTCAATTTAAATTATGAAATCTCAAAGTAAACTATAATTTTGAAAGAAGCAGATATAGTTGTAGTAGAGGTCATAGTTGTATTGCATCATATGATAATAGCCTTTCATTTAATCATCACCGCATCTATTTTCCTGTTCATTTCATCCTCTCTCCTATAACTTACATCATCATTTTCCTCTTTTTTTTTGTTTTTTTTTTTCTGCCTTTGAAAACTCTCTTTTTCTTTTCTTTTCAGTTCTTGAGCTCCTTTTCTTTTTTGCTCCTTCCTGTTTAGTCGTAGTCATGGCTGAAGGAAGGTTTTTTGAGCCTTACCATGTCCCACAACAAAGCAGGAGAGATAAGCTGAGAGTGATTTCATCTTCCTCCTCATCCCACAACAACCAGTTCCCCCTCCAAATTCAACCTTGTAATTCTTCTGCTGGTTTAGTCTCTGTTTTCGATCCTACCCTTATTTCCTCAGATTTGATCACCTGTACTTCCGGGCCGGGTCTTCACCATCAGAACCCGGATGCTAAAGACGAAGGTTCGAATCTCATGGGGTATAATAATATCGGAGGCGGGTTATTGATCGGAGCATCTTCTTCCTCTTCTTCAGCTACAACCAACCAGTTGTATATGGATCCGGTTTCGTCTGTACAGTTAAACCCTAGTCCGATTCAAGATATTAGTGTTGGTGGGAACGGCAACCCTTTTTATTACAACCCTCAAACTCCAAGCAGCCTTAGATTTCTCGAACAGTCTTTTCATGGCGGAAATGAAGTGATGGTGTTTAGACCCGAACCTTTGTCTGTGGGTCATCCTAATAATGATCATCACACTACTAACAATAGTGGTTGTAATAACAATAAGTATGGTGGTCAAGGTCTGTCTTTGTCCTTGTCTTCTTCTCATCATTCTCAGGTCCAGCAAACTAGTACTCTTCCTTTGGAGCTTAATCTACACAGATATGATTCTTCTTCATTGTATAACTCTAAGGTTATTGGTGCCTTTCCCGGAAGTGGTAATAATGATGGTTCTAATTCGAATGAGTTGTTGTGTTCGAGAAGTTCGGTCCCGTTAGGGCCTTTTACTGGCTATGCTTCCATCTTGAGAGGATCCGGGTTCTTGAAGCCAGCTCAGCAGCTGTTGGAAGAAATTTGCGACGTGGGTAGAGGGGTTTATGCTGAGAAAATGGTTGAATTGACTGATGATTCGGTTTTCTTGGATCCTTCATTGGAATGTTTTGACGGGAATGATGGTAATTCCAGGAGTTGCAGAAATGGAGTTGAGAATGAGAACAGGAAGAAAAAATCCAGGCTGATTTCGATGCTCAACGAGGTACGGAAGAACAATATTTTTTTTTATTAGTTACATGCGAAGTTTTCGTGGATTTTCATTTTCTCATCTTAATTAGGCATTGTTAATTCGTTCATAATTATGCATTTAGTTTTACCGGTTTGCCTTATAGTTAGTTTGTAATTCTGCTTTACTTGATTTGTATTTTTTTTATTCTTTATTTTTAATAATGTGGTTGTACAAGGTGGATTGGTTTCTTAATAGGCTTATACCTTCTGTCCCTATTTCGAGCTTAGATTCTGCACTTGATGCTGCATGAATGAGAGAGGAAAAAGCTTTCTAAAGAGACTAGTACTTTTGATGCTTAAAGGCCTTTTTTTTTTAAGAAAACCTCTTTATTTTCTGACAATATTATTGTCTTTTTGGTGTATGCATTGTAACTGCTTTGCAATTACTTGCTTATAATTGTTAATAATTTTTTTGTGACATAGAATCTAGATGCTAATATTTGTAGTTGTGGTACAAGCCACAAGGTATAAATAATCAGATTAACTGTCTTTTTTTTAAAAAAAGTGATATTTGGTATATATTCCAAAAGATCGTTTTTTTTTTTTTCTAGTGTCTAGAAACGTTAGTTAGAAGGCTAAAACCTAAGTAGAAAATTGTGAATATATTTTCAGAAGAATCAGTACTTCATCTGAAGAAAAGTGATTACTATATGGTTTTCTGGACGCACCTAAATATTGGTCTTGAACCTTTTAAGTACCTACTTGATACCAAATTATTCATTGCACTCAAATGGTTTTGAATATGTGAGTTCTTACTACTTTCTCAGTCCCAAAATTTTTGAGTTCCTATTTGATACCAAATTATCAATTCCACTAAAATGGTTTTGCATAGTTTTTTGGTACTTTCTCAATCCAAGAACAGAGTATTGTTTGTTGTAATATTATATTACAAAACAGGGTACTCTAATTTTTGGATGGAGGGCAAAATACAGTGGTAGTTCTTTTCGTCATCGTCTCATTAATTAATCCCGTATTTATTTGGTAGGAGAAAGGCTTAAGAAAAATCCTTGGTCTAGTATTTTTGGTTTTGTAGCTTTATTATCTACCACACTCATAGGTTTTGCATTCTGGAACCAACTTACTATTATGCTCAATCATGGTAGGTGCCATTACTTTAGCTGTTGGATTGTGGATCAGTTTTGACATTCCAAATTTAACATGCACCACGTAATTTCAGAACTGGATACTTAAATCTGAATATGATTGCGGTTACTACCATTGCACCTCCAGTAATTTTTTTATTTGGTGTATGGTATATGCTTTCAATACATCTTCAACTGATAGGGGATCCCTTATTCAGCATACTCCTGACTGGTTTAGTTGCCAAATGCCGTTAAGACTTTAGCATCTAGTGGTATGAACCATTTGTTTATTATGCAGAAAGCTGAGATCAGAGAAGAAAATCGTCTACTAACGTCTTAGAATGTGTTCTTAACACTACATTGAAATGATGATTTGGCCAGGTTTATAAGAGGTACAAGCAGTATTACCAGCAGATGCAGGCTGTTATTTCATCATTTGAATCTGTTCCTGGAGTTAGAAATGCAGCACCTTTTGCAAGCTTGGCTTTGAAAGCAATGTCCAAACATTTTAGGTGCTTAAAAGAGGCCATCACTGAGCAGCTTCACTTGATGATTGAATCACGAGGCCACATTCCGAATGACAAGGATAGAGCTCCTCCAGGATTTGAGAATTCTGGGTCGGGCAGTCATTACCCTAGGGCAGCCCAGAACTCTGGTGTTATGGAGCATCATCAACCTGTCTGGCGACCTCAACGAGGGCTTCCGGAGCGTGCTGTGGCAGTTCTTCGGTCATGGTTGTTTGAACATTTTTTGCACCCGTAAGTTGCTACGTCGTATGAGCATGCTGCGTTTTTCATAGCTGTTCAATTTTAGCCTTTTTTTTCATTACTTTCTTGATATTTTGTTAAATATATTAATGCAGTTACCCGACAGACACTGATAAAATATTGCTGGCCAAGCAGACGGGTCTCTCTAGGAACCAGGTACACACACAGCACACAGAACCAAGTGGCATCTCTAGTTTTTCCTTGTTTATTCATTTTGTATTCATCGAATTTTCATGTTAAGTTTCATGCATTGTGCACTGGTCAGGTCTCCAATTGGTTTATCAATGCGAGGGTGAGGCTGTGGAAGCCTATGGTTGAAGAGATACACATGCTTGAAACTCGACAAGCTGATAAGGGTTCGCAAAGAGGCCAGGTGGAAAAAGCTGGTAGTGAAGGACAACAACAAAATGATCATCATCGAAACGCTTCAAGTTCAAGTGTTCCAATCACTAGTGAAAATGCATCTACGTTAACAAAAAGATGTCGAGATCAGCTTGGATCCAAGAGAACCCACAATGAGTTGGCCATGATCTCTTCTGGGAATGAGAATGTTATGAATCTTTGTTACCAAAGTTCATCACCGAGCTTTGTCACCAAAGCAGGTGGCAGTGGAGGTGTTTCCTTAACGCTCGGTCTCTTTCAAAATAATAACAATAATAACAACTTGGGGTTGCCCGATCCCTACCCGATGAATGCAGCGAGGCGGTTTGGCCTAGAGGGAAGTGGAGAAGGATATGCAGCAGGTGGCGGCGTCATTTCCCAAAACCGGCAATTTGGAAGGGAAATAGTGGGAGGCCAACTGTTGCATGATTTTGTGGGATGAACTGAATTTACTCATGAAGAGGGAGTTGTAAATTATTAGCTGGGGGGTGTTGTAAGCAAAGCAAAATTTGCTAGAAAAAATTAGATTACAATATTAACTAGTTCTTGTAAAACATTTGAATTTTGGGAATCAATTTTGTAGTAAATCCAATGATTTGCTCTATTTGGTGCAGAGAGGCGCGTGCATAAATATATCAAAAAAGTTTTACGCGTTAGCATTTTCATTGTGGAGGAAGAGATTCGAACACCCGATACTAATAAAGTATGGACAATTTCGTTTAACGCGGCCAGTAAACTCTTCGTTTTGCAACAATTTGGTGTAGCACCTGTGCTCAGTTTCCCTCCATTGAGAAAGACTGTCGTGACTTGTGACTTTTGAGGTTTCAAAACACTTTGGAGTTTTGATTTTTGAACTGAAAAGTTGGCCATCTGGCGGGTGTTTTTTTAGGATTAGAGCGGTACACGAGTGTGGTTGAGCTCCCATTTATTTCCCAGATGTCACGCTTATACACGTTCCTCCCCTTTCATTCCACCGACATTGCCTTCCAACTTCCAACTTCAATTCTTTCTTTCTTTTTTCCTCCTATCCAAATTCTGCCCTGCCCTAATTTTTAGTTTTTTTTGTTGTGGTCGGTTTTTATTTCTGATCTGAATTGAACATAACTTTTTTTTTTTATTTTTTATAAAGAGATCGTTCTATTAAACTTGTTAGAAATCAGGTTGTTTTGATTGATTAAAAAAAACTCAGTATTGATGATCAAGTAATTTCAAATATTCCGAATTGCACAACAACTAGATTTATGTAATATGTTACATTCAAAAATTTGTTCCAATTGATTAATCAATCAATGTAACACTTTAAATATTTCAATTTGACAAATAAAATACTATCATGAACGGGTATTAAACATATCCTGAGTAGTAGTAGTATTACTTTTGTCGGAATTCAAAAATTCTTTTTTTTTTTTCTTTTTGGCTAAACTCTCCCCCTCTCGAGGCTTCTTCAATTGCTTGAAAAATACGCTAAGGTGTTAAAAAGAAAAGAACAATTCCGAAAGAGAAAGAAATAACAAAACAAACAAAAAAAGGAAAGAATATTCCTAAAATTGTCCACTAAACTTTGAAAAATTTCGCCAAAAAGAAAAAAACAAAAAGAAAAAAAATGCTGGAAAACAGAAAAGAAGAAGAAGCCCAAAGGCAGTAGTAGTAGCAGACCATGACTGGAGGAGAACAGGGGTTTTCCTAGGGTTTCTTTCCCTCTTTTTCTATCTCAAAATTAATTAAATCAACAGCAAAAATCTCTCAACCAATCACCATGATCCTCAAATCCAATCCCCACCAAAATTAGGATTTCATTTCTCGGTATTATTGCATTTCGACGGGAGCTTGTCCAGTGGATTTCTAATGGAAGCAAGGGTTGGGGTGCCGGGCCACGGCGGTGCTAGGAAGTTTCTATCGCAAAAGCAGCACCAGTCGCCGCCGCCTCTGCATCAGCAGTCCCAGATTGGCACCGTTCCTCAGCTTCTCGCCGGCGGTATTGCTGGAGCTTTCAGCAAGACTTGCACCGCCCCTCTAGCTCGCCTTACCATTTTGTTTCAGGTTATGCTCTTTTCTTTTCTGTCCTTTCCATTATCATAAAATCACTGCAGAATTAGAATGATTGGAGGACAAGGAGAGGAAGCGAAATAAGTGATTTCGTAGTAGGGTGAGCTCTCAATTGGTTGGATGATGATTGTTTTCATCTATTGATGATGTCGTTTGTCTGTTGATTTTCATTTTGAAGGTGCAAGGTATGCATTCAGATGTTGCAATTTTGAGCAAGCCCAGTATAGGTCGGGAGGCGATCCGAATTGTTAAGGAAGAGGGTTTCAGAGCTTTTTGGAAGGGAAATCTCGTTACTATTGCTCATCGTCTTCCATATTCTGCAGTCAACTTCTATGCCTATGAGCAATACAAGGCTGTGAGTGGAATATAACTATGTTCTTCTTATAATCAGATGTTTAATTTTTTGCTGTTTAAGATGGCAGTATAGCTTCGTGGCTGAGATTCTGTCTTCAACTGATTTATTTTGGACTTTTGTTTTTGTGTAGTTGTTGAGATCAATTCCGGGTCTGAATAAACACGGTGCAAACGCAGACGTGGTTGTGCACTTTGTAGGTGGCGGGTTAGCAGGTATTACAGCTGCTTCTGCCACGTACCCGTTGGACCTTGTTCGGACTCGACTTGCTGCACAGGTATATGGTTGTGCATTTGTAGAGAACAGTCATATGGGTTTCAATCCTCATGTGTCCTATTTTCGCGTCCTAGTAGTTTCCTTGTTGAGTGACAGCTTCTTTAAAATTTTTGCAGAGGAATGCTAATTACTATCGCGGCATCTATCATACACTCAGCACTATTTGCAGAGATGAAGGTTTTTTTGGTCTTTATAAAGGCCTTGGAGCGACATTAATGGTATACTCCATTCTCTTATTATTTTACTGCTTGATGTATTACTTTTGACCATACGGAACTCCAATTCAAACATCTGATGCTATAACTACCATGAATAAATGCAGGGTGTTGGGCCCAGTATTGCCATTAGCTTCTCTGTCTATGAGTCATTGAGAAAGTTTTGGCTTTGTAAAAGGTAATATTTTAGTTGCTTAGTCATAGTTCGGATATTTCTGTTCCTTTGTAGCAGGTTTTTTTGGGATACTTATCTAACATGAACTTGTCATCAGGCCTGATGATTCTACTGTTGCGGTAAGCCTTGCATGTGGGAGTCTTTCAGGGATTGCATCATCTACAGGTGAGTGAATTTAGATCTGTATTACCTTTACATCTCGGTGGTTTTACCTTCTGCTATCTAGCTGCTCTGTATCACCTATGCATCTTGGTGGTTTTAACTTCTGCCATCTTGCTTTTATCTTAAATTTGGAACAGCAAAGTTTATTACCTCTACATCTGGGTGGGGTTTGTTCATGTCATTGTTTTGCTGTCTTGGTTTATACATGTTTAACATTATTGATTGGAACATTTGAAGAATGGATATTTCTCGTGGTAAGGTGTTTTAAACTGCTTTGAAAACAACCATATGAAAAGTGGATTGAAAAGATAGCAACATTTCATGAACTTGTCAGTTGAAGCTAGTTGTAGATTGATGATAGCGTTTGACACTCCCTGTCCTGCTTTGTATTTTGGTCACTTTTAAATGCGATTGATGGCGTTGTACATACTTTTCGGCAGAAACCTAATAAATGGTCTTTCACTTTTGTCCTTAGCTACGTTTCCTTTGGATCTTGTGAGGCGGAGAATGCAGTTGGAAGGAGCTGGTGGCCGTGCTCGTGTCTACAATTGTGGTTTGTTTGGGACTATTAAGCACATCATCCGCAGCGAAGGTGGCATCCATGGCTTGTACAGGGGGATAATGCCCGAGTACTACAAAGTCGTCCCAAGTGTTGGAATTGTTTTTATGACGTACGAGACGCTGAAGAAGCTTTTATCAAGTTGGTCATAGCTTATCTTCACACTGGCGTTTTCGTCCCTGCCTCTACTTTCGTAGCCGCTTAGTGCTTATGGTCAATCCTTTTGTTAGCATTCTAGGATACAGCGTCCCTCAATTTTGCTTAGGATCAGGAGGAGCTTACCTTATATTTTCAATTGTTCTTTTTTTTTGGGGGGTTGGGTGGGGGGGTTAAAAATTCTCATGGTAACTTTTGTAGGTGCTGCCATGAATCATTGTGTGTTAATATATTAGGTTATTAGCCGGCGATTCTCATAGAAAATGTATCCTTGATATGTGTAGGTCATAATCTCTTTAGGACACTTAGCTGACGATTCTAGTATATCATAATATGTTGTATGTCGCAGCTTATACATGTATTTCGGGTCAATGTTATGCCGTTTTTCTTGAGTTTTGAAAACTGCCTGCTCCAAGTTGCAGCATTCATGTAATAGAACCTGATTCTCTTTGAAGAAAGAGGCGAAATTTGATGTTGTGGAGAGTGGAGACTGTAGTTGCGACATGACAAATGTTTGCATGTTTGAAGTACATCTGTGGAGAGTTTAAAGTGGTTTATTTCGGGAAATGTTTGTTGAGACTTGAGCATAAAATCTTTGATCAAATGAAAAGAAATGATTGTGAAAGGCAAAAGGTACAAGTACAGGAAGGTGGCCTTTCTGTTGTATAGTGCTTATATGTTGTAGGCTCGTTTGATATAGCATCTAACGCATCATTGGATGAACTTTGTGGAATAAGAACAAGTTACAATCAAAATTTAATAAGGTGTTATTTGACGTGTTAACACAAAAATAGTTTTCTCTCTGTCTTAGAAAAGTAGTGCAATGAGGTTTGTTCGGAGGAGTGTAATTGGAAGTTGGAACTTGTATGTATGTAGTCAAGGTCATCACTCATCAGTCATCAATGAGGAAAGCTGATTTGTTTTGTTCGGAAGCTCCGGAAGTAGTAACATTGATCCTCTGAACGTAGTTTACGTTGGACAGAGCCCAGGTAATGCATGGCGGCAAGACAGCCCACCATCCGCAAAACTCAGTTTGATGCCAGCTAGTTAATTGTTCAGAATTTTGTCGGCCCATTTGGCCAAAGATTTTGATGCATGCAATATGTTTAGCTTTTGTTACTGCTTTAATGTTTATCGCTTTGTATTTTCCCCTCATTTCGGTACGCATTCGAAGCATCTGTATAAGATGATGAGATTGTCAACAACACTGTAGTCCTACAGTTAGAAGTGAGGTCATCCTAGCTATAAACCAGACGAGGATGTTTATCTAAAGTACTTGAAGAGATATACATCTTTCAGGACTATGTTGTTATCTTTAGTCTCATCAACAAAGACAAAATTGGTGTAACTTTTGACCCCGACATTTGGAGCAAATACGCATAATTTCCCTGTTTCCGCAATTTGGCCTACGAGTTTCTTTTTTTTTTTTTTTTTGGGGGAGGGGGTTCTCCATCGTCCATGACATGCAAAATTTGTCGATTACAACACTGAAATGATATTCTATGGAACTCCTAGCTTTTTAAGTGTTCGATTGGCTGTAGGGGTCCTAAAGATATCTTTAAATTATAGGTTTATTTAGTTTAGCATGATGATAAGAATCGAGCTCTAAATTGTTGAGGATATAGAACACAATGTTTTAACAATTATGCCAACCATTCATTTTCAAAAACTGCCACAATCACCGAAAGTGCAAGAGATTCCCACCAATTTGAGATTATAAACTTGAAACTTACAAGTGCTGTTTTATGATTCCAGCGAAAAATTCAAACTTACAAAAAAGGGCTAATCAAAATTAGTAACACAGGACAGAAAAAATAAGTGGACTACAAAGGCAGCCTGCCTGTGCTATTTTTTATTGGGTTATATATAAATTTCTTTCTCTAGTACCTTCTTGCCCTTTCATTTCAATTGAAGGGTTATTGCCGACTAAATTAAAACTTGGGTTACACTGGTGACTGGTCAGTCCTATGGAGAAAGCAGTCAATGAAGAACAATCATTTGCCCAAAGAAAAAAAAGGAAAGTTCTGTTGTTCCGGACCCTCGTTTTTGTCATTGGCTAATGAAGAACAGAATCAATATATCTACAGATTCCCAGATGACAGAAGATCTTATCATTTTCATTCACCTTTATGCCCCCAATCATCAGCCATTTCTATCATACCCTCTCACTAATTTACTTAGCAGCTTCTGCACTATTTGGAGAATTTCATTGTTTTCGCCTTTCTTTTTTTGAGGCTATATAAATCCTTCTCTGGGGTGTCACATTTCATCAACCCGGTCCATTTCCTGATGGCCTAAATCAGAGTAAAGCAACCATTTTGAAAAACAGTTTCCCTGAACACTGAAGAGTTATTTGTGATCTTTTGGGTTAGGATTAGGTAATCTGCATCCTGAGGTATAGAAGCAGATTAAGAAAGTTCATGATTCTACGCCTCAGGATGCGGATTATCTTGTCCTCATTGCCAAATTCAATTGATATTCTTATTCAGAAAGTGTCATCAATACAAAACAGGATAGTTAGGTTAACAGGTAAGCACCCATATCTTAATGGCCCGGATTTCATCTAGAAAGTGATGCTTTTCTTTGTGGTTTTATCGGAAAAGATACCCGCTTTCTGATGTTTTATCAGTTTTTCTGACTGTTCTGAAAGAGTATAGTATGCAGATTTTTGTTTTTCTCTTTTTGGGAAGATGCAAAACTCTGGAGTTTTGACAAAACAACTCATCACTGCCTTCCTTGTACTGCATGCAATTTATTTGAACTCAAATTTACTGGCTGCTGTTTACGTTTTAGTTAAAACTTCACATGACTAAACCACCGAGTACTTCAGTTTATCCTGCTAGATACACATGCTCCCTTTGTCCCAAAATTATTGAGATTTCACTTTTAGTACAATTTAAACTAGAAATAAAAACCTAAATTGGATCATAATTATGGGACGGAGGGACGAAGGCAAACTAAACTATGCATCATGCATGGGAGGCTTTGTCAGCAGATTATGATCAGGTGGGTTCAGGAAATGGCTTTTGATAGACACTTCAAATGATTTTTCCGGTAAGCATACACATTCACCCCTTTAGTTTAGAAGCCAGATTCTTCCACTTTTTGATATGCACTGATACATTTTCACTACAACTTGGATACTTTTTTGCAAGATTACAATAGTTGGCCTGCAACTTGTTTTTTTTTTTTGTTTTTTTTTTTTTCCTCAGAAAAATCAACAGCAAAACTTTCCGTACAGGACGTAATATATTCTCTTCTTTTATTTTTTTAGGGAGTTTGTCCAGCTAATTTTGCTGCCAACAAAACAACAATGGTTTCTGATTACTTCCTTCGGCAGCTCCAACAAAAGTTGAGGGAAGAAAAGATCACTTTATCGAACAAATAATCAAAAACTAGAACCTCAGATGCCTTTTGTTGTTGGGAAACGCCATTTTTAGGTTGTAAAAAGCGTATCAAAGTCTGTCTTAAACAGCTGTCAAGGATGAACATTTCCTTCATCCTACAGTAACTTTACCAGGGGCTATATATCAGAGGATGATGTTCTTTGACTGAATTTTATGGGTACAATTTTCAAAATGTGAAACACTGTCGTCACAAATAGAATATACTATATCGTAGGGACAATGGGACATGATAGTGCGACGAATGATGATGAGTCCAACATTTCAACCTATTGTTTTTGTGTGTTTGGTTTAAGGTAATGCAGACATGATTCCTCTCAAGTAAAAAAATCCCCTGAATTTAAATAAGATAGATATATGTATTCCAATCCCATTTATTGGGATGATAAGTTTAATTTTTCTTTTTCTTTAGTGACGAATTTTATGACTTACTCTTAAGCAAGTCTCATGTGACAGTCTTGTAAATTCAAAGATCATATCAATCGAATTTAGCTTTATGTTCCCATAACAAACACTGAACACCTAATGGACAGCCTAAACTTCCTTGTAATGATTCGAGATGAGGTGTGAGTTGATACATATACATTCATTTTTCTCTCAATTTTAAGAAAGCAAACGTTACTTTGAAAAGCGACAATAATACAAACATGTTGGAGTTTCTTTGTGGCCAATTGGATAGTGTCATCATGCTGTACTTAAAACGAGGGATGTACGTGATTAGTGTTTATAATTATCTTGTTTTGAGAGAAATCATAAGTGCATGCATCGTCGCAACACATTACAAAACAAAGCACCAATAAGATTTTCAGAAAATTATTAAAACTTGAAAGAGTGTATTTTAGTGTAAAATTTTGTTTCATGTCAATCCTCGCACATCTACTGTCATGTCAATGTATAGAAAATAAAAGGGATTAAACCAACCAAGAACATGCTACATGCTATCTGAATATGAAGCTTTAGTTACCACCCGAATTAATTTAGTTACGTTGAATGCGTCTTTCACCCATGACCTAGGTATTTTTCATTCATGTAGTGTATGAAATATGATACTCCCTCTCCGTTCCAAAATAAGTGTCGTTTTGGCAAAATAGAGAAATTCCAAAATAAATGTCGTTTTCGTATTCCAATGCATTTTTTGTCAAAAATTTCCAAACATACCCTCAAAAGAAATAATATTATTGGTGAACATTATTGGTGAAATAATATTCTAGTAATTTAGTTACCTTATTTAATGTTTTATTAAACTATGTGCAAATTCTATAATGACACTTATTTTAGAACGGAGGGAGTATATTCTTTTTGTTTCGAAAGAACTGTCTATTTTAAAATTTCAATTGTCGGAAAATCGAAAATCCAAACTGAATTAATTTGGGACGCAGGAAGTATGTACCATGTGATGCTTTTATCTTTTGCACCAAATAATTTTTTTTTTTTGGCATATCTTTGATGGAATGCATCCTTATCAACTTCGTTATCGGATTCATAAGCTTAATTTAATCTTCAACTGGCAAATAACGTTTCAAAGTACGTAGTGATCACTCTACAATGACAGCAACCGGTTTTTATTTATTTAAATAGATGATTTACCTAAAGAATCCAGAACCAAAGAATAAACTACGAATCCCTTGACGGGACAAGGACTCATCAGCTACCATAACAGAATGAGTGTTAATCCTCAAGAAACTAAAAATAACATAGAATTACATCAACTGAATGTGATACCTCAAATTATTAGTCATATTATATTTGTTAAGCAGCCAAAAGCATCATGTGTTCTTCACAAAGTGGAATGATGCGTTACATATTCCCGACACACAAAAAAGTGGAGATCATTGTTCTCTAAAACCCAAAAAAGAATGAGAAGAATAAGATAAGAAAATACAGCCAACGATCGAACTGCTAAAAGACATCATTACTCCTCAAAAAAATTAACATAACGAACTTTGAATGAAATGATGGTTTTTTATGCTTTCTTTTTTTGTTCCAAGTCATTTCCAGCAGAAAAGCAAAACTATTCCTCCTCCCCAGGATTTACAAGAATAAAGAATTTTAACATTTTCTAGTACTGTGCTACTACTACTACTAACATCATCATCCAGCCAAAAAAAAAAAAAAAGAGGAACAAAAAAATTATCAAGAAATAATTAAGCTGCAGATTTCTTCCCCTGTTCCAAAGACAAATTCTTGCCGAAGCTTTAGATGGAGAAAAAGAAATCTCAGAAGTCAGAACCAGAAAACCTGATAATTTTCCAATTTTCTTCCGATTCCCAAATTATCCTCCAACCCATCTTCCCAAATACTAATACGGATTGTTCATGCCCTGTTCTTCTGACCCGAATGGCGTGTTCACCGTGTTCTAAGCAAGAAGATGCTGAGTTCTTGACCCGGCCCCTGTTCCGGGTTGATCAAATGGAACGATTCAGAATCAGCATTCCCCACCACGCACTCGTAATTAGCCCTCATGTACATGATCTCTTCGGATACGGATCCGGGTCCGGCTGGAATCACACCCGCTCCGACTGTTGTTGACTGCATGGTCTTCAGCATGAGTCGATTTTGACCGGTGGCCTTGCGGCGGACGGCGAACCCGAGTTTCCGGCCGTTGCAGAACAATGTCCAGACCGGGATTGAGTGGAGAGGGCAGCGGCTGAACTCCGATTCCGGCGACTCGTTCTTGAACTCCAGGGCAATCCTGACGAGGCCGCAGTTCATTTCTTGAATCAATGTGGTGGTGGGTATGGAAAGCTCGAGGAGAAGGGAAGGTTTGGTGTTGAGGCGGTCGTGTTGGACGCAGAACCAAACGTGGCCGCCACGGCGGTGGCCGAAGATTGTTCCGATGACCATGGTTTTGGAAGAGCGCGGCGGGACGGCCGGAATCGAAGCGACGGCCGGGGTCGGAGACCCGGAAGATGATGAATCGTCTTCTTCTGGGTGTTGTTGGGGAGGATGAAGTGGCTGGTCATCGAGGTCGTCCCGGAGGGAGGTGCTGATACGCTTCTTGGTGGAGACGTGGTGGTTGTTGGTGGCGGGATGAACCGGTGAGGTGGTGGTTGGGTGGATACAGGGGAGAAGAAACCGACGGAGGGCGTCGATCTTTGGCATTTCTGGTATTTTTTTGGGTTATCAAGATTTTAGGATAAAGGGTTCTTGGAACTCCAAGAAGGAGGAAGAAGATGGATAATTAATTTAGAAGTTGGAAAGAGGGTTCCAAATTCTTCAAAGAAAGAATCTTTCTTTCTTTTTTTTTTTTTCTCTGGGGAAATGAAAAGAACAATGCCAGGGGAGGAGGAAATGATGATTGGGAATTTGGGTGGAGAATGGAGATATATAATAAGGAAGACGAAGTGGTCCTATTCAGGGTATCTGTGAATTTATATGCAGAAGAAACTCAGAAAAGAGGGGGAAAAAAGGCGGGAGAGCTGAAACAGGGGATTTTAATTCATAATTCTTTACGCTCCGGGTTGGGGATTTAACCCGTATAAATCTCAGCCCAAAAATATTGTAAACAAACTTTATTCCTCCCATACTTATCTGCATTGATAATCTAATGAGCAAAAAGATTGACTTTATGTAGAGCAAATTCATAGAGTTAAGCTTTATTATAATGGGATTACCCTTAACTGGAAAGTAGGAAACCGGGTGTGGCAGCAAAACTGCAAAAAGACAAAAGAAACTTGCAGTGAGGAGGAGGAGGAAACAAGAACAACAAAGATTCAGGTTTTTTTTTGACCATTGACCAGAATACTACTACTAATAATGAATGAATTCAGAGAGTTTCCCAGTTTCAGATTCAGAGTTCAGACAGGGTGGCTTTAGAATCTATACATTGTCCAAGAATTATGACACGTGTAGAGCAACAGGGAAAGGTGGTGTGCAGTCCACTATATACCAGATTGGGGAATTCCAGCTGGACTAGAAGAAGAATGTGGTATGCCTCCTTGGCAGAGGGCTGATAGATTCTGCCCGGTGATTTTGATGTTTTCTTTTATCTTGTCCTTGGATTAATCTTTAGTTTCATTAGCAAAATGCCAAAATGTTTATATCAATAAGAATAAGAATGACTAATCTCTTGGTAGGCTTAGCAATGAATGAAACGGTTGGTCAAAGAATTTATATCTTTTGTATTCCATGCTTCATAATTGGACTCAATACCTAATTTGGGCAAAATTTCTGAGACTTTTTAATGTTGTTGCCTGCATCTACTCCTGCAAGTTCTGCAACTGTAGAGGGTCTACTCTGGAGGCAGAGTCATATTCTTTCCTGCAACTGTAGACCCTTGTCTAGTTAGTAGCCCCCAAACGAGGACTGAAACGAAGGCACGGTCTCCATTAAAGACCGACTTCTTGCTTTTATTACTCTTCCAAGCCTCACTCTGCTCTTTCAGGCTGGCCAATGTATTGGCATTTTGGAATATTGTCGAAAAGATGAACAATATGACTCTTTGTCCTATTCCGTTTCAGTAACCTCACTGAAAAGCAGAGATGTATACACTCATTTTCCTCATGTAATGTTACAACTTACAAGTGATAAACTTGCAAATCCTCAAATTGACAAACTTTATCTATGCATTCCACTGAGAGATCGAGGTCAAGCCCTGCAAGTTGCCACGAAAACCATAATGGTGCCACTCCATGACAATTAATGGAACCCAATTTTCTTAAACATCAGATTCATATTCGAGACATCACCGAACATCGGACACCAAATTCAGCAAAATCACTTGACATTATGCCAAGTTGTGAAGTAGAATCAGACAGATTCTACTATTCTGAAGCCAATTTTAGCTTCTTGCAGAATGTTAAGGTTACAGACATTTGAACTTTGTTCCTAAATTGCTGAGTAATTATAATCATAATTCCACTTCACTTATTGTACCCCACTCCACCTTGCCCAGTCAACAAACTGCATTCCTCCATAAACATTATTACCAAATCTTACTCCAACCGTGAATGCCATTGCAACTGGTGGAAACTGCTTAGCCATTGGAGATGCTTCTACCAAGCGTTCCAAACCGTTGATGATTTGATAGCGGGTGTTTGAAGAAACTGCAAGGAATACACCTGCAGAGAAGGACATTTAAAATGTCGACTTGACTAGGCCAGCTTGAAAGTGATCAAAGCACAAAGTAATGGCAACCGTTTAAGGCTTCACACCAATGAGAAAAGTTCAAGAAAAACAATGAAAAAGAGCCCTATGTACTAGGCAACTATATATATGGTCACAATTGTGCATAGGGTACCATTGAAAGGTTTCAAAAAGCAGACTTTGAAAGCATCATTTGCCATGTTCACGTACATATCCAACATCAAAGGATGCAAATTAACCCAGAAACTAATCACACTTAGCCATAGCTTGGCCGGGTAGACAAGAAATGTAAGTCAAATTGAGATTGTTATGTGGGGATTTCACTTGGGGTTTTGGTTGTCCATACCAATCTAGACAAATATAGTGTTTATGTTTCAAAAAAACAGATTGATTATGAGCACAAATGCTAGAAGCAAGTTCAATATCAATTAGCCAAGGCTTACCCCAGAGTGCGGCACTCTTCAGCAAAGGTGGAACAGGTACATCCTCTTCTGACTTCTTTATGTTCCTGAATACAAAAAAAACATAAAATTAAAAAAAAAATGCAAATGATTAATGGCCAGAACCCGATTGCCTTACAAGTTCAGGGAGAAAAGAGAATCCCAAAATGTAGAAGCCTGGGTGGAGCGGGTAGCATTATTGTTTCATGGTGCTCAACTATTCCCCATCCCACCCCATCCAAAATTTTAAGATTGCCACACAATACAGAATAGGTAGCGAAATGTCAATATGCTCTCTCAAATTGAAAAATTTATTGCGAGAAATATTAGTCACATAGCTTGGAAGATTGATAAAAGTCATCACCAGAAATGTTTACGCAGAGTACAACTAAGATACCCTAATGTATGAGGGGCAATAACTACAGAAACATTCTGATGATCACGTCACATTTGAAACTATATGCTCAAGAGGAAATGAATGCATAATGAGCAGAGTTCAAATCCTTAAAAAATTGAATTCTTGCAGGTTTCCACCAAATTTCAAGAATTAATTCCAGATTCGCTTCCAGTAAATCATACTGCAAGTACATACTCTAAAACTGAAATTTCAGATAGAAGCTACTTGCAGCTTTATCTCCAAAGATAGAAAGCAACTTTTGACATATCAGGAAGCCCATTGGATCACAGACAAAGCTTTATAGGTCTTACTAAAACGTAATGCATGAATGACAATGTACAAAGCATCTCCGGGCCAAAACATACCGTTTGGCAGTCATGATCATATTAGCAATTCCTTGACCAACAATGCCACATCCAAACCCAACCAGTCCATACAGTATACCCTGTGAGTAAAGCATAAATTTATAATTAAATATGTGACTGTATGCAATAAATTTGACAGAATGCCACCGGGTGTATGGTTAATGAGTGAAAAATTCCAGTCTTCTTACAAAGGATTAAAAACTCACCTTAAAAAAGTAAGTAGCAACTCTCTGATTTATGGAAAACTGACAACCAGGCCGCTGTGCTTCAAAGACGCTGAAGTTGGCATGCACATAAAAGATGAAATAATGATGGCCACGACATACTAAGAAGTATATAGAAGGCAGAACTACAGTTTACTTTAAAATCACCAATTGCAAAAGGAATAGTCATGAGCCCATACCTGCTAGGAAGAGCACCATAAGCTCTCAACATACGTCCAAAAACACCCTGAGATGCTGAAGACTGTCCAATGCGTGCATAAGGCGCTAGCATGCCAACTAAAGCCACATTGACAACAACTCCAACCAAAAGATCTGCTGCATATAATTCAAATTCTGCCCAGAAGTCTTTACCCCTTTTTTGAACTTCCGCAAAAGTTGCACAACAAGAATCAATAACAATCTACAAAGTAATGAAGTCGTGAGCTTTATGCACAAGCTAGGGAACTAAGCATGGAAGGGAAAGAAAAAAAAAAAAAAAGAAACTTCCAGGTAGACAAATAATTAAGGGAAAAGACTAAAGAGAGGATACAAGTAGTTTTCTATACGATTAAGGTGTTCACTATGTGCATTAAATCACTTTTCAAGTCCAGCTTCAAGGACTCAAAATGAAATGAACCTAAGGAATGAATGTGGCATAACTCATTCAAAGCTGTAACCGTGGTACTTGGGATGAGAACAGAATAACCAATTAAAGGATAAACAATACACAGTACCAAATTTTGCTTAAAATTAAGAACATCCCCAAACAAGTATGTTTAGCAGAAGGGCGGCAACAATTAGCTTTACAAACCTCTGTTCCAATCTTGAAAAGAAACGAAGGATCAGCCAACATTCGATTGCGAAGCATTGGGAACGTTCTCATGAAAAATCCTAAGAGCCCTGCCGAACTCTGCAATTTACATTCACAAAATTACAAGCAACAAATCAACATCCGAAGGAGAAACCACAAACGAAGAATGACTGATTAAAAAAATAAATAAAAATCAAGGGTTATGATACCTGAAGGTCCAAATATCTAAGTAGCAGCAATTTCCGAAGCCCAAAGTTCTTGGCCGCCTCTAGCATATCTGCAGGAAGATTTGCTCCACGAGCTTCAGTTTCTCTCATAACTTCATCGAATTTGAGTAGTGGCCCAAACTCTTCTTCCTCGTAATCATTTCCGTCATCATCACTCCCACCGCCGCCACCGCCGCCGCCAGAAAACTTCCCATTTCCGCCGCCACCAGAACCATCAACAGAAATCCCATATCCACCATTTCCATTCTCCCTAGTAGCACCGTTATTCTCTTTACTCTTCACAACCGAGAAATCTCCCTCCTGGATAGTGTTACTAGTTTGTTCGGGTATGGTAGTGAGGGTTGCAGCAGATTCTGGTTCGGGTCCACCCGGATTCGACAAGCTAACCAAGACAACAGTTGGCAGCCGCCTTTTCTCACTGTGGTGGTAGTACAAACAAGGCCCGCTTTTTATTATGGAGCTGGAAGAGAATAACCCTTGAGCGTTTGGTCGACGAATGACATCCAAACTCGGAATTCTGAAAACAGATTTCTTCTGCAAATACAGGAAATGGGACACTCCGATTCCAGTTGAACAGCCCATCACTTGGCGGCTTAGGGGTATGAAAATGGCGTTGAAAATGTGGGGTATAGCTGAAATCGGTGGCGGCCCAAAATGAAGCACGTAAATTACAACATGAACAGCATCAATAATTGATGGAGAAGCTTTCAGTAATTACCTAGACGGAATAGCAGGAAGAAAAAAGCTGGAAAAAAAAAATCTGAAATTTGAGTAGTATCAGGAGGTATCAACCATCAAGTGTTTGATTGAGTGTGGAAACTCGGCGACGACCTTTTTAGACTAGTCTCAGTCAATATGAGTGCGAGAGAATGCAATGGACCACAGTGGAGTCGAGTCCAGTTCACTTAGGTGTGTGTGTGCCAGGCCCATAATTAAGGCCAGAAAATGTTTATTCGTGGGCCAGATATCAAAACTTCATAGATGGTTTATCATTCTATCATCACCAGGTAATTGTGGTTTAGGGTTAGAATTTATTTTTCCATCTTTTGTAGTTACATTGCTGGTAATACATATTGCCAAGTCGAGTTTAAGTTACGATACCTGGAACGACCTAAGTATGGCTAGAATAGAATACATTTTGCTCCCTAAACGAAGGATTAATGTGTCACATGAAGCAAACAGAAATGAAGTGTAACTTCATTAAGAAGATAACGAGGTGAAGTGTCTTTTTTGTTTTAAATAGCCAGCGAATCCAAATCTCGGTAATGTTATGTACAGGACCACCACTATTGATTTTTTTTTGTGAAAAAAAAAAAGACCAGACGTATCCCAATTTGATTCCATTTAAGTTCTTTTGTAAGTTGTCACAATTTGAAGACTAATAGAGTTATTTTTAGAACTACTACAGTACAACTTTTTTCTTTTTTCTTTTTTTGGTGAAACCTCATTTTCATCACATTAAAACATCAAAAAAAACTTTTTTGTAATTGTATTATTTTGTTCCAGCTAAACACTCCTAAGGTCTAAGCATTTGGTGTGAAATTTCAGTTACATTGATGGACGTCTTTACAAGCCCATCAATGAAGCCCATCAATGGACTTCTTTAGAAGCTTTGGCACGTCAACAGTTTCAGTTGATTCGAACGGGTGAATTGAGTGCGACGGCGGAAGCCGCAAAGTTGGGCGGGCCTCAAGATATGTGATCATAGTGGCGCCGCCGCCTGCCACCACCAGTTCCTCTGATTCAGAATCAATCAAACTCTCAACCACCGAAGCCATCGTCGGCCGCTTATTCTTGTCTTCCTGAATGCAAGACGAACCAACCCGAATCAATGCGACGGCTTGTTTCTTGTCAAAATTCCCTTCCAATCTGGCATCTACCATGTTCTCCATCCAATCCTCTTCTTCTCCTCGCTGCCTGATTTTATTCCTTTCATCCATTTCCCAATTGGAGACCCTAATTCCCGTAACAAGTTCCAGAATCACAACTCCATAGCTAAACACATCCACTTTTGCAGTAATGGGTTGGTTTAGAGCCCATTCTGATGCCATGTAACCTTGTGTTCCTCGAATCCGGACAACTTTGAGCCGAATCCGCCTCCGCCTGCTCCTTCTATCTGATACAGTTTTACAAGCCCAAAATCAGCAATCTTGGGTTGAAGATCATTGTCCAGGAGTATATTTTCGGGCTTTACATCGCAGTGGATGACCCAATCTAGACATTCATGGTGAAGGTAAGCTAGGCCTTTGGCTGCCCCTAATGCCACATCAAATCGTTGTTTCCATCCCAGAAAATTTGAACTTGGTCGGAACAAATGTTTATCAAGGAAGGGATGAGTGTTCCACATATTCATATGTCAAGAATAACCTGGATCGGTTCATGTCGGAACAATATCCCCGTGTTCGGACTAGATTCAAGTGATTGATTCGTCCTATTGTGCTCAATGCTCATCTCTGCCGAATTCCTCTTCTACCTGATGGACGTTTCCTAACCTTTTCGCTGCAATCTTTCTTCCATCTGGATAATACACCCTTGTAAACAGCTCCTGAGCCTCCTCCCCCGTTTTCTTCCCTGAAATTATCGGTTGCCTTTACCAGCTCACGATAGCTAAACCTTCTGAATTGATCTGCGATCATGTGATACCCTGCCTCAACCGAAGCCGGAACACCATTTTTTTCTGAATAAAAAACACCAGGCCAGACCGAAAATTACAAATTCAATAACACCAACTGCGGAAACAAACGAGAACAGATAAACCCATCTTATACTATTTCCCCTCACATCACCGTATATAGATGTGAAAGAACCCACAACTGTTTCAATTGCTTTGGAGCTGCTGCATATTGCCCTGGAGCCACGATCAACCATCATTTCCGAGGGAATTGACAGACTTTTAGGCACTTTGAGGTACAAGGTCCCATTGAAATCAGAACGTCTATAGCCATTGAAAAGTGCACTCTTCGCATAGCATTTTCCACCATCTTCAATCTTGTAGGTGAAAGCTAAGCATTTGGCACTCTCTAGGCAAATTTCCCTGCAAGCTTCAAAAGAACTGGATTCAGAATAATTGCGGTCAAAACCATAGTACTCTTCTGCGGGTATCTCCACAAATTTCACCGGCTGAGTAACAAACAGGCTCACATTGAATGTGGGTTTGCAGCCCTGGTTCCAATCAGTTGGATCACTAACCACGTATCCAGGAGGACTCCAACATTTAGCCTGTGGGGAGTAAATGCAAATTCCATTTTTCCCACACAATCCATGAACGCTACATGGATCTAAAGCTTGCCATTTTGTTTCCCATAATCTGGTCGAATTGATCAAGCTGTATACTCTGAAATTCCCATCATAATCCAGGGTCATTCTTCTCTTTATCCCGAAACCCAAATCACTGACATTGAACCTTAACCTGTCGCTGGAACGGAACCTACCCATATCATCAAGAATGGCGATTCGGCTGCCGTTGTAATTTGTTCTACCATTTTGATACACATCCAATTCCGGGTTCGGCCAATATATACTGGCTGTCTCAGGCCCGTCATAAACGAGCCTCAAAACGTTGCTGCTATCGAAGTACAAATTAAAATAGCCACATTGATAGCTTCCTTTTCTCAGCGAGGATACCAATTTTTGGCTCTTAGTGAAAGTTTGGGAAGGCCAGATTGTCAGTAGGAAAATCAAAACTCTGCCACACAATTTCACCTTTGAAGTTTAAGATCACCAGATTCCCCGAATCGAGAAGCTCGGCTTTATCAACCTGATTGATGGAGATTTCTTGGAGAAGAAGAAGAAGTTAGGGTTTGAGCAAATTGGGAAAAATTTTGTATATTCACGAAATCCGTCAATTATGCATTCATTCTGTACATTGTTCATATATATACTGTATTGACTAAGTCAAATACCCTAACTATCTAGTATTTACAAGATAGTTCCTGTATTAACAAAAACTATAATATCAACTATACAATTGCTATACAAAAAAGAATCATGTATCCCGGAAATCTAAGACTTCATTGGCCTGATTAGCTTCAACTCCGGATACATTCTGATTACTCAACACCCCCACCTCAAGATGAGTTTGGGATAAGCTCATCTTGCCAAGAAGCACATCAAATGTAGGAAAGGGAAGGGACTTGGTCAACAAGTCTGCAAGTTGTTGAGATGAATTGATGTGATTAAGAGTGATGAATCCCTGTTTATAAAGGTCCCGGACTATATGACAGTTGATATCAATATGCTTGGCGCGCTCGTGGAAAACAGGATTGGCTGAAATGTGAATGGCAGTGTCACACCAAAAAGCAATAGGCAGAGAAGGTGCAAAATGAAGATCATGAAGAACAAAAGTAATCCATTGAAGTTCTCGGGCTGTAACCGCCATGGCCCTATATTCTGCTTTAGCCGAGGAGCTAGATACCGTGGTCTGTTTTTTGGTTTTCCAGGAAACCAAGCAATCACTAAGAAAGATGCAGAAACCAGTTAAAGAGCGTCGAGTAAACTGGCAGCTACCCCAGTCAGCATCACTGTAAACACGAGGTTGAAGTGAAGTACCACTGGGATAGAACAAACCCTTAGAAGAACAACCAGGAAGATACTTGAGAACATAAATAACAGCTTGCCAGTGAGATTGTAATGGAGCATGTACAAATTGACTGAGTTGCTGGACAACGTAAGCAAGGTCAGGGCGAGTGAAATTAAGGTACGACAACCGGCCTATCAACCGTCTATATTTGGCGGGATCAGGAAAGGCAGGACTGGGATCTTTAGCCAAAAAGCGAAAATTTGCAGGGAAGGGGGTAGAAACTGGATGACAGTCAAGCAATTCAGTATCACGCAGGATGTCAGTGATAGACTTATGCTGACAAATATAAATTCCAGTAGCAGATCTGGCGATTTCCATGCCTAAAAAGTATTTAGCCATACCAAGATCCTTAATGGTGAACATCTCATCTAAAAAGGATTTAACCTTAACAGGCTGGTCTTCATCAGAACCAGTGAGCAAAACGTCATCGACGTAAACAAGAAGAAAAATTTGATATGCAGGAGTGATCAGAGTAAAAAGACAACGATCATTGACAGATTGTACAAACCCAAAATCAAGTAATTTGGAGGTAAACTCAGCATTCCACTGTCGGGAAGCCTGTTTAAGTCCGTAAAGAGACTTATTCAACTTGCATACTTGGCCAGGAAGAGCTTTATGATAACCAGGGGGAGGTAACACGTACACTTCTTCATCAAGAGACCCGTGAAGAAAAGCGTTATTTACATCGAGCTGATGTAAAGGCGAAGAGTAACTAGCAATAATGGCAAACATGATTCGGACAGTTACAGATTTAGCTACAGGGGAAAAAATTTCAAAGTAGTCCTCGCTTGCTACCTGAGTGTAACCCTTAGCGACGAGTCTAGCCTTAAAACGATCAATACTTCCATCTTGTTTGCATTTAACCCGATATACCCATTTAGAACCAATTGGTTTCTTTTCTGAGGGTAAAGAAGTAAGTTCCCAGGTCTGATTACGTTCTAAGGCTTCTAATTCTTGATTTATGGCATCTATCCACTTGACATTAGTTCTAGCTTGATTCTAAGTGTAAGGTTCTTGAAAGGTTGACAAATTAGCAACAAAAGACGCATGTGTTTTAGAGAAAAGACAACAATCATTAGTGATGTAACTGCAAGAATCATCAACAATACAGGAATTGACAAGAACGAAATCATCAAAACGGGTAGGTAATTTGGTAGGTCTAGTACTGCGTCGAAGAGCAGGGACTGGAGGAGGTGAATCTGATGGAGAAGAAGTAATAGAAGGATTGGAACTGATAGGAGGAGATGAAGAAACTGAGGGAGAGAGATTGAAAGCATCATTAGGCAAGCAGTCATTCACAGGAATTGGCAACACAAATTCAGGTTGTAAAGATTGAGAAAGTGGAAAGATGTGCTCATGAAATATGACGTCACGAGACACAATAGTTTTATGCAAAGATGGACAAAAGATCTTGTAGCCTTTTTGGCCAGGAGGATACCCTATAAAGATCCCTTTGTGACTTCTAGGATCAAATTTATCTCGACTGGGTGTATTATCGACAGCAAATGCAAGGCAACCAAAAGTGCGGAGAGGAGTGAGGTCTGGTTTCCTGTGATATAAAAGCTCAAAAGGGGATTGCCAATTCAAGATGACGGAGAGTAAACGATTAATAAGATGGGTAGCTGTAAGAATAGCATCTCCCCAGAAAGCTTTAGGTAAATGAGATTGAATTAATAGAGATCTAGCAACCTGGAGTAGATGTTGATGTTTTCGTTCAACAACTCCATTTTGCTGTTGACGAGTCCAAATTAGCACAGCCCGCGACTAGGCCGGCCCAAGTTCGGTAAAAGGTCCAACCGGCCTCCGGAAGCTTCTAGGTCGGTTCTTAATTACTTTCCTACTAAGAAAGGGTTCGCTAACCTAGCTCTATAAATAGGGATCAACCCTTCACGGTTAAAGGTACGCTCTACGCACCACAATTCATACCCTATTAACAATTACTCTTACTGACTTAAGCATCGGAGTGTCTACCCTCGGGAGATCCCGAGGCCCTCTTTTGCAGGTTTTAGGGTTTCATAGCCGCCATGGCAGCCGGTTCAATTAACTGGAGATATCGGAACAAATCCATGCTTCGTCAGCTGTGGAGTATATGGACAAGTTTTATGATGTAAAATACCATGCTTAGATAGAACCGACTGGCAACACTCACTAAGAAATTCAGTTCCATTGTCACTTCGAACGGTTTTAACAGTGCTACGGAATTGAGTTTGCACCATAAGGAAAAAATTTTCTAGAAGAATAGGAACCTGGGTTTTATATTTCATTAAGAAGGTCAAGGTACACCTGTTGTAATCATCTACAACAGTAAGAAAAAAACGAAAACCATTCCCAGTGGCATGCTTATAAGGTCCCCAAACATCCAAGTGAATAAGCTGGAAAATACTAGTACTTTGAATAGAACTAGTGGGAAAAGAACTTCGATGTTGTTTTGCAAGTGGACGAACTTCACATATATCATGAGATTTGTGTTTTACAGAAGTATGAATGCCATCTGAAATATGTCTAAGTGTAATGGGGGAAGGATGTCCAAGTCTATTATGCCAAACGGCTACATCAACGGCTGTGTAGGCCTTATTTGCATTAAACTGTCTAGCTCTTAGTGCATAAGAGGCGTAGAACTGTTGACTCTTTTAAATGGCTTGAGAAGTAAAAGAATTGGTATTGATGATGTATAGGCCTCGAACTACTTTACCAGCTGCAATGACCTGACCAGATTTAAGGTCCTGCAGCAAGCAAAAGGTGTCGAAGAACTGGAAAATTAAGAAAGCCTGTGCAAGTTTCTTGACGGATAACAGGTTGTGTTTGAAAGAAGGGACGTATAAACAACAAAAGAGGGTCAATGTAGGTGATATTACGACATCGCCTATTTTATGTACTTCCCTAATACTACCATCAGGTAGAAATACAGGTGAGTATGCAGTTACATTCCTAAGATTTATCATATTTTCTAAACTATAACACATATGACATGTTGCACCAGTGTCATTAATCCAATCATTCACACTTAAACATTCAGCGTAATCCGAACTAAGTAAGGAAATGATAGAGGTACCTGCAAACTCCCCAAACTGCGGAACATTTGCATAATGTGCTGATCCTCCGGGGTTAAAAGCAGTATCCTCCATTTGCCCCTTTCCTTTCAGCATTCTGCTAACCTCCTGTTGCACAGCATTGGCAATGAGATCCTGCAGCTTACTCTTATCTTCAGGATTGTCCTCAAACGGTGTGTCAGCAAGATATGCCTGTTTCTTCACAACTTGATTCGAAGGAAAGTTCCACCATTCTGGAAACCCAATTATTTCAAAACAATTCTCTTTCAGATGCCCTATTCTTCGGCAGTGAGTGCACAGAAGATAACTTTTGTCTACTTTCTGAAAACCAGGTTTGCTACCAGTTTTGATTAGTGGAGGTTTAGATCCCTGTGGTCGAGCTCCTTCCTTCCTGAAACTTTGTAGTGGCTGAGTCTTCACAACCATAGCTGAATTCTCACCAGATATGGAATTTGACATCCCAACACTAACTTGCTTATGTTTCTCTGCCTTAAGCAACTTTGAATACACTGTTCTCAGATTTGGCGGAGGATCTAACATCAAATTGCCACTTCTTTCTGGTTCATAGACCTCATTCAAACCCATGAGAAATTGCATCACCTTATCTTCCATTTCACGTTCTTGAATATGTTCCTTAAGCAAACCTGTTGCAGCTAAAGTTGGCCTAAGCTGTGCATATTGATCCCAGAGGTGCCTTAGCTTACTATAATACTGTGGAATGCTCAAATCACCTTGTCTCATCATAGAAATATCACGCTTTAATTCAAAAACCATCGGAGAATTACAAGATCCATATGTTTGAGCTAATTCATCCCATACCTTAGCATCATTCACAAACTGAAAATCAACAGCAATCTCTGGTGCTAAAGCATTTTTAATCTATGATAATATCATACTATGAACTCTTCTCCATTTCTTAAAGATAGGAGAATGAATATCAGGCATCTCACAAGTACCGTCTACAAAACCAAACTTATTCTTTGACTCTAAAGCAGTAACCATGGCGTTGCACCAAATTAAGTAATTCTTACCATTCAGAGGGCAATTCATTATCACCGAACCATGAGTTTCCGAACCATGGAGCTGCAACTCGTCATCTGGATCGAAGAATTGCAATCGCCCCCTCAGAACTCTCTGGTAGTCTTCATCATCGGATTCTTGATTTCTCGGCATGATTCAAGAAACCGAACCGTACAGTTACTCAGCAAGGTGTGAGCAGCAAAACCTGCTAATTTTAAGGATGCGGAAGCGACTGGCAGAGCAGGATCTAGTCCTGCTCTGATACCATCTTGGAGAAGAAGAAGAAGTTAGGGTTTAAGCAAATTGGGAAAAATTTTGTATATTCACGAAATCCGTCAATCATGCATTCATTATGTACATTGTTCATATATATACCGTATTGACTAAGTCAAATACCCTAACTATCTAGTATTTACAAGATAATCCCTGTATTAACAAAAAGTATAATATCAACTATACAATTGCTATACAAAAAGGAATATGTATCCCGGAAATCTAAGACTTCATTGGCCTGATTAGCTTTAACTCCGGATACATTCTGATTACTCAACAAGATTGTTATATTGTTTATCGTCTGCCATACAACCGTGCCTTCGACATCTGTCAACACCATTGCGGCATTGCCCCGTTTTTCTGAAGAGACAACTTGGAGCCATGTCCATTCACTAGCTTTTCCCTGTTAGCCATCCAAGCAATAGTTTTGTCTCTCGAATTCGTGTACCAGATGGCCAGCCCATAAGCGTTGATTCCGGTCTGGTAAAATCCAAAACTGAATGAATTATCTGGGGATGTAATAATTGGTCCCCGATTCACAGAAAAAGTGTCACCCCTTTTCAAGTAATTGTGATGAACTGCGGATGACAAGGATGAATGAAGATGAAGAAGAAGAAGAAGAAGAAACAGAACATAATGCAAACGAGATGAGATAGATTGCACTTTTGTCATACTGGAATCGGAAATTTGGATGGATTGCAAAGGAGATATTGCATGTTGGCGGCGGGATCGAACAAACACGCACCATTTATATAGCATTGGATATTCTTGGTCTGTTTTTCTGAAAAAAAAAAATTTTTATTGATCTTCTATGTACATACATATATATTGGTCTTCATTTGACCATGATTGTCAATCGTACTATTTATATACTCCCTCTGTCCCAAAATTATTGTCCAGTTTGAAATTTCACATTTAGTACAATTTGAACTAGAAATGAAAACCTAAACTGGATAATAATTATGGAATGGAGGGAGTACATATATATAATCGGGGAATAATGTTCATTCCCATTTTCGTAGTCCCAATTTTTCTAAGGCTCCGTTTGGTTAGATTGAATTGTAATTAAATTAGAATTACAATACTATTGAATTGAAAATGAGATACTAATATTGCAATTCAATCCTAATTCTTTCGTTTGGAAGATCTCAAGAATTGACTAGAATTAAAGTTCTAATATCAATTCTTGAGTTTGGATCCTTATAAATTTATAAAATCTAGAATTAGAATTAGTTTTTTATTATCTAACTATAATTTAGTACTTTATTTCATTGAATAAAAGAAATACTTAATTTTATAAATCAAAGAAATTTATTACTTACATATATAAGATAAAAAAAATATAAATTTATTATGTACATTTATATTAGAACTTTTGTTGTCTGAGTAATATATATTAATTTTATAATTTATAGATACATACATACTTGTGCAAAACTTTTTATTATTATTATTACGTAAGAAATATTAATGTGATGATTAGAATTCTCACAAGTAAGATGTGAAACATCCTTGTTCCTCTCCTTTTTATTATTTTATAAATTTTTAATCTTCAGTTTTACTTTTGGGTTTTAGATGAAAATTTTTATATAGATGAAAGTAAAGATTATTCATTTATGTATAGATTAACATTAATACATAGTGCTAATTAGTTATTTTTATTTTTAGTATATAATTACATATGGAATAATATATATTTCGACTTCTTGAAAACTTACATAATTTTTAGTAAAAAAATTTCAAGTATAGTTCAAAAATTATTTATACATTTGATAAAAAAAATTTGTTAACCCATAATTAATACCTTTCTTTTTTAAAAAAAAATAAATTACTGGTATGGTTATACATTTGATAGTTTTTGTCAAAAAATACGAGTAAAATACTAATTTTAATGTATAGATCTCATTAATAATTATCAATATGATCTACACCTCTTTTACACAATAAATAAAAACATATGTTAACTTAGCAAAAAGCAAAAAAAAATAAAAATAAAAAATCCGCGCTAAAAGAAAAGGGGCCAAAAACGAAAAAAATAAAAAAAGGAAGCGCATCTTCAGCACTGAAAAAAAAAAAGAAAAAACTTCAAGTCTTCAAACTTAAAAAAACCCGTTTCGTTATAACCCAGAAAATGACTCGCATATGACCCGCGTTTTTCCTTAAGTCCCTAGAGTTCGAATTGTAATTATTTGCTCCCAAAAAAGAATTGAAAATAAAGAATTGAGCCTCATCTTGAATTATAATTCTAATTCCGGAACTCCTATTTTTGTCAGCCAAACACAAGAATTGGAATTGAGGGCCTTCAATTCTAATTCTTGAATCCAATTCAATCCAACCAAACATAGCCTAAGAATATTTTGATTTTCTTTCTTCATCGATTTCCTTCTTTGAATTTAATAAATTAATTGTTCCATAACTCAAAATGATGCTAAGCGTAAATTTATTAATATATAATTTTAAATGATGCAAAAATTTTGTCACTTCTCTTTTTTTCTTTCTTTCAAATTTTTTATTTTATTGTTCATCTCATCTTTTTCTTATGAAATTTAGATTTTTTTTACTTAGTTTTAAGTGCTAAGTGTGTTTTATTTCTCACTTTGTGTATCTAATTTTGTTCACAATCAGAATATTGTATGTTAATTCCGTAAAAATCATAAGTGACACATTTTAGTGGTATCATTTTGTTCTTGCACTATTGAATGATATTTTTACTATTGAGAAATTTGTTAAAATATTTTGTAAATAGTGTAATCAATGTATAATAACGTGATTCATAATTTTTTAATTATTAATTTTTTCTTAAATTTTTTTTCATTATATTATTATAGATATCATATGCGCGAAACGTGCCTAATCCATCTGTTTCTGTATTTTTTTTTTTTTACAGGTCAAACAATAAATACAATTTGCATCCTCTTCCATAGTTGTATTAAATAGAATATGAAAATACGATAAATAAATGACTAAGAATTGACTGTCCTAAGTTTTGGCGTTCCGTAGTTTTACCCTTCTTTTTTTAATCTTCAACGTGTAATCCAAATGGGGTGGCTTTAGACTTCAAAAAAGTTACAACTTGGAAACTCTTGACTGGAGAAAATAATCAATTAAGCGGCCTTTCTTACTATTGCGTCTTTGTTGCATGAAGCAAATTATGCATCCAAAAGTTTTGAAATTGTTAGAAGTGACCAATCTGACTTACTTTGTCTCTTATATTTCTTCTTCCTCTCCCTTGTCCTGTCCATCTTTTAAACTACCCAGAGTTAGTGAAAGTCTCAACCGAAATTTCAATGAATTTAAGATATAAAATATCCGGATCAAACAAGTTCCCCCTTACAATATACATAGGCCTATCCGTTGTGATTTCTTTCACGCGCCTAATCAAATGCAATAAGCTGATTGCCAAGTTTGAAAATAGCAAGGACAGGTGAATCACTTTGGGCAAAATAATGCCATATATTATATCGTTTATTAAGTAGCAGAAGACTTCAATGTTTAAAATAGCCAAATTAAAATCACTTAAAAACAATTGAACGAAACAAAAGACAGAAAGAAAAAGGAAGTACTCCCTCTGTCTCAAAATTATTGTCTATTTTAAATTTTCACTTTTAGTTCAATTTATATTAAAAATGAAAAATAAACTAAACAATAATTTTAGGAGGGAGGAGTACTAAAATAGCCTAACTCAAAAGAGAACAAGATTCCCTTATAACCTATTTCGTTTACTTTAATCCTCGTCCCCCTCTTTCCCTAATTCACTTTCAGATGCTTGCTTGCTCTCAGTTTCATCATCTTCATCATTATGTTCCGAAGATTCAGTTGATTTGTTTTCGTCATCGAGTTCTTGATCCTGTTCTTCCTAACATGGTTCGTTATCATCATGATCACCATCAGCAACACTCTTTTCAGCAGCTTGCTCTTTCTGTTCTTGAGCCTTCAGAGTTGCAGCTTCTTTGGCATCTTCCAAAGCTGTGACTAAACTCTTCAAACCAACCTCACCATCACACTCTTTGACGCCAGGGCGTTTGGGCATCAAATTTTTCAGCGATGTCGCCCGGGGTCATATCGACTTCCTCCAATAAGACGCCGATCCTCTCAAACAGGGGATGGTGATCAATGTTGAGGTAGTTCTTTGCAAGCAGTTTGAATGCTTCAAACCTGCAGTAAGACATCACAATATGCATATCCATCCGTCCCCTTCGGATGAGAGCCGGGTCGAGTTTCTCAATGTGATTAGTAGTGAACACAAAGATCCTCTCCTGAACACATCCTGAGGAAAGCCCATCAATTGAATTCAAAAGACCAGACAGAGTCAGTTTGGACTTGTTAGAATCATCTTCCTTGGATCCCTTTTTTTTCTTTGTCCTGTTGGCTGCAGTCAGAGTAACATCGAGGGTGCAATCAATGTCTTCAATGACTATGATGGCTTTCTTGGTGGTATCCAGTAACAAGTTGTTCAATTCGATATTATCCCTGATCGTTGTCAGCTCGAGACTGTAAATGTCATATTGCAGATGATTAGCCATGGCAGCAATCAGGCTAGATTTCCCTGTTCCAGGAGGGCCATACAAAAGATACCCACGTTTCCAGGATTTCCCGATTCTCTTGTAATACTCTTAACCCTTTCTAAAGGTTTCCAAATCATTGATGATTCTCTGTTTTAAGGTTGGTTCCATGGCTAAAGTACGGAAACTAGCCGAATGCTCGAAATCAAAGTATTTCCATGTCTGGCCTTCCCAACCATCGTCTTCGTTGCTATGAATCTTCTGGAATTTGCTCTGTTTCAGGATCTTCTTCCCTTCCTCGCTCACATGCTTAAGGTAAGCATTCAATACGACATCGCGATGGCGACGATTAAAGGTAAGCTGGTAAGACCTCCGGGGCGCCGAGGAGGAGGAGGAGGAGGATTTACTGGTTTTATCAGACTCTTTGTTCAAGTACCATGTGAGATTGATTCCTTGGAACTCATCTGTTACTTCCTCGAAATGTCCATGCTGAACTTCATCTCAGTCTTTCCTTTTCCTGGTTTCACTTTTAGCTTCTCGGCCATCTCCCAACAACGTTGTCCCACGTACGCCTCCACCTGCTTGTACAATTTGCTTCGGCTGCGATCCTTGCTGTCGATGAAAGGAAACTCTTCGTAGCAAATTTTCATTTCCTTTGTGAACAAACTCCTGATGCTCTTTTAGTGATCACGAGCAGTATCTCTGGATGGCAATAAGTTTCTGACCACCACTCCGATGCCTACCAATTAGGCAACCATTGAAGCCGTTTGCATCAACAAATCACCCATCTTTCTTGCTGTTGTTGTTGTTGTTGTTGCTGTTTTTTTTTTTTTTTTTTAACTGGTCGTCAGCAAAAGAGCAGGATAAGTAATAAGAAAGAGCAGAAGTAGGGTTATTTATATAGATCGGTAAACGATTTTCCTTGTCCTACCCGCGCAATCCTCTTTGACCGTAAATTTTTCACGGTGATTCCGAAATCCAGTTCTGAATTCACACAAAAGATGCAATATTTAATAGACTCGGGATACCGAAAATAGTTGTTGTCTCTACCCTTTTTGTGTTTAATCGAGTAAAAACGAAACGAAAATTTCAATTATAACAACCTTTTTCACGGCAGTCATGACATATAATCCATTGTTTATTCATTATTTTGGGGGGAAAAAAAAGGCTTAATAACAAGCTAGTGCACGAGTAAAAATCGAGGAAACAGATCACTATATACATATACGGATTTATGTACGTTCTAATCTACGGTTTCCAATATCAACAGCCGTAATCATCATTACATACAAAGAGATTAATGTACATCTATGTCACAAAGAATAGTTACACGGACAAAGAATGTTAAGAAGCAATCAAGGACTTATTAGAACTTTTTCACGAGGGACATTGCTGATCGACCTCGCCCTTCAGAAGAGCCATTCTCTGAGATTTGGAAATACTTTGCCTATTATTCAGCACGTCGATGTAATTCCGAAGCCTATAGCGGTCTGAATTTGTCAAAGTAAACGGAGGGTTCAGAATCAGGGACGGCGCTTCAACTAGCAGAAACGAAAATAAGCGTACTGCTTTTGAGTAGAACACCACTGCATTCTCAGTATCACCCATGTATTCATCGACCTGCCACGCAGAGACGCGAGTGATCACTTTAAAACTTACTTTTACCATTTCATACTAGACCTTATGAAGCCGAAATAGGATAACCCCTTCTCAATATATCCACACACGATGCAGGAAGCTATGCTATATAGGAGCATATGAGATAAAGACACCCTTGACCACTTTTTCTACCCAAAAATTAGAGATAGATGTAAACAGAGTCTACCAAGAGATGCCCGTACCCATCCCCCTCCTCAACTGTCAAACAGTTTGGCTCTGCTTTGTGAAGCTAGCTCATAGCATAGCACAGTGAAAGTAAAAAGTTTAAATCATTAGACAATGATGCTATACTTGACTTTGACACCTCAATTTAGAGAATGAAATAATCAAAATATTGCATTACTTACAGCCCCACGTCTACCCAAAGCAAGGGCGTGTTGGAATATTGCCTCCATCGCATCAGGCATCTCCGCATTTCCTGAAACCGATACACAGTAAACAGTGAGTAACCATCAACATCTTAACAAATTTAAACACGCACAGGCTTGCCTTGCCCAGATAGTAGCATACAGAACAAGCCCAAAATGACCACGGTTTTCTGAAATCCCGCACTTGACACGATAGATAACAATCAAAGCAGTTTGTCTGCTTACTGATTAACAAAAACTTAGACTAAACATTGGTGGCGAAGAATCTACCGAATGCCAAGGCAGAATCTTTATCTAGCTCTTTCAAGCAAATTAATCGGTTAATGTCAAGATTTTTCAAGATTCAAACGGCTCGGAATGATAAGCAACACCCAAGTTCCAAAGAATAATACATAGAAGATAATTGATTTCAGCTGATACAATGGAAAAGTGAAGAAACTACAGTTCAGACAGAACGATTCACACTAATTCCACCATTAAACTACAGGACATGAATAAGAACGAAGAAACACCCAAGCAACAGCGTCATACCCGGCTCTACTACTTTGGCAAGTTCCTCAGCATTCTCAACCTCGAGAAGAAATGCTCTCTCAATTTGGGAGCAGAGGTGTTGCGAACCAGTAGGTTCAGTAGCACCAAAACTTCCATGAGTATCAAGGCTACGCTGCTCCTTGGTCATTTCCCTCAACCTAGTAGAATCAGGTGTTGGACTTCCCTCGATAGCAGATGCAGCTTGTGTATGACAAATGTCCAATGCTTGCTTCCATATGGCTAGAATCACAAGTTGAATTTCCAATGCTTCCAACTGCTTATTTGCCTCAAGCTTTAAGAAAGAGGCAATCAACACCAGACACTAGGGTAAAATACCAGAAACAGGAAGCGCTGAAACAAGGAATTAAGCCAATGTACCAAAAGTGATACCGATTTGAGCCGAAAGAACATTACATGCTAATTCTTGCTACTCAGCCGAAACACCAAAACAAGCATTCAGATATCGCAAAGTCAACAAAATCTAACGAGCATTTGAGATCATTAAACAGCAGTTATTAGCGTTGATATTGAACTGTCATTATTGTCAGATACAATGAAATTAATCAAAAGTTCATAGGACAAAAAACAAACTGACAAACTTTCATTACCATGCCAATCCACAGCCAACAAAGTTGGGACGACAGTAAACATCTTGATAGATGCCAAAGTGCTATCTGATGTGTTCAAATAATGAAGCTTAAATATGGATCAGCAAGAGGCTGTTGCTGTTCTTATTTTGTTTCTAAAACAATTAATAAAAAAATGGAACAAGGAAAACCTAAAAGATTTTGTTATTAAGCTAGTAAACATCTCCTACAGAAGCACATATCTACATATTTACGACCCGCAAAGTATGAAAAGACCATTTTTCCTCCAGTTGTATGAGTCCTCTATTAGATATAATAAGATGCAAGCAACTGATGTCTAATTAAGTGAATTCCCCGACCCCCACCCCCCCCCCCCAAAAAAAAACCCATAAAGCAGAAGAATAATAATCAGGAAATTCATACCTAATAAACCTGAGTCGTATTACACCAGCGAAAACATATACTTAGTTGAGGTTCTTGAAGAATACCTTTTCATTTACTAATTCCGTGATGGCGGCTGCACAGCGCTTCAGGGATCTTATCCTAGTCATGCAATCTGCTGGTGGCTGTTCAAACACATCTGTCACATCAGTAGATCCTTGTGACGTCCCAGGAGCAGAGCCATGACTTTCAAAGCTCTCTGTACGTCCCACCCTACTATCTGCGGTACCAATAATCGGCACTGGTGCGCTTGGCGAAGGACCTATGCTGCCAGAAACTTGTGGTGCACTTCCAGAAACTTGTGGTGGACTGCCAGATTTGGACAACACAGTACAAAGTCTAGAAATAGTCGCAGAAGATGACATATCCACTGGGGGACCGCGAACAAGAACATAATCCTGATCAATCAAGTCGAATGAATCTGCCACTGCGGCAAATTCATGCCAAAAAAAAAAGAAAGAAAAAAATTAAGAATAAACTTATAATTACTCGACAACAAGGAGAGAAATGCATTCTAACAACAGATATGAGCACCTTTTGTATGAGCTTTTGCTTGTCTTAAAGGCTCTTTCTGGTTCCCATCCGAAAGCTTTAAACCACCTCTGGGAACATCACTCCCAGAATTGGATGCAAGATCCATCTTCTGCGTCACATCAGAAACTTCTTTTCTCTCAGGATTGTCAACTGAAAATCCAATTGTAGACCGGATTGGATACTTCCCAACAAAGGATGGACTCCCATCAGGACTTCCGGGATCATAATAATGATCCAAACTAAAAGGTAACTCCTCTTGAGATATTTCATCCCTAATCCCAACAGAACTTGATTGGGTAAAAGGAAATCCACTGATGATTTTCTGCGGTCTCATGTACCTGCACCGTAACGTCGCACTTAACATATCAAGGAAATGTAGGATTTCTTCAGGATGAGCAAAAAAATAATTTCAAGAGTAAGACAACTAAAATCCATAGATTGATTTACCGAATGAATTCGTCGGGCTCCTTCTGGCAAAGGAAAGGGTGGTTAAAGAATTCTTCAAATGTCAGTCGCTCAACTGGATGGAATTAGAGGAAACTAAATTTAGATAGTTTTCAAATCAAAGCATTCCAACTTCTTCATGCATCCATCAGTTGCGGCTCAAGTCAATAACCTCTATTTATAAGAGTATGAGGCTATGCCCAATAGTCTACCTGGATTCCGACGCAGCAATTTCCTACACAAGTCTTTGCAATCAGAACTCAAATCCTTCACATCTTGAGGAAACTGCAATTCCGTTGATTTTATAATATTCTGAAGCAACTGCAAATAGAAGAACTTGCTAAGAAGATTGTAGAAGGAAATCAGTGCAGAAGTCAAAACTGCAATGCATTGAGGAACTACTAGATGCAAAAGTATAACCTGTATTTGATTATTTCCGGTATATGGGGTTTTCCCTGTCACCAGCTGATATAAAATGGCACCAACACTCCAGAGATCTGCCTGCGTTTTCATTCCCAAGTTAATGTGTTTACCATATAGACTAAAAGCTTGCATGGGGAAAGAAAAAGGGAAAAAGAATTTCACCTTTGCGTCATATTTCTGAAGTTGCATTATTTCTGGAGCCATATATAGTGGTGAACCGCACAGAGTTTCAGCAAGTCTGCTATCTTGCAGAGACCTGATTATAGAATCTAGAGTTACTAGTGGATCTTTTGAATGAATTCCGCATAAAAAACATCAAGTTATAAAAATACATCAAACCGTTACTCGCTAATACCAGGTCAAAGTAATCAAATTTGTTTACATGTACAAACAAGCAATATAAAACAATGTGGAGGGCTAAACTAGGTATCGTTGCGGTAAATCAACATGAAAATCCTCTGCAGCTATCTAAAAGAGCCCAGATTGATAAAATGTATATACAAGTAACAACCTGCAAGATTATGAATCATCTCTCTGCATCTTTAGTAAATACAAATTCAAGGTCAAAAGTCATCCTTGTTCTCACAATAAAATACTGTTAAAGAAATAAAAAGAACAAGGCACTCCATTTGATACTTCTACAAAGAACATCAAATGAGGAAAAATAACCACTAAAATAGACGCCAAAAAGATCCATTTAAAGGTTCCTCAATGCTGGGCAAGTCTGACATGGAGATCAATTAAATTATTTCAAAACATGCAATAAATGCTTAAAATGACCCAAGTAATAGACTTCCGGTCAGTACATTACCTTGCAAATCCAAAGTCAGCAATCTTCAAGATGGATTTGTCATCATTAGTGGAAAGCAATAGATTCTGTTCCAGAATTTTGCCAACAAGAGAAAGACATCACAAAATGTAAAATGTCATTATACAGCTACAGCATTTCCCAATCATCTTTACGAAAATTTAGACAGCTAAGGCATATGGACAACATCATTCACTATGAGAAGCAACACGAACCTGTGGCTTTAAATCTCGATGGATTAGGTTGTTCTCACGGAGTACTTTTAGACCCAAAGCTGTAATACAAGCAAACAAAAATATGTTACTTCTGTGAACTTTTTCCAACGAAGAACGATAACAACAAACGGACAAATACCAAGTTGCTGCATGAAATGCTTAGCAGTCGCTTCGGGAATCCTTCCTTGGCGTTGCTGGATATAGACAAAAAGATCACCCCCTTTGCAGTATTCTAAGATGATATATATTTTTCCAGTTTCCTGTGTTTCCATCCAGGAAACAGTAGACATTATTAGTAAAAATAATATGTTTCCATCCAAAAATGTCTGAGTTAATAGGACTACAAGACAAGACGTGTGTCATATTAATCTACGTAGTCGGACTAAAATAACAATAAAATCACGAAGTGGCATAAATGGGTAGACCAGGCTACAGAAGGAACTTCGTTCCAACTTAAACGCATCACACAATGCTCCTTTTACTGGGCTAAAAGCATAAAAACAAATAACGCCAGACTAAAAGATCCATCTCCCTAATAGACGAAGCACAGGTGTGGATTTAAGAACTCCACTTCAGCAAGACCAAAAAATACTACATGTAATGCCATTGCCATACTTCATATGATACCACAAAACATGAACCTAACATGGACTTCTCCGATCACAATACTGATTGATACATCATAAAGATTTCTAGTTGCATAATTCTTGAGCATGTAAACTCAATTTCACTTATTACTAAATTTCAAATGATTGGCGAACATCAACAATGGTTTCCAAATTAAAGAATTAGTTCAAGAATCTTAAAAATTTACTCCAAAATGAGAAGAAGAATGAGAGTTGTACTCCGGCGACAGGAAGTATATGCAAATTCAGAGGAAAACTCACCTCAATCATGTCGTGTAACCGGATGATGTTAGGGTGATTGATCTTCTTCAAAATAACAATCTCAGACTTGAGGCTATCCCGGAGTTTGGAGCTCAATCTCGCGGTGGCAATCTCCTTGATGGCGACCTCGGTGCCAAGGACGCGGTGTTGCGCTAGCCAAACTGTGGAGAACGATCCGGTTCCAATTTGCTTCCGAATCAAGTAGTCCCCAACCATTAACTTCCCCCCTCTGTTAATCGATTGTGCCATTAACACTCCCGAAGCGAAAATTATCAACTAGTACATAAAAAAAAAGAAGAAGCAAGAAATCCTAAACCCTAAGAACCAAACCAAGAAAAGGAAAGAAAAAGAGAAAGAGACAAAGAAATCGCCAAAAGCCGAGCAGTCCTTTTTTCTGAGGTTCAAAATTCAACGGATTCTGCAGTAAAGCAAGGAATCGACGACGATATATTTATTCCTTCTTCTCTTTTTGTACTTTTTCTTCTTCTTTCCTTTTTTTAAATTTTTTTTTTCTTTTCTTGGTTTAATATGTATCTGTGCTGCTCGGCTTCTGCGTGGTGGCTTTATTTCTATCCCTTCTTCAAAGGTCTCTCTGTGTTGTGTTGTTGATGGCAAGCTTCTTTCTTAGGATATTGGAGATGAGATTAATGGAGGCTTTTTTTAATGAATGTTTTTAATCATGGAAGATTATGCTAAAATGACAATTTGGCTAAACTATCACAATAATTGAAATGAAATTGGGGGGGTTGAATTTTAATTATTATGATTTTCTTTTTTATTTTTGGTTTGGTGGGGTGCGTTTGCTTCAGGTCCTGGCGTGCCGTATAAAGGGTGGACAGAGAGAGCAAAAATAAAGGGTGGCGTTCGTTTTGGGCGAAAGGGCCTCTGACTGACTCCCCACAGGGCCGGCCCGACGGCTACAAATTTTCATTTTCGTTACCTTTTTGTGTTTGCATGAATCTTTCTTCGTTAATTTAGTCATTGTCCTGGGCGATAATCATTTCGCAAATGTGTCACATTTATAATAAGTCGTTGTTAGAAATTAGGACTGATGTGTTGTTGTAGTTTTGGAGAGGGGAAAAAAGAACGTGTTATTTTGATGCCTTCTGATCTCTTCTTCATCATTTCGTAAGGTTGTCAACTAAGCGGGTCAACCCGATTACCCATTCACACCGAACCGATTGAGAAGAAATGGGTCGGCTAATCGGGTTACAACAGGTAATGCAGATTCAACCGTTCAACCACATACAGTTTGCAGTTTGGGTGCGGGTGTATATAATTTTTTTCGGGCACCGCCTGATACCCGATTTAGGATTTTATTTAATTTATTTTTTAAATCTTACTATATTATAAACAAAAATCACACTTAAAGAGAAAGCACCATCATTTGCCATGTGGCATTTCCACATCATATTTTTAAATAAATTTTTATTTCCACATCTCCTAAACTTAAAAGGCAAATGCAGTCCAAATTTATTTCCACCTCCTATTTTCGTCAAAACAAACAAACAAAAAAAAAACCACGGGTTCATAAAAAACCCAAATCTTCATCCCCATCGCCACGACAATCGACTCCTTAATCAATCCCTTCTCCACATTTAAAAAAATAAATAAATTTCTCATCAATCATCAATTGAGAATATGTGGTGAAATATACTCCTTTCCTATTAGTATGTTCAATCTTTTCATTAGTGATGATCAACTACATCCTAATCGGATAAAATTTTAACTTCAAAAAATATTCTCTTTACCTCTCTATATAAACACAAAGGAAAAAAAAAATTCTCATTGATCTTGCTTCGGCCGTTGTGGTGGTGCCATTACACGTATTAAAATTTAAATGATTTTATTTCCACAGATAATTGGTTTGGCTTTTATTATTTTTTTATTTTTCCCGTTCAAGAATAGTGTTATTATTATTATTTTTATGCGTCCATCCGTTACAGCTATCGGAGCCGTTGTCAGGTAGTATGATGTGATTTTTTATTTGGTTAGTTAGTCTAGAATTTTTGTATGATTTTAGTTATGTTTGGATTGAATTGATTGATTGGGTTTTTGTTAAAAAGTGTGGTTTTTTAAATTTGTTTTTTATGTTTCATTCAATTAGAGTGGTGTTCTTTTTTTAATTATGGAGTCTCAGGTTTTTTTTCGTATATGCCCAGTTATGAAATGTGTTTTCTCTTTGTTTAATTGCTTTTGATTTTGTTTCATACTCCCAGTTGACCAATTATTATTATTATCATTATTATTTTATTTACAAATGAAGCACTTTTTTTTTTTTGTGTTTGGCGTTTCAAGAATATACTTTTTTGGATTTGGTTTTTGGACTTTTTTTAGTTCCTCATCATATAAATAGTTCAGGTCACTTCTTTTAACTAATTTATGGGGAAGCCTTTTATGAATTTGAGGTAGAGAGAGAAGGAATGATGTTTCTAAGTTTATTTGTGTTTTTATACATCATTTTTAACTACAGAAAAAAAATAAAAATTCTGAAATTTTAATGGGCTATCTTTTTTTTTTTTTTTTTATTTGCCATGGTGAGGTGAGTTCTTTTTTGCTATATCTTGAAACCTATGCAAATTTGCATTATTTTCATTCTCATACTTGTGATCAATCAGTTTCAACAATTAACCAGTATCAAAATTATATTTTTGATATTTTACTACCTATAAAGTTTTGGAGAAATAGTTCCAACAATTAAGCGTATACTCTTTGGAGAAAGCTAACTACAAAGCTATTATAAATCTCCAAAACTAAGTATTGATTTGGCACAACCAATGGAGAACATCAATAAATTATCTTACTAATATTTAAACTTATTAGGATGTTTTTATATTTTTTCTAGCATTTACTTCAAGACATATATTTGATCAAGTTTATTTATATTTAAGAAGTAACACTTATAAAACATTTCTAAAATCTTCAAACATTTCTAAAACGTACCGGGTCAAATACAATTTTTATGCCAAATACAAACATCACACTTATAAAACATTTCTAAAATTCTTCAAATATTTCTAAAATATATCGGGCCAAATACAAAATATTTTTTTTTCCAGATACAAACATTTCTAAGATCTACAGATATATTGGGCCAGGGTCGCACATTGCGCGACCAGACATCACTAGTAAGTATATAAGTCAAAATGTTAGGGTTTCATTTCTTCCTCTTCCTTATTTTTTTCGGCTGCAGCTGCGCAGATGCACCGCCGCCCTCCAGCTCCTTCACCTCGATTTTTTTTCACCGGCGAATCTGTCATTTTTTGACCGATAATTTTACCGATCATCGTCCGTAACCAATCCGGCTAATCATTAAGCTGGTCGTCCTCCTCCAAATCAAATCAATCTTTTGTCCCTTTTAGTTCACAAAGACACAAATTCACTTCCTCCGTCCAGTTCTGGTTACTCACTCAGTTTACAGATCTGATCCTTCCTCATTCCGATTTTCACAAGTAGAACACTCCGGTGTCCGGTCACCCCCTCAGTCCGTCAGTCGATACCACCAGAACGGTAAGAATACTTCAAACTCATTCCGATCTAGCTTTTATGAATCGTTTACCTTGTTTTTCTTTCCGATCTACTCTTTTTTTTGCCCATTTTGCATGCTCTAAGTCACTTCTATCCTTATTTGCGTTCTGCTTATTTGTTTTTTTTTCTTAAATAAAATAATTGTGGGTCCTTTGTTTGGTCGGGATTCTCTGATTTTTTTTTTTAATCATTGGAGTGTTTCTTGGGTTTTTTTGTCTCATGATTTCTTCTCACTGATTCGGGGTTCTCTGTTAGTCTATTTTGAATTTGGGAGTTAATCATTCTTGGATTTCTTTCAATGTTTAAGTCGATTTCTGGAATTGGATTTTCTGTTTCAAGCAACCGCCGCCTTCTGCATTATGCAATTATATGTCTCGTTTTGATGTTTGGGAATGGCTCTGTTTAGCTTCCAATTTGAATTGAAATTGTTGATATGGATCTTCTTTATGTTGTTCTAGTTTAATTTTACTTAATTTTCCCACTGCCTTAATTGCTTGATTGCTTTGCCATCAATGTGGAATATTGGAATGGAATGTGATGATGGATCTTCTGTAGCTTGCTTAATCTTAAAAAAGTAGCCTTTTTTGTGCTTTGGTTTCTTAATGTCTCTGTCCAGGAAAGAGGGGTAAGAAATATGGTTGATGCATTGCTGGTTGTTCTTAGTATATTGGTTGTGAAAGGTGCTTTTGAAATATGATTGCATGTTAGGCTTTCAATAGGAATGATAATTCAGATAGAGTTTGGGATGGTTGTTGCTCAATTAAAATCTTAGTCCTAGAGATTCGAGTGTAATTAAGTTGATATGCAATTGATCGTGCATGTTCCCTTTAGGTGTTCAGATTTTAGACACCTCACAAGTATTGGCTGTTTGTGTTTTCTAAGTATTGGCTGGCTAATTTAGAGTATAATCAATTATTCAAACTGAAAACTGAGATCCTATTTGTTATAATGATGTAAATATTTGTGGTTCTGATTAGGAATCTTGTTTTGCTGTTAAATATTTATAATCCATTTTCCTTTTACTGTTTGTGTTTGGATTCTTGTTAGCACACTGTAAATTTTTATGTGGATTAGTTTGGTGGATCAGGTTGGTAAATCATGATTGTCAATCACTTTAATACACTGTAATTTGTATTTGGATCAGTTTGGATTAGTTTGATCAGTAGAGATCAGTTTTGTGGATCAGTTTGGTACACTATCATTGTCAATGGGTGAACTAATTTTTATTTTTTCCTGTTTTTTAGATGTCTCAAGTTGCTGATAACGTTGATGACATTGAGGAGATCGATGATCAGGAGTTTGAGGATCAGGAGCTTCTGAATATACTGCCTGGTATTTCTGAGGATGAACCTGTCATGATCGATATTGAAGTCGAAGGAACAGTACCAGTTGAAGCTGTTTGTAAGCCTTCAGGAAAACACAGGGTAAATCGAAAGAGGTCTATGGTATCGCCTCGTTTCATTGATTTTACTGATGCAAAAGGTGAGGCATGGGTTGCATGTAAGTATTGTGATGCTAAGTATAGGGCTGAAAGTAGAAAACATGGTACAAGTAACCTTCGTAGTCATTTGCTGGTTTGTAAGAAGTATTTGGCTTTGAGTCATGATCCTGGTGAAAGTAAGTTAATTGTTGATAGTAAGGATGGAAAACAGGCTAATATAACCAGCTGGAAGTATAATGAAGAAGAAATCACTAGGGCATTCATTTATATGATCATTGTCGATGAGCTTCCATTCATGTTTGCTAAAAAAAAAGGGTTTAGGTATTTTCTGCGAAAGTTGCAACCTTTGTTTGTTTCAAAGTGTAGACAGATTGTAGCTGCTGATTGTTATAAATTGTATTTGGCTGAAAAGGAAAAACTGAAACTTCATATCAAGGGGAATGTTAGTAGAATTTGTTTGACCACCGATACTTGGACTTCCTTGCAACAGATTAACTATATGTGTCTTACTGCCCATTATGTTGATAATAGTTGGAATCTGAAAAAGAAAATCTTGAGTTTCTGTCCTATTTTGAGTCATAGAGGTGTTGATATTGGGACATCAATTGACGATTGTTTGTTGGATTGGGAAATTAAAAATGTGTTCACTATCTCTGTTGATAATGCAAGTGCTAATGATGCTGCTATGGAATATTTGAAAGAACAATTTGTTCATCGTGAAAAATGTCTTTTGGGTGCAAAATGGTTGCATGTTCGTTGTATGGCTCATGTAATGAATCTTGTTGTTAAAGATGGTTTGAGTCATATTGGTAAATCTGTTGAAAGAATTAGAGCTGCAATAAAATATATTAGGCAATCCCCTCAAAGAATTGCAAAGTTTAGGAAATGTGCTGAAATAGAAAAGTGTAATAGCTCAAAGAATCTGATTTTAGATATTTGTACAAGGTGGAATTCCACATATTTGATGTTGGAAACTGTCCAAGCTTATGAAAGAGCATTTAAGAGGTATGAATTAGGTGAACCACACTATAGGGACACTCTGAAGCATGTTCCTGGGGATCCAAAAAATTCAGGGCCTTGGCTGCCTACGGCATTGGATTGGTTAGAAGCTAGGAGAGTGGCTGGTCTTCTTCAACATTTTTACGAGATTACATTGAAGTTATCTCGTACCAAATGTATCTCTTCGGATTCCTTTTTTGATAATGTTACTTGCATTGAAGTGTTGTTGAAGAAAACTATTATGAAACTGTAGATCCTGAACAGCAAGCTATGGTTTTTATGATGAAATCCAAGTTTGATAAATATTATACTAGCATTGAAAAAAATAAAAAGATGAATGTTGTTCTTTACATGGCATCTGTTTGGGATCCAAGAAATAAGTTTGATTACATGGAAATTATGCTAGATAAATTGTATGGAGAAGTTGATGGGAAAACAAAACTAGATTTTGTTAAAAATTCTTTGAGGGAGTTGTATGTGGAATATGTTAGAATCTATGACTTTGATTCTAGATTTAGTTCAGCTTCTTCCACTGTTGGGAGTAGTTCTTCTCAATCTGCTGCATTGGGGAAAAGATCTTCTCCGATAGACATTGAACCTTCTAAGATGCTTAGGGATCAATTTAGGGCAGAGCTGTTGAAGAAGAAAAATTTGGAAAGTGGTGGAAATCTTGAAAATTTAGATTTAGAGAAGTATTTGAGGGAGACAACTGAATCAGATTGTCCTATATTTGATTTGCTGACCCGGTGGAAGGTTAACAGTCCAAGGTTTCCGATCATTTCTTTGATGGCTCGTGATATTTTAGCAGTCCCTATATATCTACTGTGGCATTCGAATCTGTTTTTAGCACGAGTGAGAGGGTTTTAGATGCTTTTAGGAGCTCTTTAACTCCGAAGACTGTTCAAGGCTTAATATGCACTCAAGATTGGTTTAGGGAGGCTGTGGATTTAGATTCAGAAGCTGTTGAAGAAAGATGGGAAGATCTCATAAAAATTGAAGAAGGTATTTGCATTACTAAATGGCATTTCTGAATTTTAGTATTTACATTTTGATGTTTTCAGCTATTTAACTTCATTCCTGGCTCTTTTCTCAGGTGCTGAAACTGGAGAACCAAATCTAGACTGAGCTAGGATGTGGTCTGAATTTTTTAGATTGCAGACTGAAACAGGTAACTGAGATCCTGATTTGAATAATTTCTGAATTTCTGAATTTGTATTTCAACTGTGAAGTGAAATTGTGAACTCAAGTTCTTAATTTGAATTTGCAGACTGAAACAATTACTTTTGAATTTGAAGTGCAACTGTGAACTCAACTGTGAAGACAAGGCTGAAGTAGAAATGCGAAGACTTGATCCTTGAACTCTGTTTTAGTGTTTTTCAGTATTTTCAACTCTGTTCAACCATCCTTCAATTTCTGTTTTTAAGTTGTTCGGATTGTGGACTTGTAATGAACTTTTTAAATTTGTTGGCTCTTGTAATGGACTTTTTAAATTTGTTGGCTCTTGTAATGGACTTGTAATGAGACTTTTGTGTCGTGAACATTTGAGATTTGTGAATTGAAATATTTTTTTGATTTTTTGCTGATTTAAGTTTGCTCAGTAATCAGTACTTTTTTTGTTGAGTTTCACTGTTTCAGTTTGTATTTAGTGCTGAAATTGAAATATTGATTGTCTTTTGTGGAAGACTTACCAATAAGCTTGGGTAGGCCCTGAATTTAGAATAGAGCAAAAAAAAAAAAAAAACAATTGAATGTCTTAATTCGGTTGAACCAAAACCGAACCGCCAAACCCGAGTGCTTATTCGGGCGGTTCGGTTTGGATTAATAGCTTCTGCGGTTCGGGTTTGGGCGGTTCACGTGACTGAAAAAAACCGATTAATCCGAACCGAATTCACCCGAACCCGCCCAATCTGACACTCCTATTAATGACATTTCGGAACTAATCTTCTCAATATATGCAAATTTCACAGCTTCAGGACTCTAATAGATTTACCTTTTATGTGACACTTGGTAAAAAGTTATTGGAATTAGAGTGGTTACAGATGGTTTGGACTTTGGAGTAAATGTTTTTATTGTGATTTGGTAATAAAGTTGATAATATGAGTGTCATGGTGATGGAGATTATGAAGTACTAAAAAATAGTGTGCATACATTCAGATATTGATTATTGAAGAGTTTGGCGGATTATATTGTTATAAACATACTTCTATAGAGCCTGTCTCAATTCAAATTTCTGGCTTAATGTGATTTATTGCAATAATTATATATTTTGTTTATTGGAAAATAGACTATCACTATAAATTTTTGCACCATTTGAGCACGATATTACTAGAGTTACATATTCTTGCAATGTTGTAGTATCTTTTTGGGTATTTTGCCCTATTTTATAAAATTATATGTGTCGGACCATGGATCTTCACATGGACTAACGACTATTCATGGGTCTAGAAATATTCTTTTATGGCTAATTGGGTCAGTTAAGGCCCTAACAATGACCCAAGCCGATCTTAAGAAAGTAATATTCCCCATACCTTATCTATATATACCTCATTTTTTATGATTGAGAAGAGGCTCACTTCCACTCCCTTCCTAGCTCACATACTTTACTTCTATCACTCGTTGGACTGACTTGCTCGTCGGAGTGTCAATCCTTGTTTTGCAGGTCTCAGGTCTATAGACACCGTTGACTTTTGTCTTAATAGATTTTACCTTCAACAATATGTATACACAAAAAAGGAATGTAGTAAAACATTTCTAATGTGTTGTATTGTTAATTACCTAATTATTATTTTCTTTGGTACAATAAAGAAAACAATGGCATAAGGTGTTAACATATTAAATTGGTATGAAATATGAATAATATCATGTTCCAATCATGATATATGCTTCTTACCAAAATAAACTTTCGAAAATATAATCCGTCAATACTGCAGGTGAATCAGCCGTAAAGTTCTTCTCACGGTACACATGTTTTAACTCCACGTATCACTTTTTTTTTAATAAGTTGTGAATTACTTTAATTAAACTTCCATGGATTCCAAAAACATTCTTTTCGCATTCCATTTATATAACACTAAGGTTATCATCAACCTCAATAACAATTTTGTGCTTTCTCAACTCCCAAACTATAGTATGCAAACCTTGGAATAACCCCACGACTCGACTATTATGATTGGAAGGTGATCTTTTCCTATTTTGTTTATTTAAAAGTAAAAAATTGAAAACATTGAATAACTTGTCTGGGTGGTGTAGTCGGTTATCACGCTAGTCTCACACACTAGAGGTCCCCGGTTCGAGGTCCCCGGTTCGAACCCGGGCTCAGACATTTTGATTTTGCTGGAACGCGTCTTGCCTTTACCTTCACGGCTTTTTGGTTCCGAGTTAAGAAAGGAGAAAAGAAAAAGAAAAAGAAAAAACAAAGCCGAATTCTTCTTCTTACCAAGGAGGACCTGCACAAATCCCCTGTTACGCATTTCTCCAACCAGCAGACCTGTTTTGTTGTTCTCTGTGTTTTCTTCAAATTCGTACTCTTCTTTTTTGCGAAATCTTTTGCTTTTATTCTTGTTTGAATATTTCTAGATATAGATTTCTAGGGTTTCTAGCTCAGAGTTTTATTCGATTGAACAATCTCAACCTGTTCCGATCAAATGGATTGGGGAAACGTGACCACCGAGGATCTGATCGAAGCTCTTCGCGAAGTCGATTGGTCGTCTCCTCCACGTCCGCCGTCTGAATTCCTCTCAAGATTCACTGTTCCCCGATCCTACTCCAAATGGAACAGTCGCCTCAAGTGCAACCTTTACTAGTAAGATTTCGTTCCCTTTCTTTTTTGGAATTAGGTCCATGTCATGTATGGTTTACTGCAATTTTCTAAGCACCTGAACGACCACACACCATCGATTTTTCTTGGTTTCGCGTAGTGTTGGTTTTAGCAGTTTTGAAGCATTTTGGAATTCAGATAATGGATTTTTTATTCGGCTCAAGGTTAATTTGCGAATGAATATGAGCATATGCGAGTATTATTAGACCCTCAATCTGATATTGGCAAATGAACCTGGGTGGGCTGGTGTTTGATGCTGTAATTTTGGGTTTCTTACGGTGTTCTGTCCTTGATTTGTTTTCATGGTTTTTCTTCTTGTGCAGCTACAGGACAAATTACTTCATTATGATCGTTATCATTCTTGGTAATAGAAAGAGTATTATCCATTTGATATTTGGGGTATTCCTTATCTTCAAACTCTTTGATTTGTGCATTTGGCATTTTATATTGCAGGCATAGGATTTCTTACAAGGCCTCTTGCTATTGTTGCTGCTTTGTTGACAGCTCTCAGCATTGCTTTTCTCAATGATAGGTATGTTACTTCTACAAATTCTGAACGATGGTGTGTGGAGATATTTTGAATTTGAGTATCATGTTAATTATAACACATCAGCAAACCATCCCCTGGACATTACTATAAATTTGCTAGTGCGTGTTTCTTAAAATTGAATTTCGTTGAGCTGTATTTGCGGGGCTGAGATTTGGGAAGTTAGATATTGTAATTTCTTTTATAAAAGAGGATGTAGAAACCATATTTTGGTATCTGTATCTGTATTTACATGTATTTAGATTCCCATGCAATATATTTACAAAAAAAAATGGAAAAAGGGGAGGGGTTGGTGTGTGTGTAAAGTTGGGAACAGATATCAAAAGGGTTTAGATGCACCTCTCTTCTTTTGTAGCTTCTCGTCTTACTAGCTTGCCTTGGAGATAAATTTCGGGAATAGTCAATTTCTATCAGCTTTTCCTTAGTTCTTGATTCTTCTTGCAGCTTTGCAGCTTCTTTCAGTGAAAAGGTTACCAGAACAGTGAGGCAGTTTTCTCCTCATTTAGCTGCAAAGATGAGACCTCCCCTCACGTAAGTTTGTTTTGTCCTACATATGCAACTGTAGATAGTCGGATAAAGGCTTTGTAGTCGCTTTTGTCGATGAGGATGCTGTACATTGCACAATTGACAATGATTTGAATGTTGTATTCAATTGCTCAGGCCTGTTCTTCGAGGAAAACCATCTGCAAAACGAGCCATTCATATTTGTGGACGGCCCCGCTGGGTGTTTGTCTTGGTGTTTTCAACTGGTATGATATCATTGTTTACGTTTCCTTTCATCCCCGTCTATTTCTGTTTACTTTGTGTTAATATATTTTGATATGGATCGAATCCTGTGGGTATATGCATCCTGATGTATTTTGAAATAATAATGGCTCTATGCATTTCTGATATCTGCAGTTAGTTTCATCCTTTGGTTCGCATCCTGTGGCTTGTTAATGGTGTTATGGGCTTTTGCCTTTGGTCTATTTGGTAAATGACTACTCTTCACTTCCATTTCTTTTTATTTTAAAGATAATAAGAACATGGTCATGATTTTCCTTTTCTTTTTGATAGCCACTCTCCTTCATGCAAGCTTCAGGACCCCAAATCTGAAAGCTCGGCTAAACACATTTCGTGAAGAATTCCGTGCAGTTTGGCGAAATTATAGTGAACTTTAGATCAATGGGCTTCATTTTCTGGTAATTACTTACAAGACCTTTCTCTCCCTATACACCCCCCACCCCCCACCCCCTCTTCCCAAAAAAAAAAACAACAGTTGTGTGATTGTTCTCGGTTTGTTTGCATTTTCTTTTTATTCCTATGCAGACATGTCAGCAATACTCCTACTTTACTACATTTTAGTACTACTGCATACTTTCTTTATCAACTCGTTGATACTAACTTGTGGTTATGCTAGTACTAGACAGTATCTGCTCATCGCTAGTATTTGGTTGATAATATCTTTTTTTCGGAGGTTTACTCGGAGTTATCCGGTTTTTGCTTTTAAGATATCCTCGCACATTTGATGCGGTTTTAAGTTCCCTGAGCCCAGACTTTCAAGTCTTAGCTGAAGTTTAAACCATTATTATGCACCTTCTATTGTATGAATACATGACTGGACTAAGGGTAGTGCCGGGAAAGGGTAGTGCCGAAGTACTTGGAGATAAAAGTCTATGCTGTATTGGCACCTTCTATTGTATCATATGTTTGCATACAGCTTCATATGGTAGGTCATGATACGAGCTTAAGTACTGTTCTTTTTCTCTTTTATATATGCATTGGCTGGGGCACAGTTTTAACGACTATTGATTAGATGCTAATCTTGCTTGCTTGATTATGCATAACCTGCTGGGGACATGTTCACTTAATGTTGATAAGCATGCATAAATGCTTGCTTTAGTTCTAAAGAGCGTCTTTTCATTTTCTTGTAGGTGCCCTCATTCTTGTGGTGAAGCTCTCTGCTTTTCCAGTTGGTCGTGCTTCCTGGTGCCATGCTGCTAAATATGATAACTTTTTGCACCTCAGCAACTGGATTCTTGGTCTGCTCTTTTGCGCATTGGTAGGAAAGTTGTATATTACTCTTGAATTGTTCCCCATGGTTAACAGAAAACTCAATTATGATGGACATGTTGGTTACTTTTATGCAGAATTTAATTGCATAAGTTTTTAGAAGCCTGGAGAAAGTTTGTTACCACATTTATGGAATGGTTCACTCTTCTGGCTTTGTATATACAATGTAATGTTCTTCTATACCATCATTAGGCAGTCTCTAAGTTCCTGTCTCCATTGTTGCATGGCATATGTAGTTTTTTAGATCTTTTTTATTATGCTACTTTGATCTGGAAATGATTCTCCCCTAACAAGAGTTTTTTCCTCCTAAAATAACTTTATCTATAACCTAAACTGAAACCTTAGTCCTTATTTTAACATTATTTACAGCCACCAATAAATTCATAATGTTACTATTTTTTTTTTAACCTCTTCACCTGTCTTCTTCCCCTCTGCTTGACCCACGGCAACTCCTCTCACACTCCTTTCATCATCATTCCTGAAAAACCCCAAAAAGCTTACTACCATCTTCTTTTTTCTTAATCAATTACAAACTGAGCCTCCTCTTATTCCAAGAATGGAAACTATGACCCTTTAGGTGAGCTTAATTTTAGAATTTTGGTCGCGATGGGCAGTGTCCTTTAAGCGAGCTTAAGGACAGTTTATTAGACAAGGTTATTTTAGAAAAAAGACTCCCCCTAACAATCTGTAACTAGGTTGTCTAAGCTTTAATAACTCAGTTTCTTGTCGCGGATGGCATGATTTATTAAACGAAAAGCAGTTAATTCGCGACTGTAATCGACATTCGACACAGGAAGTTGGAGACCTCACTGCGTGGGATGCCTCTCTATGGAAGTATTGAAGCTTTAATTTAACACAGAATGACAAGAATTTGTGAAATAATAGCTTGCGGGTGCTTAAGTACTAGAAGATATCAAGCCTTTAATAAAATAACCAAATTACAATAACTTTTCTTTTCGAAAAATAGAGTACATGCACTTTGATCCAGATAAAACAAAAGATACTACATAGGAGTATAAAGAAGAAAAAAAAAAACGCTGCCTGAAAACTAATTCCCATCTAAAACCTATGCTAGTGCTATAGTAACTATTTTGAGGATGTCCCGGAAGGAACTATGCATCCTTCAAATTCTCCTCCTCGTCCCACTCCCACATTCAGAAAATGTATTTTTGCTTGTTGTTTCATCATCTGTATCGCTACTCTCCAAGATTTCAACCTATTCGTTTTCAACTTACTCATTTTTCATTTTCCAAACAACCTTATTTCTTTTCGCCATCGACTTCTTCTCTGGTTCTTCCTCACTCGGTTTATGTTCATCATGATCACACCATCAGCATCAGTCTTCTGAGCTTGATCATTCTGTTCTTCAGCCTTTAGAATGGCCGCTTCTTTGCTCGCTTCCAAAGCAGTGATCAAGCTCGTCAAACCAACCTCCCCATCGGCATAATTTAGGCCAGGGGATTTAGGCATCAAGTGTTCGGCGACATCAGCCGGGCTCATGTCGACTTCCTTCAACAAGACGCGGATCTTCTCGAACAGAGGATGGTAATCAATGTTGAGGTAGTTCTTTGCAAGCACTTTGAATGCTTCAAACCGGCAGTAAGACATCTCTATATGCAAATCCATCCGTCCCGTTCGAATAAGAGCCGGGTCGAGTTTCTCCCGAACACATCCCGAGGAGAGCCCGTCAATCGAATTCAAAAGACCAGACAGAGTCAATTTGGAGTTGCTCTAATGATTTCCTTCCTTGGTTTCCTTTGTTCTGTCGGCAGTCAGAGTAACATCGAGCGTGCAATTAATGTCTTCAATGACAATGATGGATTTCTTCCGGGTATCCAGTAACAACTTGTTCAATTCGATGTTATCTTTGATCGTAGTCAGCTCAAGACTATAAATATCATACTTCAAACGATTAGCCATGGCAGCAATCATGCTAGATTTCCCCGTTCCAGGAGGGCCATACAAAAGATACCCACGTTTCCAGGATTTCCCGATTCTCTTGTAATACTTCTTCGCCTTTTGTGAAGGCTTCCAAATCATTGATGTTCCTCTGTTTTAAGGCTGGTTCCATGGCTAAAGTACGGAAACAAGCCGAATGCTCGAAATACAATGGTTTCCAGGTTTGGCCTCTACAAGTCTCTTTCTCATTGTGATAAATCTTCTGGAACTTGCTCTGTTTCAGGATCCTCTTGCCTTCCTCTGTCACATGCTTAAGATAAGCGTTAAATACGAAATCGCGATGGCGGCGATTAAACGTAAGCTGGTTAGACCTACTGGATGCGGAGGATGATGATTTACTACTACTCTCTAGAGTCGATTTGTGTAAGTACCATGCGACCTTGATTCCTTGGTACGAATCTGTGACTTGCTGGAAATCGTTGAGGCTGAACTTCATCTCTGTCTTTCCCTTTCCGGGTTTGACTTTGATGCTCTTTAGAAAGCTCATGACAACGTTGTCCCAGGTAAGCTTCGACCTGTTTATATATCTTGCTGTGGGTGTGATCGCTGTTATCGATGAAGGGGAACTCTTGGAATTCCAGTGTCATCTCGTTTGTGAACAAACTCTTGATGCTCTTAATGTGTCCGTTCGTAGCATCTTTGGAGGGCAATGAGTTTCTGAGTACGACTCCAATTGCCTACCACTTTGGTGACTACTGAAGCCGTTTCGCTCAGTAAATCACCCATCTCTAATTGTGTTTGTGTGTTGTTTTCTTCCCCCTCGTATGATTAACAAAAGACAGGGAGAGTTGTATGTATTTATAGGCACCGATGGACGGTTTTCCTTGTCCTACCCTTATTGGGATTTGGACTAGTTTCAAGTATCTTTCCCTTTTGGATTTAGATTTCTCAATACAATAATATATCATTTTCTTTTAGCTAGTAATTAACACATGCACAAGATATTTGTGAATTTTTAATTATTAGTATTTCCGGGGTACCCTTCATGTTTATTTCTAGGTTTTCTTTCTTCTTTCTGTTTGAATTAAGGAAGCACAAAATAATAATAATAATAATAATAATAATAATAATAAGAAGAAAATTTCCAGTTAGAGGTGAAAGCTTTAATTAAATTGGCTTTGACGACGCCTTTTTCTTTTGAATTTATTTTATTTTATTTTAGGTACAATGAATGAGGCAAAAATCTAGTGACTAAATAGACATATTTTCAGGGATAAGCAACCCCTATAATACCATGCTCCATTCATGGTCTGAATCTTGACAGTGAAACTTCTAGTCGATGTAAACTTCCTGGACAATGAGCTAGTAATGATGCTAAATAATCGGTTACAAAATTTGCTTCTTGAAACTCATACTCCACCTCAACCTTCCAAAACAAGTATCGAATTTTATGTATAATTTTTACCATATTTCGACACTCCTAATAGTGCAAAAATCAATATTCATTACAAAGTCTCATATCCAATGATCATATCCATTTCCTACAACACCTCCGACACTTGCCATCCGACTCTCCATACCAGTCAACTTTTATCCAACCCAAAAGCGGTGCATTCCAGTGGAACGATTAAATTAAAATGAAATAGCAACGAAGGCAAATTGTATAAAGCAACTCAGATTGTAGGTAGACAAGCTAGACAAAGTTCGTGTTCTAACCGAAATTTTTTTTCTTGAGTTGCTTTATTAATTAGGTTAGAGTATTCCTTTTTCCACGTCTCATCCTGTTAGGAATTAAGAAGAATCTGCACGGAAAAAAGCTAGCTTCACGCCTTCACCTTTTCCTAATAGTCGGTGATCTCTCCGGCGATTTTAAAAAAAAAGACAAATCTGTTGAGATATGCAGTGGTGCACGATGAAAAGAATTTACAGCACGATTTATTTTTCAAATCTAAAATGACAATATTCTGAAATAAGTCGTTTATAACAACTCCATGACAAACGAGAAACGAAGAGAATAAATACATAACGTGATAGTAATATATCTAAGGATCAAAACTCAAAACCAAAAGGCTGCACATGGAAAAAAAAAAGAGGCGTAATATTTACTTTTCTTTTCTTGTTCCCGCATACGGTCTACTAAATTGATACAGGCTGGAGGCCCATGTTTCAGTAGCTTCTTTCAAGCTCAGCAAGCAAATGGCAAGAAACATGATACCATAATTACAAATACTAAGTAGTGGGAATCATTACCAAAAAAAAAAAAAAAAAAAACCCAAAAATCATGCCATTAATAGAACGATTAAAGGCATCTTCCTGTCTCCGACAAAAAAAAATGATCCCCTCCTCAGAGGTATTAGTATTTTCTCCCTTCCTCAAAATTTCAAGCACCAAAAGACGATAAAATTAATACACACTGTGCAAGAGGAAGAGGAGGGAGAAGTAGGTATGGTGAACGTAATGAATTGGGCTACTAATTTAATTATTGCGTGTGGATTTATACTGCTTGTGGGTTTCTGTTGCTGTTGTCTAAGTGCAAAAACTCAGAATCCGGGAGACGACGCTGACGGCGGCGGTTGCAGTTGCGACGGTGGCTTCCCCGGCGTGTGATTTCTGTGCCGTTTCCGCGGATTCGTCTTGGCGCATAATTTCTTGATACTTTGAGCGAAACCAATATTGGTTTATTTAGGACAATACCAATTTTGTATTCTCTTATTTCTTTTTTTCAAAATTTCTTGATTTCTAGAATAGGCTTCAGACTTTGTAAATATCATGTCGTCCTTAATTATTAACTAATTGGTTAGTCCAATTCCATTGTCTATTTAGCTGAAGTTTTAAGTAATTACTAGGTGGTTCCTTTTTTTTCCCTTTTTCTTTTTCCCGCGAGGTTGTACTCTTCTGTGTTTTTCGATATACCAAAAAGAAGCGAAGACTAATTACTCCCTCCGTTCCAAAATAAGTGTCATCCTACACTTTTCACATAGTTTAAGAAACTATTAATTATGATAATAAAATTACTTAAATATCATCAACTAACCTCATTAAAACAATGTCCACTAATAGTATTAATTCTTTTGAGGGTAATTTTAGAAATTTTAGACAAAAAATGTATTGAAATGTGAGAATGACACTTATTTTGAAATTTCTTCATTTTGCTAAAACGACACTTATTTTGGAACGGAGGGAGACTATATATGTTCTACATTATTACATTGTCGATTAAGGAGGTTGTACTCTTTGATTATGAGGCACAACATAAAATTAGGCAAAACTTTTTTTTTATGCAGGAGGTGTTCTCGTTACTCCGACTAATTTGTGTTTCATTGAGAAAGACTAACACACAACCTATTTCTATGTAGAGGGAAATTCCGTGGATTACCTAAATTAGTAATCCTCTTCATGGCCATTAAATAATCGCAGCTTTCATTTTCTTTTTTTCTTAGAAAAAAAAATCAATCATATTTCTTGCACCATTTTTGCAAAAGTTGATGAATCACATTCACTACAATTGGCAAATATGTACTAACTTCATTGTAGCCGATTCTATTATTGGCATTAACGTGACTTATGGCTTAAATTCTCAGCGCAATTGAATCTAAGTTGATTTAAATGATATCATTAATTTAAAAAAAAAAATTGACTTTCACCGACCTCAATTATTAAGCATGAATAAAACGCGAAAAATAAAAACTTGAATGAGAAGAAACGAAATAGAAACGCAGACCAATATTATCATGAACCGGAGTTGCTATCAATTCCGGTTCTGTATTGTGTGGAGGCCCCACCTCAATGACTCAACTCATTTCACTCGGACCTGACCCGACTCTGCAGAAAATGGACCCGAGAAAAAGAAGGCCCAAAAAGAAAGACCAATTTCACTGGGAATTCGAAACACAGTCGGACTGTCCTTAATCTCCTCCCATGGCCGTCCCTATATTATATCATCATCCAAACCTCCTCTTTTCCCCGCCTGACTTCTCCTCCTCCTTCCACGCTTCATTACATCCTTATTATCGCCATTTTCCCTATAAACAGAGAGTAACCCATCATACGAATGAGAAGGTAATCAGTAATTTAGTTCAAGTATTTGATTCTTAAAGCTTTAAAAACTTGCTAATTGCTAAAGTTCTAATGCGCGCCTTTGTTTTTTTGCTCTAGAATTGTTATTTAAGTCATTCAAATAGTCTGCGCCGCCGTCGAGATTTTGCAATGTACTGCCAGAAGACGACGGAGCAGCGGAAACCCGTTTCACAAGATGGAAGAATGCTGGTCAGTTGCTTTTCTATCTTCTGGGTCTTTTTTTTTTTTTTTTTTTGGGCATTATGATCAGGATTGAGGGCTAGTATTTTAATGTTGAGTAATATCTGTATAGGTATTTGTACCGCCGCATCCGTTGATAAAACACTGGGTTTCGGTTTTGAGGAATGAGGAAACGCCGAGTCCACTCTTTAGTAAGCATCTTACTTCAATTCGCATTTTATTTCACCTGTTCTTTGACAATAGTAGAAAAATCTTATTCTCAAGTTTAGTTAATGAACTAATTAGTCAAATCAGTATGAAATACTTCCTAGCTTTAGATGCGCATCGATGTGATCAAGAGTACTGCTTGATTAATTTTACTTATCTTGGAAGATCAAAGGTGATCTTTAGTTGGTCAGTTACTGGCTTTATAAGTATTATGTGGTGAAGATTACTGGGATAATATGTTTAAAATTTGTCTGTTCATTTATTGCTTGATCTTTCTTGTTAGGACAGTACCTTTCCTGCTTTGGAATCCAGAAAGTTCTACATTGCATTTTTTTTTTATCCTAAACATTGTCCTTGCAGGAAGTGCCATGGCTGAGTTGGGGAGGCTGCTCATTTATGAGGCTTCAAGGGACTGCCTGGTATAAAGTCTTTCTCTGTCTCTTATTTTCAGACTGCAGTTTTGTGAATGTTTTTATCAGTTAATGCAGGGTCCTATCCGTTTCATTTTTTCCAAGATATCTCTTGATGACTCCATTTTGCTCGGATATGAATTGTTATTGCTTCATTAATAAAAATTAACAACCATGATACTGTTCGATGTGGAAAAAGCTTATCCCAAACTTGCGTGTTTTATGTTTATCTCAATATTGGAGCCCATGTTCATGTTTTGTTTTCCAACTTCTCTCAGCCAACTGTATCTGGGGAAATTCAGTCGCCGATGGGTGTTGCATCTGTAGAATTTGTGGATCCCAGGGAACCTGTAGCAGTAAGTTCACTACTCTTCCCCAGTTTCTCATAAAACTTCTCATTATGTTTCTATACTCTAACCGTCTTAAAAAATACTGAGGATGCTTGACCTGTCCCAAAGTGTTCCTAAATCAACTAACACTGCACATTTCATGATTGGAATCAACTTATTTGAACCTCTTTTGCAGATTGTTCCCATCCTCAGGGCTGGTCTTGCCCTAGCTGAACATGCAGCGTCAGTTTTGCCTGCGACAAAAATATATCATCTGGGTAAGTAAGCAATGGCTATCATGCTGACACTCTTTCTGTTACATAAGCAATGTGTAATCATTGTTCTCACATACACTTTTGTCTTTATCATTTGTTACCCTATTAGACTTTATACATCTTCATGTCTGCTTTTGCAATTATTTTTATTATTTTTTAAAAAATTGGCATTATGATTACACATCATATAGATTGATTAATATGTTTTTCTCTCATTATTTTCTTAGGGTTTAGCAGAAATGAAGAAACACTTCAGCCATCTATCTATTTAAACAAGTAAGTATTCCACACAGAAAAGTTAGGCTGTCCTTCCCGCCCACTCTTTTGGTGTTTCTTATTCTAGATTGAATCACTATCTTGGTTGTTTTTTATGTTTATGCTACTTTTGGTGTTCTTATTATACCTCTTCGTTAACTTCTGTAGTTTTTATATTGACAATATTTAGGTTACCTGACAAATTTTCCGAAGATGCTCGAGTATTTGTTGTGGATCCTATGCTCGCAACAGGTCTCTTTTTTCACAAACTTCTTTATCTTGCTCAATATGGTTGATTAGTTATTCTTTTCCAAAAACAATGTCTGCAAACTTGTCTTTTTGGTTTCATATTCTGCTTTTATCTGCATTTACATCAGTTCTGCTCTTTCCAATTTGAGTGTTTGTTTATAATTTAACTTGTGAATGCTTAGGCGGCACAATACTTGCAGCTTTGAACTTGATAAAGGAATGCGGTGCTGAAAATAAACAAATCAAAGTGGTAAGCATCATAACATTGCCTGATCAGTTTTGCCTGGATCAGTGACACTTGATGAGAATCCCCTGGATATTGGCACGCTTTCATCTGCAAACTTGTTGCATCCTTGCTACTCTTCACATTTTCTTGGTATATATACGCAAATGTAGGTATGCGCAGTTGCAGCTCCTCCCGCCCTTCAGAAACTCAGCGAACAATTCCCAGGGTAATGTAATTTGTTCTTGTACTGGACTCGGGGTAAAAGTTTTTACTTGCTAATCTCTGTGGTAACTTTGGTTTTTCTCAGGCTTCATGTGTACGCTGGAATCATTGACCCAACTGTGAATGATAAAGGGTAAAAACAAGTCAATATTGTAAAGAGAACTATGGTGTATATCTGCTGAGTACCACATTTTGTTCTGTCTACCGACTTTCTTTTTGTTTTTTTCACATTGTTCAGATTCATTATTCCGGGACTTGGAGATGCTGGAGATCGCAGCTTTGGCACATGAAATATTTATCCCGAATCCTATTATTGGTCAAGTATTCTTGTAGCTTCGACAAATTTACCACACATTTCCTATTAAATGAATAGTTCGTAGCGGAGTTTATATATTTAGTTTGGTCATGGAGGTGACTGTGATTTGCTAGGTGAATTGTATAAGGATATCCTCGTGATGGCCAAAGCCATGATCAATCTTCCGAGAAGCCAGTTTTGTTAGCATGAAAAGTATCATTTGGTTGCCATTGAAATTGTTTTTTCTTCACTAGTCAATTTTGCGTTGCAACAGTATTTGGTTTGAAATCCGAGAGGCATATGAAATAACCTTAAATCTTTTCCCTATGAAACTACTTAAAATCTATGAAACAACTTAAAATCAGTGAAGAAAATGAATCGCTGTTAAGGATATAATGAATGTAATTGTCCAACTTTGGACATCAACAAAATCAAATACTGGTATGATGGGAATTTAAATAGATGTTTGGAGTTTGGACTTTAACAATGTGTTATCATTTGCTATTCACCACATTATCCGTTTTTATTTTTTTTCATTTTATATTTGTAGGTTGTCTATCTGACCAATAAGTGGGAAGGATACCTTTCCGTCCAAGTAATTATCTGATTGTTGTACATAAGATTAAGGGAGTCTCATTAAACATCTCCTCTAAACTGTTGAGCCGTTCTTAATGAGGTTGAGTAGCTGAGAGAACCATCATAATGAGCCGTTCTGGTGGGAAGGTAACAGTACCCGACGACATTCAGGGATGGATGTAGGGCAGGGATAATCATTCCGGTCCTAGGAGAGGTGGCGAGCATTTTCAAGAACCCCCTCTACTGACTGGTTATTTGGCTTCACAGGAGAACCCGCTGTGAATTCGTTACCTAATCGTGGAAAGCTGTTAACACGGGAACTCGCTTGGACAACGAAAACGAGACTTATGAGTAAGATCCGCGCGGTGGGAGCGAAGGCCCTGCTTCATCGCCCGCCACCCCTGAGATCGAGGAATTTCCCTCAATTTCGGTATCCGAAAAAGGTTCTAATAAGACCCCCATTTCGAATGAATCGTCCGTCCACGAAGACAAGCTCGGTGGACCAAAAGGCCCAAAGGTTCTTCCTTCTAATGACCGGCATATCTATGATTCTTTTCTCCCAGATGAAGCAGCAGGCATCGGTCCGTAGAACCTATAAAAAGGAGATGGTTGTGGCGCGAAGTACTTTTGTGCACCTACGTCATTCGGCTCGATGAGATCCATGAAGCACTAGATCCCTTGCAGACTTCATAAAAAGCAATCGAAGATAAGATCGCAGAGAATGAATGAGAAGCTACTTCCCCTCCCTCCGCCTTTTCCCGCTTTGCTAATCTTCCACTAATAACGCGGGCCGGGCAGGGACGGGCGCGGGAGGAAGAAACGAAACCTAATGCAGATATGATCCGAATGTATCCTTTCATAAGCATTTAATAGGATGCCCTCTCTGTTATTGTCGTGTTATACAAGAGAAGGCAAGTAGTAAAATTAGAATAAAAACGAAGAATTACACCCAAAAACAAAAAAGTAATTCTTTTTGGTACACACCCCATCGAACTGTTGAGCTTCATTTTGTTCTTCAAGTGGACGATCATGAGGACAGTGGTGATAAGTTACTTGATGATGAAGAGAACCAAGAAGAGAATCATGAGGGGACCAAGACAGGTTGGTGACAAGAGTAACAAACTATATATTAGGCGTACAAGCTTATAAATTAATACTCTAATTCTAGTTTATTATGTTGTTTACCTTCTCTATTTCTGTAATACTCTTTTTGTCCTGAAATGATTAATTGTTTAGTTTGATTTTTATTTTTAATTAGTATTTTTAATAGTAGAAGATAGTAGTATGCTTTTACGAGCACTTCTGCAGACAGTCTAATGCATGCAGGACTTAAAAATGCGTCCCCGCCACTCTTTAAGTTCCCTGTAAAATACGCGTAATTTCAAATGCTACATGGATTTCAACAAAAGACATAAAATGAGTCATCCTCAATTGACCTAAAACTGGAATTCACTTTTCATCCTGCTGATAAGAGGAATCTAGTAGCCCCTATCTCTAACGCAATGGATGTTGTTTTATTAAGCGACACCGGTTTTTTTTTTTTTTTCCCCAATTCTTTGGTGACGTTGGATTTATGGACTCATCAGTTTACATCCTAAGATTTGAAATAGATAAAATATTCATAAGGTTTATCTATAACTGAGCATCTAACCAAAGTGTGTATTACATTCCCTCTCAACTTCACCGTACCAAAAAAATATGGTGAGAGTAATGTCCGTAGGTTATAGTTATGGCTATAATGTAAATGATGATATATTGTGTACTTCCTTCCACAGCAGACCGAAGCTTTGCTTATAACGAAGTTGCAACTTGCAACACGGATAAACCTATTTGCAACCGTTGTGAGCTTCAATCTGGCATATAAACAATGCTAATAAGGTTCAATCACTTGTACCAATTTGTTAAAAACCCCTTTGAAAAACCAATTTCACTTGAACTCTCTAAAGCTGTGAACAAATTAATTAACGTAAAATTGTAAAAATAAATTTGTTTTCAGTATTTGGTGCATTTGGGCACGGAGGTAATAAAAGATACTTATAGTAAACAATAATGTTTGGTAATAAGGATGAGTAAAACTTTTGTTTCTGCAACCAGACCTCAACACAACATGGATGTTTAGTTGCTAATAGTGAATAATCTTAACGTTTGAGCGGTATTATAAGCTCAAGATTATTATTAATAATGTTATTATGTAGCCTTTCGCTATGAATTTTTGTACATTTCATAAAAGCTTGCGACATTCTCCCACATGTTGAATTTGTAATTTGTGGGTCTAAACTAAAAGAAGAGGAAAGAAGGGAGGGGGAAAAAAAAGATTGTGTAGTGTGATTTCAAAAATTTTCAAAATTAAAATGCTCTCTCTAAATGGAGATACTACTAATTCATGGTGATTTTTTCCCAAACCAGGCCGACGACTCTAACTGTGTTTTTTTTTTATTTATTTTTGACCGTTCTATATTTATTTACTTCCATAAATCACATATAGTTTTACTTTTCTGGGTTCATACATTTCAAAATTTGTTCACATAATTTTGACCCTCTAAATGGATATATTTCCTCCTCCATTAACTTCACATTTTGGAAATTATTTGAATGACAGATATGATAGCACTAAATTATTTTACTTAATCAGATTTTTCAATTTTTCAATGAATAACCGTCCATCAATTTTCCAACTCAGATTTCATACGTTTCTTTTTTCTTTCCTAATTGAGTTTACAAGAGAAATAATTATTCATAATTAAGAATATCTTTTGGGGATGTAATTTAGACATGTATAGTTCAAACAGAGCTATAAATCGGTACAATGTGGTCATAGTTATTTGTTTTCCCAAAATTATCGCAGAAAGAAGTTATTAATATCATCAGGTTTCAGGTTCGTTGTCTTTACCCGAGATTAACACCACACCTCTTTCAGTCCCAATAGAACTCCTCTTCTTTTCTTTTCACTCCCTCCCCCAACCCCCGACTACTATCTGCTTCAATTTACTAAACTTTGAAATTTTAATTAAAAACCCAGGAAAAAAGAGATAATCAGTTTTGCAGGCTCAGCAGATCAAATCCATGGATCCCACCAGGACTTTTGTCAAGAATGCTAAGCGGGTTGTCTTCAAGGTTGGATTTTTTTTTTTTCACCATTTTTTTCATGCTTTTTTTGTTTGTTTGTTTACATGCATGTTAACGACAACGACGAGATATCCTTTGTTTTTCCGCGTTCAGATAGTAGGGAAAAGACCCTTTTCAACTTTTTTCATAATTTACAAACATGCTGATGAAATGCTGGATTAATCATCACGTACGTGTATCGTGTGTGTGTGTGTTTTTGTGTGTGTGTATGAGTGTGTGTGTGTGTGTGAGTGTGTGTGTGTGTGTGTGTGTGTGTGTGTGTGTGTGTGTGTGTGTGTTTGTTTGTTTGTTTGTTTTTGGATTCGGATCGCATGATATAATTTAATGCTTAATCAATCAGCCATTTTTAATTTCGATATATTTATATGTCGATTTGTAATCAATTAAGCCATTTTTAATTTCGATATATTTAAATGTGGATTTGTAATCAATTAGGGATCTTTCGATTTTGTGATTCGTGGTAAGGTCAATTACTCATCTCGCATCAATGTATTTGTGTTAATTCCGAATCTAATGCCAAAACATGCAGACAAATGTTATACAGTAGTAACAATCGGCCTTTTTTTGCAATTCTGTAGATAGGGACAGCCGTGGTTACTAGGGATGATGGAAGATTGGCAGTTGGTCGGCTTGGAGCCATTTTTGAGCAGGTACTTTTTGTTTCAACCTTGTCAAAATATTTTTGTTGCTGTACTAAATTTTGCAGAACTTACCCTTTCTATGTGTTAAAATAGAGTTAGGATTAAAGGGTTCTTGTGTAAAAGTTTTGGGAAGCCATCGATTGGGAGCCCTAACTTCATTACTTCACTTAGTAGTTGACACTCCTTAGTTTTCATATTTATGGCTTGATGGATTGATGGTTCCAGTTCTGCAGCTTTTGGTATAACGGACTAACAAGTTGTGTTTTTCTTGGATGGAAATTTGCAGCTTCAAATACTTAATTCTCAAGGCTATGAGATCATTTTAGTGACATCAGGTGCGGTCGGAGCTGGACGGCAAAGGCTAAGATACAGGAGACTAGTTAATAGCAGGTTTGAAAAATGCGTTTTAGAATACCTTGTTCAATAATGGGTCATCTGTTTTCGTATTTAATGTTGGGAATCTGTTCATTGAGAACATGCAAGTTATAATTATAAGGAAATTTACTGGCCTTTTGATCTTCACACAGTTTCTCTGACCTACAAAAGCCGCAAGTGGAACTCGATGGAAAAGCTTGCGCAGCCGTTGGACAGAATGGTCTTATGGCTTTGTATGACAATTTGTTCAGTCAGGTGAAAAGCTTTTGTCACTAACTACACTATTTTTATGGCAATCTTCCAAGAGATTATGGTTCTTTAATTTGTTACTTTCATTTTCTAAAGAATCTTATTTAGCCTACTTTCTTTGGTTGTTTTCTTATTACAGCTAGATGTAACGCCTTCTCAACTCCTAGTTACCGACAATGATTTCAAGAATCCTGAGTTCAGGTCTCAACTTACTGAGACAGTCAATACATTGCTATCGCTGAGAAGTATTCCTATCTTTAACGAGAATGATGCTATCAGTACTCGTAGAACTCCGTACGCGGTAAACACAGCCATTACCCCCTATATTCTCTTGCCCATTTAGAAAGTTGTGTATTTCTTTCTTTCTTGCCGAGCTCTTTCTTGTTAAGCTTAGTTAAACAATCCAATAAATGTATCATTCTTGTTGATCTCCTATGCCTATGGGACTTAAAATATGGAAATAATTTATCTAACATTATCACAACTGTTTTAGCAGGATTCTTCCGGTATATTTTGGGATAATGATAGCTTGGCAGCTCTACTGGCACTTGAGCTGAAGGCTAACCTTCTTGTTCTGTTGAGTGACGTGGAAGGCCTTTATAGCGGCCCTCCTAGCGATCCACGTTCAAAGCTGATCCACACATACATTAAAGAGAAACATGATGGCCAAATAGCATTTGGCGACAAATCTCGTGTTGGAAGAGGAGGAATGGTGGCGAAAGTAAAGGCTGCCTCCAGTGCTGCTGATGCGGGTACTCCTGTGATCATCACTAGGTAAATATATCATGTAGAGCATTGTAAGTTCAAAATCAGAAAAGGTTGAGAAAGAATATATTTATTTATCAGTACGTAACATACTTATGAAATAAGAGCATTCTTCAAACAACTTTTTCCTTTCGGATAGTCATTCATCTGATTTTATAGTACACCTTTCTAGATCCAGGAACACCATTCTATATGAGTGTAAGGATTAACATTGGCCTTTTGTTTTTCTCTTTGGGAAGTGGTTTTGATGCAAACAATATTACAAAAGTGCTGCATGGACAACGAATTGGTACCCTTTTTCATAGAGATGCGCATATGTGGGTTACACTCACTGATATTGGTTCTCGCGAGATGGCAGCTGCAGCCAGGGACTGTTCAAGGAGGCTTCAGGTAACTGATATTATCAACAAATGGCTCCTTATGTTGCTAATGTCTTTTAAGATATAAAAGGTGGCTTCTTCTTGAGAGGAATTAAATCTCTAACATATCTATATGTTTTGTAGAAATTATCATCAGAGGAAAGGAAGAGCATATTAATGGATGTCGCCACTGCACTGGAGCAAAATGAGGATGCAATTAGGGCTGAGAATGATGCTGATGTTAGCGCAGCACGTAAAGCAGAATATGATGATTCGTTAGTTTCTCGTTTGCTTTTGAAACCTGGAAAGGCAAGTAGTTCCTAAATTTGGCTACGTGGATTTTATTTTATGCATTCCGCCCATCTCTCAAACAGGCTATAGCCTTTACGTTTATCTTTTGAATAAACATGTTTCTTTTCTGCCAATTCTAGATTTCTGCCCTGGCAAAATCAATCCGTACAATTGCTGAGATGAAGGACCCAATCGGCCAGGTCCTGCAGACAACGGAGGTATATTGGACATAAGTACTACTATTTTACTACATCATGCACATAATCAAGATTGGACATATATATGAACTTTTACATGCATTGTTATTCAAAGTGAATGCTAACTTCTGCAAAGAAGCTGACATCAGTATCTTGAGATCCTTATGTTTATGGAAATTTTTAGATGGTAAACTAACTCTCGGTAAGAAAATTTAATGTTATAGTGACATCTCTTTTAGTAATTAAGAATTGTGGTATTTGTTTTATGAAGATAAGACATGGAAATCTGATAGGACAAACCAAATCATCTTTTCCAGAATTATCATAATATAGAAGGGAAAAAATTTAGGGGACAAACAAGAATAAGCTTTGAGTAGGTTATGTAATAAACTGCTTGATATTTGATGAAATTATGATCCTTCTTGTACATCTGGATGTCTAGGTGTATTTTGTACTCTTTTGTCACGTAAGTAATTCCTGACTCTATTTATGCAGGTTGCTGCTGACCTTGTTCTAGAGAAAATATCATGTCCACTCTATTTTGTACTCTTTTGTCACGTAACTAATTCCTGACTCTATTTATGCAGGTTGCTGCTGACCTTGTTCTAGAGAAAATATCATGTCCACTGGGAGTCTTGTTGATTGTTTTTGAATCCCGTCCAGATGCACTCGTACAGGTAATTTACATTCTTTCTATATTTGATAACTCTCTGCAGTAAGATTATTTTTGAAATCTGTTCTCTGCGTTTCTTTACTTTTCACATATATTCCGTTTTGCATTAATTGCTCCATGGAACTAAGATTGCTATATGAATGAGTCTCACTAGTTCTCAGTTAGGTTTATGTTCTCTGTATTCTTTAGACCATTTTCTTGCATGAAATGGTAAGCATGTTTCCAAGTTTGATAACAAAATGGATATCGTACAGATAGCTTCATTAGCGATTCGAAGTGGTAACGGTTTGCTGTTGAAAGGGGGGAAAGAGGCTCATCGCTCCAATGCAATCCTGCACAAGGTCCGGTTTTGATGCTAACTTTTAGACCTAATTAGACATCATTTATTTTCTCTCATTTGAGCTGACAAGGGAGAACTTTCCAGATAATTACATCAGCAATTCCTGACTCAGTTGGTCAAAAGCTTATTGGGCTGGTTACTTCCAGGGATGAGATACCTGATCTTCTCAAGGTAAGAGGTTGTGATATCCTTAGTTGATGGTTCAATATTTAGATCACTACCTAATCATTCTTTTTACAGCTCGATGATGTGATAGATCTGGTCATACCTAGAGGCAGCAACAGTCTTGTTTCTCAAATCAAGAATAGTACCAAAATTCCAGTTCTAGGTCATGCTGGTAAGAGGAAGACTAATCTTACATGTATAACTTTCTACATACTCAAGTCGAATTCATGTGAGTGTTGCGTTATGTCTGCCAGATGGAATTTGTCATGTTTTTATTGATAAGTCCGCCAATATGGAGATGGCGCGACAAATCATAATGGATGCGAAGCTGGATTACCCCGCTGCCTGTAATGCCATGGTAAATTTCTGGTTTTTTATTTAGTTTGTTAGTCTATAAAATCCTGCCTGGAGTAATCTATTGGGAATAATATCCTCTCATAATCCGTACCCATTTCAGGAAACCCTCCTTGTACACAAGGATCTGACAGCTGCTGCTGGGTTTCAGGAGCTCATTGTAGAACTAAAACATGAAGGTAACCCTGATTATTTTTTACCCCCCTCTGGGGAAAAGAAAACTATGGTTCTGTTTGGAAATAAATGAAGGAAATGTGTTTCATTTTAATTACTTATTTGTAAACATCATTGTAAATAAACTATAGTAATCATTGGCAGTTTGCCGCTGTTACCATCTACGAGGGGCTGTATGATTAGCTATCATAAATCATTACCTAACTGTCCTTTCCCGTCAGTTTTCAAATTGTGCTGTTAATTTGTGTGCATTTTCAATTGTGACATCCTTAACTTTTAACAAGAATTACAGCCCCTTGGGTTTTGCCAAAGAGATGCATAAGAATGTAAAGAAAGCATGAGGGAATGAGAAAGAGCCTCGTTATGATACAAACTGTATTTGCAGGAGTAAATCTATTTGGTGGACCGAGAGCAAGTTCTCAGTTCAACCTCACACCAGCAGACTCATTTCACCATGAGTACAACTCGAGAGCTTGCACGATAGAGGTTGTTGATGATGTCTATGGAGCCATTGACCACATACATGCACATGGAAGGCATGTTTTACTTTCTGCATTCTGACGTGCATGGTTTTGTAGATTATCTGTCACTAATTATTTCTTTCTTTCCCTCCGAAAAAGCAAAAGAATTTATTTCCTTTCCTTTATTTGTCTTCTTTGGCAGTGGCCACACTGAATGTGTTATTACTGATGACGCCGAAGTTGCTGAATGTTTTCTGAGCCAAGTTGACAGGTAACTTGTATATATAATATACATTAATCAAGTTCTACATAGCCTACCTTGCAATAGGCTTTAGACTGGTAATCATGGTTCATTTGTTGTGGCTTTTACAGTGCTGCAGTATTTCATAATGCGAGTACACGATTTTGTGATGGGGCGCGATTTGGACTTGGGGCTGAGGTATTAGCTCATCGAGGAAGAAACCACTAGTGATTTGATCATTCTGTCAATGTATTCTAACTTGTTTGTCTACTTGTCATTGTTTTTGAAGGTTGGAATAAGTACCAGCAAGATTCATGCGCGAGGACCTGTTGGGGTGGAAGGACTATTAACAACAAAATGGTAAGCATATTTCATGTTAACGTTCAAATGAATGGTTAGGCAGTCAAGCTCATAGTTTATATTTATAGGTTACATATAGTGCTACAATTCAGTAAGATAATGATGTTCATATTCTCTACAAATCAGGGTGCTTAGAGGCAAAGGCCAAGTTGTCCAAGGTGATCAAGGAGTTGATTACACTCACAAGAAACTTGAAAATGAGCAGCACTAAGCCTTGCATCCGCTGGATGAACTGTACTAAATCCCCATTATCGTCTGCTCTTATATTTTATCAGGCGAGATCATTTAGGCGTAGTAGGGATGAGTTGTAGTTGATTTCTAAGTTAGAACTGAGTTTTTGTATACAGAAGATTGGACGGAAGTGTTGTCCAATTACGATTAGTAACTTCAAACTTCAAGTTAAACTTGGCTATGTGCAAACAAATTACATTCCTGGAAACCAAAATTACATTGATGCCAATGTTACTCCATTCTTGTACTTTAGTTACGTGTGTCTTCCATGAAAGGAGATCGATTCTCAGCAGAAATACATGAAGAATCTCCCTCCCTCCATGGGACATGATTTTTTTCAGGTGAGAGGAAAGAGATCGATTCTAAGGAGAAAATAAGAAGTATCTCCCTCCCTGCCTCCCTCCCCGGGAGATGATTTTTTACATGGTATAACTTATACTGATTTTGTAGCAAAATGGAGCCTTCCTTCTTATATCAATGTACAGGACAAAAACCAGGACTTTCTCAAATGTCTTAAGCAGGTTGAATGGTAAGCACAAAGATCTTCAGGGCAGTTTCATGTTCAAACCAAGTCCAGCCTCGGTGTTTTGAGGATGCTGAACATTGAAACCTTTTTCTACTTCTATTCAATCAACACCTTCAGCTTTCGCAACCACCGTAAGTACTCATTGGCATCCTTTCCCAACATGTAGTGGATAACGAAATCGGCTGTGTTGGATGTCATACCTCTGGCCTCAAGGTAATCATAGATAGCATGCTGAACACTTTCATCCAGTTTCCTGTGTGACCAACAAAGGGATAATTAAGATCCATGGCCATGAAATCAGGGATAATTTGAGTAAGCAAAGAATCAGAGTCACATCCACTTACAAGAAATTAGGCCCAGCGTATCGAACCCCATTGTCCGAATCACCGATTTTGTTGACTAGTAACTCTTCCACAGAAATCCTGCCAGGAAAAAATCTCCCTTTAACATGCAACAACGAGCCTTTTTCTTTTGACGCAATTATAGCCCAAGGCACACTAGGTTCTTTATCAGCATTGTCATCGTGGGTATGATCTGCTGCAGAGGTAGGAATGTCAACTAGAACAGTGACATTTTCTCCTTGGAATTTCCTCTCAAGCACCACCGTTCTCCATCCAGGTAAATCTTGAATCGTAAAAGGAAAATCTTCTGGAACTTCCGCAGCCTTCATTTCACCAGTCCGACAAACACAAATGAACAAGGGAAAAAAAAAAAAAAAACTTCAGCTGGGCTTTTCAACAAACAGATGTCTAGTAAATGATGATAGGCTAAAAGATGAATTACGGAATGGAGAAATTCAGAAGCCCGGGCGAACTTGATTTCAGACTTGAGTATTTGCAGGAGATGGCTACGGTCAACTGCATCATGTAAGCTTTGTTGATCGTTCTCTTTCTTCTCTGTAATCTTCTTCTTCATTGAACTTGGAGTTGTACACAATTTTACACTTCTCCCAAGTGCTGGAGATCCAAAGGCACAAAGCAATCTAGGTCTTATGCTAGTTGAAACTCTGCGGCAGATCGAATACAAAGCCATCTTCAATCACTCACTCAATTTCCTTGAGATTCTTGCCTAGGGTTTTACAAGTTCAATTGGGGTTTTCTTGACGAAATCGGGTTGACCGGTTTTGGACTTCTTTCACCCGGGTTTTGGAAGGCACTATCGGATATTTCTATACTCTTTAGTCTTTACCTTTTTCTTTTTTTTTTCCCCTACTAATGAAGTTGCTTTTTTTACACCTCTCTACTCGGTAAAATTCCCCCCTTTTTTTGATAAAAGGCAAATTGTATTACTTCCAATCTGAAATTCTGTACATCAAGATCTACTCTATTACAATGTCAAGCTATTTTTTAAGACCTAATCGTCTCATGTATCATATGTCGTCGTTATCACCTGTTCTATAAAATTCTGGATTTTTCATGTAATTTTATGCACTATCATTACAAACCTATCATTTTCAGTTAGTCTCTTTGAGCCAAACTTCCTTTCATTTCGTTCAATCCATATATGATAAACAGTAGCTACAATACCGGCAAACTAGATTATTATAAGCACTTTCCTGCATCTTCACTGTTTCAGCACTCTGCCAATGTTGCTCCTCAGTGAAGTGATTCTTAGCTTCAATCCAAGCCATTGCAGTAGTTTTCCAATTTGATTATGAGAGTATGGACAACCAAAAAATAGGTGATCTGTGTTCTTTTGTTGTCCCGTACACAGTTCACACTTAACTGGAGACTACAATATTCTCATCTTCTCATCTTCTCTAGCCTTTTCTGTGTTAACAGTTGGTCTTTTAGTGCAACCCAACAAAGAAAGCTACGCTTTGGTATATTATAAGCACTCCAAATTAAATCTGTTGCTCTATATTTGTTCCTCTCCCCTATCAACCATTTATAACCACCGGTAGTAGTGTAAGCCTTACCTTGATTCCCAGTTCATTTGCCATTGCAAACCCCAAACTTGATCAAGTCCCTGATCTTGATGAACTTCTTCCAGTGCAAGCTACAATCAAGCGGCACTTGGTAATCTATTTTTTAGTAGTAATAAAATTCGTTGTACTTCTAAAAATACGTTGTACTTCGAAAAAAATTGATAGCAATGATATGGTAAAAACAAATCTCATCCATATGTACTTTTTTTTTTTTTAATTACCGGATGTCCAAAGTTGGTCCATCCATATGTACTCAAATATAGTTTTGTTTCCAAAGTTTTTTTTTTTTATCAGTGCAACACTTGTAATCGTAATGATGTGATTATTATTAAAACAAAATGTAAACTAACATCGAATTTGAAAATGACAGGATGCATCATATGCTGTAGTAGTAAAATTTTTAGAATGTCAAGAGCTAAACTGAGAAATTAGAAATTGTGACGTTTAAAAATTGTCACGGTGAGAATGAAAAAGTCAAGTAGTTATCTTTTTTCTTTTTTTTCTTTTTTTTTGAAAGGGTAAAGTCAAGTAGTTCAAAGCTATGTTTTGAAAATCGGATCGCACTGGGCGGTCGAACCGGTTCAACCGAATGAAATCGCGATTTTGGTTAATAACCGACAAACTTAAAAATCGATCAAATTCGGTCAAACTCGAATGAAATTGCGGTTCGACCGGGAACAAATACCAGTTGAATCGAATTTTTTAAATTTTGAAAATAAATTATTTTTTAATATTTTTTATAACCGATTTTGGCCGATTCAAACCGGTTAAACCAATGAACTAATAAATCAATTAAATTGTCAGTTTACCTTCCGGTCCGGTTTTCAAAATATAGGTTCAAAGTACCTAGCTAACCTTTATTTTAAGAACTGTATAAAAGGTAGTAACTTTAACAGATCACCAACCCAAAAAGCTTGTTCAGATTGAGCAAGACATGCTACCAAAAATCAATCTTATCCTCGAGAAGTAAATGAAATTTTTTTAAGCATGCACCCTTCATTAAGTTGACCAAGATACTCTTTGTACTACTCCATCTATTTTTTTTGAAAAAAATACTAATATATTTTGTTAGTTTATTCTACTATTTTAGTTCAATAAAATAAATATTTTTATTGGAAGACATGAAAAATGAAATATAAATATACCCCCTCTATTCGAAATGATAGGCTAGTTAAAATTTTTATTTTTAGTGGGGTTTGTATTAAAAGTGAAATTTCAAGTTGAATAATCATTGTTGAATAAATACCTACATAAAAATGAGACACACCAGATTTTTCTCCAAGCCTTGCTTCAGAGGAATGTATTGCTTCAAAGTTCAAATGGTACTGAATCGTATTCCTTCAATTTGTAGAAACCGTATGTTTGATAACGCCATAGCTTCTACCTTGAGCTTTCTATACTATACTCTACAAGTATGCCCGGAATTAAACAAATAAATAGATTAAAGAAAATCAAGACAATATGGTAGCTCAGATGTGGGAAATAAATCCTTTTTTTTTTTTTTAATGATCTTGAAGAAAACTGAAGATATCATCCCAATGGCTTATGGTCAAACTTGTCAAATTTAAAAGAACACCGATCCATAAGATTATACGATCAAACCACTCATTGTATACTCGCCTTTATGATGATTGTTCATTGCTAAGGTACAAATGTACAATTATCAATGATTAATTAATGAGAATACATTAACATCAACAATAATAAAGAGTGTTAAATATTATAGTGATTGATGTGTCATTCACTCATTAGTTAAAACTTTTAAGTTATATTATAACCATTACATGATTGTCTCTTGGTCAGCCATTATACTAAAGTTATTATAAACGTTAATATATTTATTATTTTTTTATTAACAGTAAAAAGATGATCAAGGCGGTTAAGACCATACATAAAATGATAAAAATAGCCTTTCTTATAGGTACAAGGAGATCGAACCTGAAAATTGGTCCACGGTAGGGTTTTATAATTTTTATGGGTTTCCATTTTTAGATATATAGTGGAGAAGTTTGAAAATTGGTCAACGTCTATCACATCTCATAATCCTTTTAGAATGGGGCCATGGCCTCACGACAAAGGAAAGGTTTAACAGGGAAGAAAGAGACGGCCGGTCAAGTTGACAAATTGTTGAGATTATTTATTACTATGCGATATTGTCTTTGGTAGCACTCGAAAGTTGGTTCCCAACTACAGTTTTGGTCGATGGAAAACATCTGCCAACGTTCAAGTGTTTCTGTTTCATTTGTTTCTCTTTTAAACTAATTCTATCAACCATCATTACCTAATCAACCGGGCACCTCTATTAATGCATCATCTCAGATGCCTCATTCCATCAAACTAAGCGCAGCAGCCACACCACAATACTGTAAAAAAGCATTTCCAAAACAGAAATGGCTGCCTCCATTACTGTTTCGCCGAGCAAAATGGGCATTTTCATTGCGTTGATGGCGCTGTCTCTGCTTCCTGAGTATGCACTAGGTGTAACCAGGCATTATGAGTTCAATGTACGTGCGTTTGTGAAATTAGAGATTCATTTAACGACATTCCTTTGCATGTTTGTCTTCAATCTTTATGTTATTGATTTTGTTTTGCAGATTACGATGCAAAAGGTGACACGATTGTGCCACACGAAGAGTATGGTGACTGTAAATGGAAAGTTTCCGGGGCCTCGGATTGTGGCCCGAGAGGGTGATCGGCTGCTCATCAAAGTGAATAATCATGTTTCCCATAACATGAGCATTCACTGGCATGGGATCCGACAGCTTCGGGTGGTTGGGCGGACGGACCGGCTTATATAACCCAATGTCCGATTCAGACAGGGCAGAGCTACGTTTATAATTACACCATCGTAGGCCAAAGAGGAACCCTGTGGTGGCACGCACACATTTCATGGCTGAGATCAACCGTGTACGGACCTATCATCATTCTGCCAAAGAAAGATGTTCTCTACCCATTCCAAAAGCCATACAAGGAAGTCCCGGTCATCTTCGGTGAATGGTTCAATACCGATACCGAGGCCATCATCACCCAAGCTTTGAAAACCGGTGGCGGCCCGAACGTCTCCGATGCCTATACCATCAATGGCCTTCCTGGTCCTCTCTACAATTGCTCCGCCAAAGGTAAACATGCATGTAGTACAAAAGACAAGCCTACTACTATATGTTTAATTTGTCACACTTTTTACTTGGATATTTTATCAATTAAAAAAATGTACTATGATTAATTTATTTGACAGACACATTTAAACTGAGAGTGAAGCCTGGAAAGACATACCTACTCCGGATGATCAACGCTGCACTGAATGATGAACTCTTCTTCAGCATTGCCAACCACACACTCACGGTGGTCGACGCTGACGCGGTTTACGTCAAACCTTTTGAGACAGACATACTTCTGATAGCACCCGGCCAGACTTATAACGTTCTTCTCAAGACCAAACCGACATTTCCAGGAGCCAGTTTCCTGATGACCGCCAGACCCTATGCAACCGGGCAAGGCACCTTTGACAATTCTACAGTGGCTGGAATCTTGGAATACGAATCCCAACCAATCACGTCTCTGAAGAAGCTCCCACTCTTGAAACCAACTCTGCCTGCTCTGAATGACACCAACTTTGCTACCAAATTCTCAAAGAAACTCCGGAGCTTAGCAAGTCCGCAATTCCCAGCCAATGTTCCCCAGGAAGTGGACAAGCATTTCTTCTTCACCGTAGGCCTGGGAACAAACCCGTGCGATCAGCCCGGAGGGTGCCAAGGCCCAACAAATACGACCAAATTCGCAGCATCCATCAGCAACATATCATTCATACAGCCAACCACGGCACTTCTCCAATCCCACTTCACGGGCCTATCCAGCGGAGTGTACAGCCCAAATTTCCCATACAGCCCACATTGGTTCAACTTCACCGGAACTCCTCCAAACAACACCATGGTTTCCAACGGAACAAAATTGATGGTCTTACCATTCAACACCAGCGTGGAGTTGGTGATGCAGGACACCACCATTCTGGGTGCCGAAAGCCACCCGCTCCATCTCCACGGCTTCAACTTCTTCGTTGTCGGACAAGGGTTCGGGAACTACGACCCGAAAAAGGACCCGAAGAACTTCAATCTGGTGGACCCCGTCGAAAGGAACACCGTCGGTGTCCCACCCGGCGGTTGGGTTGCCATCCGGTTCTTCGCCGATAATCCAGGTTTGAAAAAAGTCAACTATATATCTACCGAGTTTTACTTTTACACATTTATTCATAATTATTGAAAAAATGATGAAAATGATATATAACTCTGTGTGTGTGTGTATGTGTGTGTATGAAAATACGTACAGGGGTGTGGTTCATGCACTGTCACCTGGAAGTCCACACGAGCTGGGGATTGAAGATGGCTTGGCTCGTCTTAGACGGAGACCTTCCCAACCAGAAGCTGCTTCCTCCGCCGGCGGATCTTCCCAAATGCTAATTCATTTTTCCGGGAAACTGATTTCTTACTTTCATTGGACATTTTTTTCCTCGACTGACTGCATGGCGCGACTCAAGACTCCAGCTTTTTGGCGTTGACTTCTCTATACTTTTTTGTACTTTAAAATTTTAAATTTATTTCCTTTTATAATTATACTTCCAATCTTGAAGAGTTTAGGAGATCATATGGAATTGGATGATGTGATTGGTGGACCTAACGCCATCTTTTGTAATTTGAGAATCTGTTGTGTGGTATTTTGCTGATTAGCTAGCCTGAATCAATAAAAGTGTTGTTACCTTTTCTTTGCCATTGCGTTTCGCACTTCCTCACATTTTCATTTCGCAAAGTATATTTTAGCATTGAGTTTTTTTTTTCAAAAAAAAAAAAGTGATCCGGTTCATCAAATTTTGCAAAAGAAAGTGCATAATCATTTTAATATGGGGGAGGGGTAAAACATTACTACATTGCACAATTCCTTTCAACATTTCAACGTACAATATGACAATATATTTTTTTAAAAAAAGTAAAAAAAAATAAATAAATACAGTAATTGATTCTCCCTGGGCCATTTAATTTTTTTTATTTTTTATTTTTTTTACAATATGACAATATGTTCATTGAGCTATCTGTCACAAGTTAAAAACATTCAACTGTTGTAAATGTTAATCTATGTAGCACTACCATTAATCAATATTGATTAAATTAATTAGAATAATAATTTCAGACATCAGATACATTATATATTAATAATAAAAAAAAATTTAAAAACTGACAGGATAAAATATCCGCTAGAACATCAAGTCTGACGACTCCCCTTTCTTTATCATAGTGGTACAACATGTTGGAGAAGCAAAAATATTAAAAAATGTAACAATCATGCATTTTTACAATATACTCCCTCCATTCCAAAATATATATCATTAGAGAAGTTTCACAAAATTTAAGAAGACAATAAATATTCAGTTAAAATATTAAACTATCCCTATTTATTCTCAGTACAATTATATTCCCAATATTATTTAGTTCTAATACACTTCTAATTTAAATACAATTACAATTTCCCATGTATGGGTAATGTTGGAAGAAGTTGACAAAATATGCCTAGATTTGCAAAAACGATATTTATTTTGAAAAAATAGGTTTTTCTCTAACGATATATATTTCGGAATGGAGGGAGTATTAAATAACCGATAACAAATTAATATAGTGATTGAATTAATTAATTTGAAGCCAATAGATTCTTTTTGAAATGTAAAAGTTTCTCAATAAAAATTTTAAAAACCGTTACATGTCGATGCCATAGTTCAAACTTGGACCATAAACCTTTTAATAAGCATGATTCCAGAATGATTTGCAATTACAAGTGGAGCGGAGCGGAGCTGCGGAGGCATATCAAGTAAACTCAAATGCAAAAGAAGTTTGACAATAGGAAATGAAGGAATGAAAGATCCCTCTGTCCAAGAGATTGCCCTGTTTGAATTTTTATTTTTTACTTTTAATACAATTTATACTAACAAAAAAAAAATTAAACTGAATGACCATATCAATATAGAAGGAATACATTTTCTTCTTTTTTCCTCTATTTTTTCGCAAAATATATTGCACACTCGTCCAAACGTATCATTTTGACTGATTTGGATTGAGCTAAATGGTCCCATCTTGAAAAGCAAAACTCTCATGGCAAGGTTTTTTTTAATTGTACTATGCACAAAGTGTTTGAAACTATTATTCTTACTAATTTAGATTTGAGTCAGATAAATTTATTTCAAAAGACAAAATTCTTTTATCATTTTTTATAATTATTTTTGTATGTCCATTGAAATTCAATTCTGATTGTAATTAAGTTCTGACTTACCAAGAGGGTGTATATTTTACTTTTATAAATAACAATTCTAGTTATCCTCTTCTGAAATCAAAAGGCAAGAGAAGGAAAAATGAAATAAAGAAAAGTTCGAATGTAAAGGTCGAATCTGTTATAGATGCAATGGACACACGGAGAAATTAATTAACAACCGACATGATCACCAAACAAAATTGCGGGTTTGCATTTACCCCCTAATTATTTCGTAATTAGGCGGCAAAATAGCTGCTGCTCCTTTGATTCAAGTGGCGGGAGTTGAAGCAGCCATTGACGGATACTGGACAACCAAATTATCCAACAAAACTCTTGTTTTGATTAAGATTTTTTTTTTTTTTATCAACCTGCGTTTTCGTATATTTTAAATAATTTAAGAAGCTAATTTAAATTTATTTTCCCTAGGTGAGCAAGTTAATTAAATACTCATTACATATACGTATAGTTCTATTAATTATTTCAAATGATCGTCGTTGTGATCACTGAAGACTAGATTAACATATATGACAATAATTTCAATTTAAAGTTTGTAAAAAGAATTCAAAAAGGTCATTTTTGAACCGTTATTCAAGCTTTAGTAGCTGCTAGCGCTAGCTGTACGAGTAGGGAGGGGGTTAACGTCTGTTAATTATCATCACTTGATTATCACTCTAAACATATAGTTGTGACGGATACAAGTCATTTTCACCTTGCAATCTGGTTATAGCTTCACAATTTCACGTTTTCCCTAATTAAACTCCAACATCACCTAATATTAACCGATAACATGCCCATTCTTTTCTTTTGAGTATATATACACACCACATTCACATTGGAGTTTAACACAAGACCAATTAACTTGAACGCAGTTTTGAGTACTCTCTGAGTTTCACAAATCATTAACATTTCTCTTCATTCCAGTCCCAACATTCCGAAATGGGTTCTCGCTTTTTTAGTCACTTGATCATACTTTTTATTTCTTTCTTGGTTTTTGCTGATTATTCAGCATTAGCAAAGCATCAAGGAGCCACTAGACACTACAAGTTTGACGTAAGTGTTGCATATGTATATTTCAGACACACCAATTTTGTTTATAGTTTTACTTTTTTTTTTCTCTGAGATGGCCTAATTGCTCAGATGCTAATTACTGTGGACAGATCAAAATGCAAAATGTGACAAGACTCTGCCAAACGAAGAGCATTGTGACTGTGAATGGCCAATTTCCAGGGCCACAAATCACTGCAAGGGAAGGTGATAGAGTGGTTGTTAAGGTGGTGAACCATGTTCAGTATAACATCAGCATTCATTGGTAAGCACCGTAAAAATTAACTTTAATCTATGCAAAATAACCAAAAATCTTTTTTTTTGGGGGTACTTATTGAAATAACTGATGAATTTGTACAATTATTTTCTTTAGGCATGGAGTGAGGCAACTGAGAAGTGGATGGGCAGATGGACCAGCTTATGTGACACAATGTCCAATTCAAACAGGTCAAAGCTATGTGTACAACTTCACCATTGTTGGTCAAAGAGGAACTCTGTTCTGGCATGCTCACATTTCATGGCTCCGAGTCACGCTCTATGGACCAATCGTCATCCTTCCCAAGAAAGGCGTTCCATATCCATTTCCCCAACCTTACAAAGAAGTTCCCATAATTCTCGGTAAATAAAAAAAAAATTAAGTATAGCACTTAAAAAAATCTATATTTGGGTTTTCTCTTTGATCTTTTGAATTTGAATAAATTGCAGGAGAATGGTGGAAGACAGATACAGAAACTCTAATTACCCAAGCACTTCAAACAGGGTTAGCTCCAAATGTATCTGATGCCTTCACAGTTAATGGTCTTCCGGGACCTTTTTACAATTGCTCTGCCAAAGGTAATTAATTCCATTCATCCATAGTTCCATACACTATTCAAGAATCACTTAATTAGAAACTTAATTAATTTCATGCGTCTTTTTAACTTTGCAGATACCTTCAAATTGAAGGTGAAGCCCGGAACAACATATCTCCTGAGGCTAATCAATGCCGCACTCAATGATGAGCTGTTTTTCAGCATCGCCGGCCACCATTTCACCGTCGTCGAAGCCGATGCCGTTTACACAAAACCATTCCAGACTAATACGGTTCTGATTACACCAGGACAAACCACAAATGTGCTTCTCAGAACAAGGCATCATTTCCCTAATGCCAGCTTCCTTATTGCTGCTAGGCCTTACGCCACCGGTCCAGCTGCATTTGACAACACAACCACTTCAGGAATCCTAGAATATCACCAACCATCATCATCAACCCACAAAAAAGGAGTTAAATTTCCATTGTTGAAGCCATCATTACCAATTTTCAATGATACTTCATTTGCAGCAAACTTCAGTAGAAAAATCAGGAGCTTAGCCAGCCCGAAATTCCCAGCAAATGTGCCTAAGAAAATCGACAGGAAATTCTTCTTCACCGTTGGACTTGGAATCATGTCCTGTTCAAAGAATCAGAATTGCCAAGGACCGAATAACACTAGAGTGGCTGCTGCGGTAAACAATGTGTCATTTGTTCAGCCAAATATAGCCCTTTTACAGGCTCATTTCTTTAACAAAACCAAAGGAGTTTATACAACTGATTTTCCGGCTAACCCGCCGATCAAGTTTAATTACACCGGCCCCCCGCCGAGCAACATCATGGTCAGCAGTGGTACCAAAGTTGTGGTTCTTCCTTTCAATACCAGTGTTGAATTAGTCATGCAAGATACGAGCATCCTTGGCGCAGAAAGTCACCCGCTTCATCTCCACGGTTTCAACTTCTTCGTTGTTGGTCAAGGATTCGGAAACTTTGATCCGAAAAATGATCCGGGGAAATTTAATCTTGTTGATCCGGCAGAAAGGAACACTGTTGGAGTTCCTGCGGGTGGATGGGTTGCAATCCGATTTCTGGCAGATAATCCAGGTATATATCCTCTACATTTAGTCTCGTTTTCAGTACTAGAATGAGAATAGAAACTGAACAATCATTTTTAGATACTCGCCATATTATAACTGTTTTCTAATAAAATTTTAGGGGCTTGGTTCATGCATTGTCATCTTGAGGTTCACACAAGTTGGGGATTGAAAATGGCGTGGATTGTTCAGGATGGGAAAGGTCGTAAACAGAAGCTACCTCCTCCACCCAAGGATCTTCCAAAATGTTGATCCCCGACTCCCTTTTTTTTCTTTTTAATTTTTTTTTTTTCACTTTCTCAATTTTGTATTATGTTCAAGTCAAAATTGCTTTCGCTTTTTCACGATTTTGTAATTGTATGTACCGTTCCAACTTTGGTACTACATCCGAAATGGATATATGTATAGACTGGTTGGAAAATTCTGGGAAGAGATACATAAAATAGAGATTAGTGGCTAAAGCCATTACTTTAGGCCTGTTTTAGCAATTTTTTTTTCACGAATATTTGTAGCTGAAAATGTATACCACAAAGGTATAATTGAAGTTCGTTCCTTAATTTCCATCTCTTCTAATTAGGTGTACGTGAAGTTATGAACCATGTTTCAATGTAAAGGGTGAATTAAAAGGGAAAAAAAAAAGAGTCAAGATGGAAGAAATATATAGCCATCTAATTCCTTAATCAGTTAATCTTCCATCATCACATTTTGATAGAGAAGTTGTTGTACGTATAACAATAGCTATTACCAAGTTGACAATATGAGGCTCTCAACTTACAATTTTATTATCATTATTATTTATTTATAATTTTTATGCTTAAGGTAAAAGGGGAAAAAAAAAGACTTGGTAGTGGTGGGATCGCATAAAATGGGACCTTTCGGAGTTAGTTCAAGGATATTAACATCTAAACCACAATGCATCACGATCCACAAATTCTCTCCACCAATTGGGTACATTTAATAATCATGCACTTACATCAAGTGCCAAAATCACATCTCTAATCTCTCCTTTTATCCTTTGTGCAAAATCACCATTACTTAGAGAATACTTCGAACGAAAATTACAATTGTGTGGGAAAAAAATCAAGTTTATTACTCATTCTGTCCCAAAATTATTGTCCACTTTGAGATTTCACTTTTAGTACAATATGAACTAAAAATAAAAATCCAAACTGGACAATAATTATGAGACGGAAGGAGTATAATGTTTTTATTTAATTATAAGAAGAGGGGGTTTTTTTTTCCCATAGGGGTCGGAGTTAGACTGTGTTATTACTTATTAAAGTTGTGGAATAATTTGTCATTAATTGCTTCAAGGGCGAGGGGAGAAAGAAGAAGGTATATATAGTTGAATTGCGAAATGAACAAGGGGAAAATGTAGCCTGAGTAATTTGAAAATCAAAGTGAATATTATCCTTTATTCAACTTAAGTGATTCAGCGAACTAATACATCCAGATCCTCAAATTACAAAAGAAGGGTGTTAGTCCACCAATGACATCATTCAAATGATCTCCTAAACTCGTCATCAAACACTGAATAATTGAAAATAAATACATTCTTTCAACCCCAAAAAAAGAAAAAAAAAAGTACAAAAATTATTGAAAAGTCAACGCCAAAGTTGCGATTGAATTGCGCGAGTCAGTTGGGGAAAAAACTTGCAGAACAAATGTCAGAAAGCAGCTAAACGAGGAACCCGAAGAAAACATCTCCAATAGATCGAGGCAAAAAAAGATGCATTAGCATTTGGGAAGATCTGCCGGCGGAGGAAGCAGCTTCTGATTTGGAAGCTCTCCGTCTAAGACGAGCCACGCCATCTTCAATCCCCAGCTCGTGTGGACTTCCAGGTGACAGTGCATGAACCACACCCCTGTACGTATTTTCATACACACACACACACACAGAGTTTTATATCATTTTCATCATTTTTTCAATAATGAATAGTAAATATGTAAAAGTGAAACTAGCTAGATATATAGTTGACTTTTTCAGACCTGGATTATCGGCCAAGAACCGGATGGCAACCCAACCGCCGGGTGGGACGCCGACGGTGTTCCTTTCGACGGGGTCCACCAGGTTGAAGTTCTTCGGGTCCTTTTTGGGGTCATAGTTCCCGAACCCTTGTCCGACGACGAAGAAGTTGAAGCCGTGGAGATGGAGCGGGTGGCTTTCGGCACCCAGAATGGTGGTGTCCTGCATCACCAACTCCACGCTGGTGTTGAATGGTAAGACCATCAATTTTGTTCCGTTGGAAACCATGGTGTTGTTTGGAGGAGTTCCGGTGAAGTTGAACCAATGTGGGCTGTATGGGAAATTTGGGCTGTACACTCCGCTGGATAGGCCCGTGAAGTGGGATTGGAGAAGTGCCGTGGTTGGCTGTATGAATGATATGTTGCTGATGGATGCTGCGAATTTGGTCGTATTTGTTGGGCCTTGGCACCCTCCGGGCTGATCGCACGGGTTTGTTCCCAGGCCTACGGTGAAGAAGAAATGCTTGTCCACTTCCTGGGGAACATTGGCTGGGAATTGCGGACTTGCTAAGCTCCGGAGTTTCTTTGAGAATTTGGTAGCAAAGTTGGTGTCATTCAGAGCAGGCAGAGTTGGTTTCAAGAGTGGGAGCTTCTTCAGAGACGTGATTGGTTGGGATTCGTATTCCAAGATTCCAGCCACTGTAGAATTGTCAAAGGTGCCTTGCCCGGTTGCATAGGGTCTGGCGGTCATCAGGAAACTGGCTCCTGGAAATGTCGGTTTGGTCTTGAGAAGAACGTTATAAGTCTGGCCGGGTGCTATCAGAAGTATGTCTGTCTCAAAGGTTTGACGTAAACCGCGTCAGCGTCGACCACCGTGAGTGTGTGGTTGGCAATGCTGAAGAAGAGTTCATCATTCAGTGCAGCGTTGATCATCCGGAGTAGGTATGTCTTTCCAGGCTTCACTCTCAGTTTAAATGTGTCTGTCAAATAAATTAATCATAGTACATTTTTTAATTGATAAAATATCCAAGTAAAAGTGTGACAAATTAAACATATAGTAGTAGGCTTGTCTTTTGTACTACATGCATGTTTACCTTTGGCGGAGCAATTGTAGAGAGGACCAGGAAGGCCATTGATGGTATAGGCATCGGAGACGTTCGGGCCGCCACCGGTTTTCAAAGCTTGGGTGATGATGGCCTCGGTATCGGTATTGAACCATTCACCGAAGATGACCGGGACTTCCTTGTATGGCTTTTGGAATGGGTAGAGAACATCTTTCTTTGGCAGAATGATGATAGGTCCGTACACGGTTGATCTCAGCCATGAAATGTGTGCGTGCCACCACAGGGTTCCTCTTTGGCCTACGATGGTGTAATTATAAACGTAGCTCTGCCCTGTCTGAATCGGACATTGGGTTATATAAGCCGGTCCGTCCGCCCAACCACTCCGAAGCTGTCGGATCCCATGCCAGTGAATGCTCATGTTATGGGAAACATGATTATTCACTTTGATGAGCAGCCGATCACCCTCTCGGGCCACAATCCGAGGCCCCGGAAACTTTCCATTTACAGTCACCATACTCTTCGTGTGGCACAATCGTGTCACCTTTTGCATCGTAATCTGCAAAACAAAATCAATAACATAAAGATTGAAGACAAACATGCAAAGGAATGTCGTTAAATGAATCTCTAATTTCACAAACGCACGTACATTGAACTCATAATGCCTGGTTACACCTAGTGCATACTCAGGAAGCAGAGACAGCGCCATCAACGCAATGAAAATGCCCATTTTGCTCGGGAAAAGAATAATGGAGGCAGCCATTTTTGTTTTGGAAATGCTTTTTCCTGTGGCTGCGCTGCTGAGTTTGATGGAATGAGGCATTTGAGATGGTGAATATATAGAGGTGGCGGTGATGAGTTGGTATTTGTAAGTTGATTAGGTAGTGATCATTTAATTAATTTGAACACATTGGGGCAAATAAAACAGAAACTCTTGAAAATTAAGATGTCTTCCTTCGACCAAAACTGTAGTTGGAAAACAACTTTAGAGTGCTACCAAAGAATATATATCATAAACTATATTATTATTTAAAAAAAAAAAAGCAGAAGAAAAGAAAAAACAATGTTGACCTCTATCCTTCCTGTCAAACCTTTCCTTTGTCGTTATGCCATATTCCTCTCAAGGGCATGGGATATGACGTTGACAATTTTCAAACCTCTCCATTTGCTAAAAGTAGGAAAACTAAGGATATATTTCACTTCAGTCCCTATCAAATTAGCCTTTCTCCTGCAGACTAAAACAAGTTCTCAGTTTTTTTTTCTTTTCTTTTTTTTTTTTTTATTTAAGTTTTCACTTTTCACCTAATACTTGAACAGAGGAAAATGGACCAAAGATCAATTAATTTGATACACATAGTATAATATTATATTAGTATAAATTGCACGTTTTTTTTACCCTTTAGAATGAAGTAAACATATTAAATACTCCCTTTGTCGACCCAAAAATTAGAGTTCCATTTATTAAACCATATTTTGGTACAATAACGATGGGTACTATATCGGCACGGAGAAAATAAGGGTATGTTTGTTTCGTTTTTTTAGTGTGTATTTTTAGGTGTTTTTTGTATTGAAAATGTAAAAAAAATGCTGGGATGGGACAATTATTATTTTATTAATCTAAAAAAACCATCAAAGAACACTAACCAAACAAAGCCTAAGTGTTTTATGAGTTATAGACATTTGCCACGGGAGCTATCTTGAGTTATATTCAACATATGAAGGAAGGAATTTACACCAACTCTTACTATGCAAATTACATTAGAACACTTAAGAAGTGTTTAACAATTCATATTGTGGCAGCTGTGAGTTTTATGAATAAATTTCTGCTTATTTTGTAGAGTGAATGAAGCTCTAGTTAGTAGCCATGGCGTTATCAAAAGTACGGTTCCTACAAATTGAAGGAAGAAGAGAATAGGACCATTTAATTTGAAGCAACACATCCCTCCAAAGCAAGGCTGGGGAAGGAATTCTGGTATCTGTCGTCTTTTTGTGTGTATATATAAATATGATATGAATTTTTAATATTTTCGTGCAGAAACATTGTTATAATTAAAAATAAAGTGCATGGGTGCGTAAATTTTGGGATTAAATAAGCACGCGGATGAGATTGATTCGGCAAAATGTCGTATAAACCTTTGATTTGGGGCTTACTTTCTTTAATTAATTCTTAAGCTTTCACTTCTCAGGTCCAGTGTGAGTGTTATCTTTTCCTGCAAACTTTGAACACGCAAAAGCATATAGTTTTTGGAAAAAGGCAGAAAATAATATTTTTAGGCATTGCTCTGGAAGTTGGAGTTCACAATTTGATGGATATGCAACAAAATCGTGTATGGTATACGTCAATTACCAACAAATACAAACAAATCTAAACCAACAACCCCTTCCCTCTAAGTCACCTATGTCTCTACCCCAAATTGCTATAAGCAGAATTTTGAAGATGTATTTTCCGTCCCTTTTTAATAATTTGATCTGTATAATAACTTTAGTTCATTAAGATGCGACATAAAGAATGTCATAATGCATAGAAAGATAGTACAATATAACAGGGCTTGGACAAAAATAATGGTATAAAAATAGAAAAGACATTTTTATTTTTTTATTTTTTTGTGGTCAGAATCTACTATTACCGAAAAATCATTTTCTATTTTAGTAATTGTCATTAATAAAACGACATTTAATTTTCTGTTTTTATTTATTTGATTAAAAAAACATAAAATTGGTGCGAATAATGTCACCGAAAAAAGGAAACCCAATTTGCAAGGGAAAATATAAGAGTGGACACAAAAACTGGAAATTGGAATTCCGTTTTTTAATTTGAATCTGGTTGTTCAGCACAATAATTGTACTAACACTGACGTGACATTGACATATTGTATGTGGGATCGTCGGATTAGGCTTTATCAGAAAAAAAACAGAAATTTCAAATTCCGTTTTAGTGTTCATTTATAATTGAACAATTTTACTATTTACTCGTTTGACATTTTTGAATCTGAAGAATAATATGCAATTCTGGACCGTTTTGGAAAAAGGAGTGCAGTTTTAGCTTATTTTTTGTGCCACATCATTAAGAAGGTTAGTAATGATTTAATTTTATTTATTAAGTGTTATTTCGTTTATTATTTTTTCCTAATTGTTTAAATTATCTTATTTATATTCAATGGTGAGATGATTTACGAAATCAGTAATCCTATATGTTATATGGAATAATTAGTTTTGTATCTATTTTAATTAAGATTTTTAGGGTCGTGTTTAGTTGATGTCATTGTTAATTACATTAATTTATTATGGATTATTATATTTTAACAGGAGAAAATGGAATGGAATGGTCCGTATTTTATTAATGTATATTGATGAAGTAAGTATGTTGTAGAGGATGGTACGATTAGAACCTTTGATAACAGAGCAGATGACACAATGTTTATTGAACGAAAATTGTCATATTCTGAGTTTTTGGGCAGAATTTGTGATAAAGTCGGATGGGATAGATATTCTGTTAATTTGAGAATTACTTTATTGTTTGAAACTAACGATATTAGAAGGACCGCGACAATCACATATTACTCATCTTTGGAAATTATTTATTATTTTCCTGGATCATCAATTTAGAGTTGTATGTGGAAAATGAAGGGATAGTTCATGCCCAAAGTTTATTAGATCTTTCTGGACAAACGATAGATCCATTTGCGTCCCAACAACAATGGGCCAGTACTTCTCAGCAACATACAGAAGTAGGGCCGAACACATTTTGGTCACAGCTACATTGGGCGAGTACTTCTCAACAAAATGCAGAAGCAGGGCCAAGCAGGAGCAGCGAGGATCGATTCGTTATCGAGGCTCAAGGCAAGGATGAAAATGATGGACATGATTTGGATCAGGATGATGAATCAGATGGTACTTATATAAAAAGTGAAGAAGAAAGTGACTATGAAACATCTGTGGTGGATGAAACTGACGATGACGGTGCAGGTGAAGAGCAACAACAACAACATGCAGAAAAATTAATCACTTCTTATCAAGGTCAGCATGTTTATTCAGATATTGGTGACTTCAATGTTGCGTCAATAGACCGAGATGAATTTGCACTTAAGATGTGAAAAGAAAAGAAAGAAAACATTAGTTTAAGGATGTGCTTCAACGACAAGGAAGAGATTAAGGCGGCTATGGCTGACTGGATCTCCTGGCAGAATGGACAATATTATGTTAAATATTCTGACCAGAAATCGAGGGTTGCAGAGTGCATAATCGGAAAAATGGAGACTCCACCTGGCTAATCAACTTGTGGATAGAGAATGCGTGCATCTCGTAATCCTCACGGTCTGTGGGAAATTATAAGCTGGACAGCGACACAATTGCATGAGACCTACCACAGGAAATGACAACCGCAATATAACAGCCAGGGTGATTGCCAGGCTTATAATGCGTAATGTTGAAACAGACCCAGATCATTTAGTGAAGTCAATAAGAGATGATGTGAAGAAACGTTATAAGGTGAATGTGAAGTACAAGAGAGTATGACATGCAAGAGAAAAGCCATCGAGGTAATGTGGGGCAATTGGATCAATGATTTTACCGAATTACCGTGGTACGATTTTTAAATTTTATGGACTATTTTTTTTTTACTTTATGCACTTTTTTTGTTTTTATACTTTGCTGGACTAATTTTAAATGTTTGTCTGATTTTTTTTAAAAAATAATATAGGTATATAGCAGCACTGCAGAAGTCTAGTCCTAGCACAATTATTAATAAGAAATGGCAGGATGGGACTGAAAATCAGGAGTATCAGACCTTCAAATATGTTTTCTGGGCATTTGGTCCTGCAAAGGGAATATAGTTGTGAGCATCGATGGCACGCACCTTCGTGGTCAATACAAAGGGAAGTTACTTGTAGCAATGGTAAAAACTGCGAACAAACATATTTTGCCTATCGTGTTTGCAGTTGTGTATGAAGACTAGGAGAGTTGGTCATTTTTTTCTGGTAAATTTGGGGATCCACATTCTCTTCAACAGAGTCACATGTCTCTTATCAGATCGGCATAAAGGGATAATCAGTACACTGAAAAAAAATTCTGATTTATAGAATGAACCAAGTTTGGGATACCACAGGTATTGTCTTCAACACGTTCGGAGTAATATGATGGCCAAACACAAAAGCCGACCGCGACAAACAGCTTAGGTGTGCTGGAGATTGGGAAAGAAGGTGCAAGCGCACAAATTTAGAAGATTTTGGGCGTAGTTGGGTGAGTGCAATGAAGCACGTCAAGCATACATGCGTGTTATTCTAAAAGGGAGGTGGAGTCTTGCCTATGATTTGGATTACGCACTTTGTGGCAACCTGACAACAAATATATCCGAGATACAACAATGTCTTGAAGGGCATTCGATTCTCACCTGTTAGAGCTATAGTGGAGTCGACATTGGCCAAAACTGTCAATTTCTATCGTGAGCAATAAGAAAAGGCCTTAAGGTGTGATACCTCTATTGGTGATGAGTATTGGGAAAAATTCTGTGAGTATGAGAATACTGCTGCTGGTCACGATGTGGAAATGTACGATGAACCGAACCTTGTATACAAGGTGACTACCGAATTGCATCGTGGTGGTAAAGGCCAGAATGTTCATACAGTGGAGTATAGTCAGGCGCGTTATACTTGTAAAAAGTGAAAAATTTACAGGCTTCCCTGTTCACACGCATTGTGCGTGTGCCGAGAAATTGGTGATCTCCCAGAGAATATAATACATGAGTATCATAAGACAACAACGTGG